GTCTATATACGCTGGGCTTAACCTCAACCCTCATTCGTAATTAGGCTTGCAGATTGGCTCCTTTTTCGGTCAACTGATGGTTGTACCATTCACTACCAGGCAGCCAGCTCTAGTCGCACAGCCCCATTTAATTTGTGTAGAAGTATTGAGGCTTGGCATAGCCCCGTGAATGTGCATATATGTGGGCCCGCATTACGTGAACAGCAAACGCGGGAAATCAACAAATATACAGCCACATGCCGTTTGTTTCGCAAACGTACATGCATATGCTTCCACGTCCATCTGCATGTATATAATCGCATGCGTGCATTTATGCTTTCATTTAGTGATTGCTTCAGATACTACAGAATGCGTGTACGTTAGTGCCTCTGTCTAATGGTGGCACCTATGCGCTCACCTCGGCGCCTATGGAATTCCCATTCTCGTCCGTGTGTTCTTCCTTCAACTGCCGCTTCCTGGTGGACAGATACAAAGTCCCCTACTGCCAGTAATTGCGTTTGTACTTGAAGCCCATGAATGTGTACACATTTGACATCACACACCTAGACAACTAAAGAGCATGTATGTAGATGGAAATAGCGCACACCGCCAAAAGTGCACAGCTCCGTCGCCATTTGGCTTATCGTATACAAATCTTTGAGCGGTTACTATGCACATGCACAAGATGCATTCCAAGATGGCCCACTAGTTTGTGTGTGACTGGGTTAAGGCTGGTATGCGGGGCAGAGACAAGGAAAGAAAACAGACTGAAAGTTAGAGAACCAGGTGCAAGTAGAAAAAGGAGACAGAACCAGCTCAAATTCCGACCGTGCAGTTGTGAGATTGAAAACTGCGACATCGCGCTGCGCTTGTCTCCTTTGAAGCTCTAGTTGTAAACGCTGCATCTCCTGCACTGCATTAAAGTAGAGAACTTGCTTGTCTGCATGGTGTGCGCATCAGCAGAGAGCAGACAGGAGAGGATGGGCGACTCTAACCCTAATACATATATATCAGATTCGTCAGGTTCATGTGTGTACAGGTTGTTGGCTCATTGCTGATACCGGCTTTGTCCCTTTTTTAGTGAACAATGCTCTTGCCCCTTCACCCATGTTTCACTACCTGGGTGTCGTGAGTGCTTTTCTGCCTCTGTGCTTCTATGTTAGGCTTCGTCTCTACAAGATTATCCGTATATGTATGCGGCGCAGTTGTTGCCTCCGTCTACACTTCCGGCTTACAGTAAGCCTGCGTGACTCTTTTCCGTATCATTCTGTACAGCTGTATTATCGTTCGTGTTTGTTTCTTTGTGTGCTAAAAGGACCTGACTCAGCATCTCTCTGCTTCACCATTTCCTCCTTTTGCTTCTTCGCTGCCACTTGGGCTTCCAGGGCTTCCTTGTCAACTCCCATTCGCAGGAGACGAGGAGATAATATTCGCTCTCTGCGGGCTGCTTCTTCTCTCCTGCAGCCAAGTAACTGCGTGAAATGTGTATGAAATGAACATATAGAAAATGCTAATAGATCCTGTGGGATACTAGGTTTCAAGCTCGCGAACTTTCATTTATGATGCGTTATTGCAGGCGTGTACAAAGCTGTAAGAAGAATATGATTTCAAAAGCTTGTGCTCAAGGGCTGGTACACTCAGACGCTGAGAAAGACCCACCGTCTCCGTTGAATGTCTCTAGCTTGTCTCTCATCCTCCGTCAGCACTGGCAAGTGGGCAGATACCTGAAATTTCCATGATATTGCTGCAGAACTCAGAATTTAATTAGCTTTTTGCGAGGAGTTGCTTTTTAGCTGCCCTCCGAAGGTGCCGAATTTGTCGATTTCCTGTGTAAAAACTACGATCCCGTTGCCGTTATATGTTGAGACGGAAGTGCTCAAAAGCTCTAAAAACCAGATCGTAGGGCTAAAGTGTACAACTTCGCTCTGTTTTGTCTTACCATTTTAAGGATACGCGAGATTTCTGTAGAGGAGCTCAGCAGGCAAACTGCAGTTGGGAGTGTCTGCCGCGTGGTAGTTGGGCGGAGCGGGAGACACGTCGAGAAACTTATGGCAAATGAAGCCCTAACGGAAAGGTTTCAAGGCATTCCTATAAGAAGTTAGCCTTTGGGTGTCTGTGCTTGCTTTGAGGAAATTGGCACTCACGGCCCAGGGTCACCTCCCAGCCCCCTCCGTTCGGTGCAGCTGCTCGGAAGCCCCACAAGGGGCCTCCTGATGAGGGCGTTGCGTTGGAACTAAGATAAATTCATTTAAGCGCTCAAGGAAAATGTATGTTGAGTACGTGTCTGAGAACAGCGGGCCAAAGGGATTGGTTGGCGGGCATATTTCTCCTCTAGGCAAAACTAGGTTGCCGTGGAGAACGGGTCCTACAAGACATAAATCACATTGGATATGGGCCAAATGCTCTGTCACGAGCCTCTTTATATATACACGCTTCAAGAGAACCAGCCAAGCCAACGTGCAAAAACACCGGCTTTTTGCATATCATCTCAGTGGGCGTGCAGCGTACTAAACCATCTGACAAGCGACAAGTTGTTCTCGTTTTGGAAGGGTATTTGTGCAGTTGATGCAGCTGTTGAATGGCGCACTCGCTAAAACGTCGTAATTGCATGCACATGAATGGTCGCCCAATGTTTGTGTTGTCTACAGCAAATGAAAAACGACTGTAGGAGTCATTAGCATTCAGAGGGTCCCTGGTTGAGGGCTTCCTTCGTAGAAATTCCGTCAGTCTCGACCACGTGAACATGTCTCGTTGTTGCATTGCATCCCCCAAACAAGCAACACGCGACCCTTGTACAGCCCTTCCCTAATCACCCATGCCTTGCACTTCGTCTAAATGCAGGCGCGTTACTCAATGATACAGGGGTTGCATCACACACAAAAACCCAACTGACCCTCCCAAAGCTCAAATCCCGTAGGTCTTCTTCCACTTATGCGTTCTTATGTGCGGATTAGCACACGTCAATGCAAACGCTCTCTGCCGCTCCTCCAGTGCGTGGCCACTCAATGTAAGAACACCCGGTGAAACAGACATTTAACTGAAATAATCAAACTAAAGTCAGGCCCCTATGTAGGAGCTTCGTTTCCAAGCGCATAGGGCCACTGAAGTTTTCAGCCTGCAACTGTAACAGTAGCTGCGACTGTCATCAAGCTGGGATGTACTGCGGAACAGTAGCTATTTGGAGTTGAGAGGGAATCTCCTCTTGGTATTCCTCTCAAAGGCTCGAGAAAAATTCGCTGAGGTCAGTTAGCGCCTTATGTATTCCCTTTCTCAGGTCTATACGTAGACCTGTAGCACTGCAGCCTCTATGCTGCTCCTATTGCTGCAGCGCGTGCAGAGCAGCAGCACACTAAGTGGTGTTAATGATGTAGGACACCCCATTTTCTCTGGTTAGGACCCAAGCGGTTTTCTGCTGGTGATACAAGGAGACCGTCGACATCATCTGTGCATAAAAACCCAAATATCGAGCAACCAAAACGTAAACCCCTAAACCAGGCACGAAGGCGCTATCACCCACAACGGCACTTTGTTCACCACGCCCCCCGTCACTTCCTAGTGGCAAAAGGAATGGGTGTTGCAAGATACGGTTTGAGGCCTACATGCAAGGGAGATTGCCAGAGGATGTTGTGCGGAAGTCGCGGCAGTTCCGTTAAGCCGCTTGATTTGCTGCTGGTTCCCCAGATGCCGCCTAAGAAGCTCGAACCGCTCAGCTGCAATCGCAACAACAGCAGCGACAGGAGCACTCACAGACATGCAGCAACAGGTACTAATAATGCACACGCGGAGCCGCAGCTACCGCACCGACATCAACAGCTAAGCAGGCGGATGGACTATGGCGGCCGCAGTGATAGTACCGGTGTCAACGCGAGGAGCAGAAATCTTTAAAAGGGTGCGAACAACAACAATGAGCGCGTACATGCCAGAGTCTGACTGCTGACTCAGCAGCGGAGTAAGAGGCAATCCAGTGGCCATCCTCGCTGAATCCTAAGGCTGACACAGGCCCTAAAATTCAAATACGCAGAAGAAAAAGAGGGCAAGGGCACGAGTCCAGAGAAGATAAGGCACGGATTACAGCAAGCACGCCAAACAGCGGAGAGCAGCACACATCAAATCGTACACACGCATATACATATGGATAACGATGCTGAGAGACTGCGAGCCGACAGAGTAGCAAACAGGCAGGAGCAGCAGAAAAGGAGACACACAAGGCGAATTTGCGACAGGCGAACAGTCCACGAAGGCCAAGACCCCCTCGACCATAAAGCACTTAGGGCAAAAGCATAAAAACAGCTGGGTAACGGCGTAAAGCGCCAGGCGACATTTGGATGTAGGGACTGGTGTTTTGGCCTGCCTTGGTGCCCCTCGAAGATGCGCATTTTGGTGGCTGTTCGAAGGTCATATGCCACAACAACCCCCTCCTCCGTCCCCACAGCCAACCTGCGCCAACGCCTACACACGCAGCTTACACATCTACGCATGAGGCCCCAAATGCGTTCCCTTGAAGCCTCCCATATAATGTTGCATTGCAGAAACCAGGAAGCGACTCGAGCAGCGCGAGTTATTGAAAAACTTGAATGAAAGATTTGAATCGTAAGACGCGCCTTTGAGTGGTCTGGTTGAAGGAACATATGGGGAAGGAGGAGACAAGGGCGAAGAGAAGACATGTGGCCGCGCGAAGGCAGCGACGGCGTAGAGACCCCGTGCAGGGATCTAGAAAGCGCAGCAGGACGTCTACCAACAGACACAGTGAATGCGCGCCCGAAGAAGGATACCTGAGAATAGGACAAGAGACACTACCTCCAGAAACATCAGGAGGGCAGCAAACACTTCAGCTGGATGAAAAAAACCTGAATAAAACAGTGAAAGATTCCGCTGTCTTCAGGCATCCCTGCAACTTCTGCCTGGTCATCTGGCCTTGTCCCCCTCTTTCCTTTGGCGGTTATCTATTGTACGTCTTCGAGTCGCGCGTCTCGACACTGTCTCTCCCCCTCCAGCTCTAGCTACGTGCTGCCTCCCGCTGCTCACCGCGTGAAGCAGTCCACAAGGAAGAGCAAAGCTGGGGCAGCCTGCTGACCGCCTGTCTCCTCCAACCTGCCAAAAAAGTGGAGGCGGACGCACAGAAGTGCAGAGGGTCTTGCACACAGAGCAAGTGCGTCCATCGGTGTACACACATAGGGGAAAAGTTCCGGTGAGAGGCAGAAAAGACACGCTTCAATTCACTTGTATATTGCCCCGTTCATTCACCGCACCGTCACTTAGGTGAAAATTCCGATGGCTGTAAGAGGCGGTGCAAGAAAAGAAAACAACGGAGGGCCGAGACAGAGAGCATTAGGGGCACCCGAAGCAGCTGCACAGCAGCGGTGTCAGCTAGCAAACGCCATGCGCAAGAGGCGTTTGCTTAGAAGACGGCGCAGCAAGCGGCATCTCGAGAGAAAGTCGCAGAAGTTAGGACCACTGGCGACAGCATCTAGTATTGTGAAAGCGACACCAGCAGAGGCAACAACATGAAAATCAGCCGCACCGTGCCGCCTTGGAGAGGGCCCTTGTTGCTCCAGGGAGGTCAATGCGCACAAGCCGACGAAGCAGAGCAGTAACGGAAGCAGTAAATGCTGCTGCGTCTGGCGTTTCTGCAGGTCTTTGAGACATAGGGAAGACGGCCAGCAGCAACTGATAGTACTGTACGGCTCCCTGCGGCAGAAGAAGCATGAAGAACGTGAAAGCACAGGAGCGCACACGAAGACGTATCAGCGGCGCAAAGAAGCAATCCCATGGCCTACGAAAAGGGCACGATTCAAAATGCTTAGCCTTCCGACGCCGCTAAGAAAGGGTGCAGCTATCGCTGCATGTAATTTGCGTTTAAGATTGCGCTTTTCATACTGTATATCTCAGAGAGACACGAAACACAATTGAAGTATGGGTAAAAGAATGAGAGGAACAAAGACCCGTATAGTGTTCCTTCTCCTCTCCCGTGAGGACGATCACATGCACACATGAGGCAAAAGGAGGACGTTTTGCATCAAAGGAAAAGGCAGGCAGCAGTTGTCAGGTACACCGTACGGGCTGGCCGCGAGTTTCGGATATCGTTGGCGGGGACCCGTAAATGGAGTGCGTTATGCATTTATCAAGTATTCATTGAAAAGCCTTGCTATACATGCGGCACGCAATAAGCCTAGACGCAGACGTAAGAACATCCCATAAGGGTTTGTGGAGCCTAGAGGTTCCGGGGGAGGGCAGCCTCACGGGTTTGTTGTCATCTTTGGCAAGAAGCTGCGCTTGCGTTCGGCGTACATGCGCATCGAGCAGAGCATTGATTCCTGGCGACAAAGCAAACAGCCACAGAGAGCCGTGAAGCCTGCTGTATCTACCCAAGGGCGCCGTCAGGCACGCGAGTTCTAAGAAGCTATTACCGCATGGAGGTAGCACACGTATGTGTAGAAGACAGAGCAGCAGCGGGCAGACAGAGACACAAATGCAGACGCCCGACGGCACGGGGAGATGGCGGCAACGGGAAGGGCTGAAGGAGCTGTGCTAAGTCTACACAAGCGAGGCAGGCAGAGAACTGCTTTTCCGACAAGGGAAAGGGATGCAGCGAGGCCTAAGAAGAAGGCGTAAAACGGGTACGCACTGTTCCTAGAGTGCGCGGTAGCAGCGGCCGATGCCATAGACATTACGACTCACCTCTGCTCTTGAGATGCTGCGGCTTCCACAGCATGCCGAGACCCCTCGTCAGCAGCTTCACGGCAAGAGAGAGCCGACCCAAAGCTTGTGGCCTACCAGCGGCAGCAGCAGCACTGGAGGCGTCTGCAGCTCCTGTTGGCCTCGTTTCAACGGAGGAAGGCATAGACTCAAGGAGGACGATCCTCACCAGGTGCTGAGTCACCACGGCGGCTACATCAATGCTTCCAACTGCAGCAGGGACGCACCGGCAAGGCGCACAGAAAACGTGGGGAAACGTGGCCCTCAGCGGTCCTCACACTCGCCGCCTTTCTGCCTTGGTGTCGGCTTCAAAAATGTGACGCTTCACAGTGTATCACTGCAGTGTATCACTGCAGCGTGTCACTGCCGTGTGTCACTGCAGTGTGTCACTCCCCCCAATTCTCCTTGAAACCTAAAAGGGGCCTTTTGTGGAACGTTTTGCGGCCTCCGACAAGTCGATCGGGCGAAGCGGAGCGTCAGAGACACCCCTAAAGACTTCCCTGTCCCCCCATCCCCCAAGAGAAGCCACTTACTCCTGCAGAAGTCTGGGCGCAGGTACAGTGCATTTGCGAGCAGCACAAGGGCGGCGTCCACCGACGTGGAGTGCTGTAACAGAAGAACATACACGTGTCTGGAGGCAACCCGCGAAAAATAGACGCACACGGCAGAAGGACAGCCAGAGACAACAAGAAGCCTTCGCGATCCCGGCTGCTGCCTTTCGGGGTCTCTCCTCCTCATCAAATCCCGTATTAAATATCAACAACTGCGTCTCCTGAAAACTGCTGACCAACGCTGCTTCGCTACTGCTCTTTCGCCCCCTTGTCTCATTCCTGCACCCGCTATAGGCCCTCCTCCCCCGACTCTGGCCTCGTCACTCACCTTGTGAGGCTCTCCTGCAGCCGCTGCAGCGGCAGCTGCCGCAGCAGCAGCAGGCCCGATCCCCCACGCCGCAGCACAGCAGAGCAGTCTCATCGCCGCTTCTATGTGAAGCAGCAGGCTGCTGTTGCTGCTGCAGCAGACGGCACGCTGCAGCAGCTGCATTGCACCAGGATTGGGCTGCCCCTGGTTTGCCTGCGGGAGGCAGCAATACGCAAGAGCGATCAAGCTGATGGGAGGAAGAACCCACTCCCCTTGCTGCTGCTGAGCTGCTGCGGCGGCAACGTCCTCCTCCTGGCTCCTCAAGGCATGCAGAAGGGAATTCTCGAAGGCAGCAACAAGGGCCTCTGTCTCCTCTTCCTCCAGGCCGAGCACTGGCAGCCAGCAACACCGTAGCAGCAAGGAGAAGGAAGAAAGGCACATAGCCTTCAAAAAGGGGGATGCAACCAACACAGGAGAATGCTGCAGCAGCAGCGGACCGCTTCCTGCTGTAGCAGAATGCAGCTGCAGCTGCTGGAGCGTTGCTGTCGCCGCAGCTGCTGCAGGAGTTACCGTCCACACCACCGTGTCTACAGGGACCGCACGACACAGACCGACTGCTGCTTCCCCTGCTGCCGTTGCAGCTGCCAAGTCGTCCTGTGCCGCAGCCGAGAGCAACTCAGTGTCTCTCCCCACCCCTCTTCCTGCTGCATCTGCTGGTGCTGGTGAGCGCGTTGAGTCAGCTTCAGAGCTCCAAGCTTCGGAGCCCTGCTGCAGCTTGTATCCCGACAGCTCCAGCATCCATATCCGCTGCTGTGGCTGCACCTGCTGCTGACACCGGTTTCGAAATATAGCTGCCACGCGTTTGCTTAGAGCTGCGTCTGCAGCAGCAGTTGCTGCTGCTCCTACGGAGGCACTTTTGCGCCCAGACGTCCCCAAGAGACCCCAAGCCGCCGGGCACTCTGAAGAGCGAGCCGTTGCGGCAAGAGAAGACACTGCAAGATCCAGAGCTTCATGCAAGCCTTCGGTCCTTCCCGGAACTGTTGCCGTGGCAACGGGAGGGGTTTGTTGGAAGGAAGACAATGCTTTGGTGGCAGCGGAATTGAGGCTGCGGAGGGAGGGCAGCCGCAGAGCTGTCTCCGTGAGGTCGTTGACGCTGCTGGTGCTGATACGGCGGCACTTGCCCCTTAAGAAGGGAAGCCGTCTCCGTCGCAGCAGGTGGCTACGTGCTGCATCTCCTGCACACCGCACTGCTCCCTCCAGGACCGCTGAGGCTCCCGCGTCAGCTTTTGCAGCAAGTGCTGCAGCAGCAGCAGCAGGTAGCGCCTCACTGGCGGTTCCGAAAAATCCGCCGTGGCAATGCAAAAGGCCTTCTGTTGCCCCTACTGCTGCTTCTGCAGCAGCCGCGGCTGCTGCTGTCAACACTGCTTCGGTGTCGAGGACCGCAGGACGGAGGCACTTCTCGTGCTGCAGGAAGATCTGCCGTGCAGCCTGTGTTGCAGCAGCAGCTGCTGCGACTGCTGCTTGCTGCTGCTGCTGCAGCAAGTCGGCGGCCATCGCCTTCAGCACAAGAGAGGGAAGAGGAATTGCAAGAGCCATCTCCACTCCGAGCACTGCAGGGTATAACGGAAGCGGCGGAGGACGCAAAAAAGGAAAGAGCTGCAGCAGTGCTGCATCTGTCGCTGCAGAGATACCGAAAGGCGCAAAGACACCCGACAGCAGCATTGCTTGGAGAGGCAGACCGCCCCTGCTGCCGTTCCTGGTGCTGTTCAAGTACTCTAAGGGGAGCATGAGAACCCCACAGTTGGCGTAGATGATGTGCTGAGCTGCCCCACAGCTGCAGGAAGCGCAGGGAGGGTCCGCTTCTGCAGGTCGATCTGATGGTGCTGCTGCTGCTTGTGGTACTCCCCGGCCTCCTACCCGCTGCCACAGCCTAGGAGATTGGTCATGAGCAGCGCCGGAAGGCATCCCCTGCTTCACCGAAGAAGACACTTTGCACTGCAGCGAAGGCGCTCCAGCAGGACCGCGGCTGCAGCTGGTGCTCCTCGTTCTACTGCATTCGCTGCTGTGCTGCAGCGGAAAAGCAGTTGGAGTTGTTGTGTCTCCCCTTAGCTTGGGTGTAAACACGTGCGACCCGAGGTTTCGGAAGGAGGCCTCCTCTTCTTCTCTCCGTTGCTGCTCCAGCTGCTGCTGCTGTTGTTGCAAGGTTTCTTTCTCGCAGCAGCAGCAGCAACAGCACGAGGTCGTGGGTAGCTGCAAGTGCCCCAGAGCCACTCCCCACCGGGTTAACTCCATGTGCGGCGAAGAGGCGAACAGGTTTTGATTCTGGATGAAGAAGCGAAAATGCTTGGGAGGGCCCCCTGGGGCCCCCGGAAGCCCCTGTTGCAGCAGGCCCGGCAGCTGCGTTAGTGGGAGCACAGATAGCAGCAAGCCGGACTGAATCCGCCACAAGAATAGACAGCTACTGGTGATGCAGCAGCAAAAATCGGACAAGAGGTCTGCTGCAAACTTTTTGACATCACGGGTGCTGCATTTTGGGTGTCTCTGTAGCAGGAAAACTCCCTTGGGGTTTGTTGGTCGCGGCACATGTTGCAGGATCAGCGGCAGGGGGCCCCCCACTGCCGCCGCTCTGTGATGTATGGACACCGGGCTCTCCACAAATCCTACAAGTTCTTGCCCCGCTTCAGCAGCAGCTGCTGCGGCAGCAGCCGCTGCTGTACGGGCCCCGTTGAGGGAAGCTGCGCACAGTCCTGTTGCTGCTGCTGGGGGGGGGGGAGCGGCTGCTGTTGCAGCAGGCGTCAACAGTTTGCTACAGTCGATGAGGGCAAGTGTGCCGCAAAGGGAAGCTGCGGCGAAGCACCAGCTGTCGTAAGAAGCTCTGCTGCTGCCCCCTGCAGCAGAGAGGACCCTGTGAGCAGCCGCGGCTGCACACGGCAGAACCTGTGGCAGAAATCCTGCAAGGGCGAAAGTCGGCAGACACCAGAGAAGAAGGTCCCCGCTGTTTGTAAGACCGCCAACGAGCAGACTGCTGATACTGCACAGCGCCGTTACGACTGTCTTCTTCCCGCTGCAGCCAGGAGCCCCTCTTCCTACCGCACTTGCTGCAGAAATTCGGCTGTCTATACACCCCGCTGGAGTCGGCAACAGAAAAATCGCGGGGTGGGGGCGCTCAGGAGGAGGCCAAGGAAGAGGCGTCCCCCCTCCAATGCTAAAGCACCCCCTGCCAATAGCTGCGCCTCTTTCTTCCTCCTCCTGCGGGTGCTGCTGTGGCTGCTGTGGCTTGCTGCGTCGAGAGGTGTCTGTCCCGTTTAGGTGCGCTGCAGTGACAGAACCGTCAGAGAACGAGGAAATAAAGTAGACTCCTCCTTGACTTTCCGCTAAGCAGCAGCTCACGCAGTGGGTGCTGGTGTTGCTGCGGCTGCCACTGCTGCTGCCGGCAGCAAAAGGCCATCGCAGCAATTGCTGATGCCCACGTACAAAGCCCCAAAGGGCCGCAGGCTCCGACATCAGCCGCAGCTTTGCGTGGCTCATGTCTGCCGTCTTCCCAGCCCATACGGCAGCCGAGGGGTTAAAGGAGAAAAAGGGAGGGGCTTGCCGCCGCCGAGTGGCAGTGCTGTCGCCGACGCAGCAGCTGTTACCCTTGCTGGTAGCGGGCTGCAGCACTCCACGAAGCGCTGTCGGAATACGCCAGACGTCGCTGAGGCTGAAGGAGAAAGTGACGCCCACCTCGTTCCAGCAGTGCCCTACTGCCGACGGGGATTCCGCAGGGGGGCGTCTCCGCAGCCACCAGCCGAATGTGAGGCGGTCAGGCCGGCTAGCGGTTACGCCTAGCACTCCAAGGCCTGCTGCGCAGCACACATCTGAGCCTCCGGATGCTGCTGCTGCTGCTGCTGGATTAGGCAGCAACGGGAAGAAGACAGGCCTGGGAGTCGCTGCTGCGGCATCTGTTGCCAGCAACTGGAGGGGAAGCGATCCCAAGGCGATCCCCCCATGCCGCGCGCTGTGGAGGCCATGATGCTGCTTGGGGATCTGGTGGTGCCTCTGTGCGTCAGGCAGAGTTAGGGGGAACAGAAAAATACGGCCACGTGAAGTGTATGTAAGGAGGAGAGACTCTGCTGCGGCAAGGGCAGCCGAGGAACAAACTCGGTGACCCCACGACCAGAGCACAGGCTGCGTAAGCAGCAGCTGACTCTGGACCGGTTGCATCTCCCGTTCGTTCTTCCGCTGCGTGTCTCCTTGCGCCTCTTCCCTTTCCTGTTCGGTGCCTCTGCTCCTCATGGCCTCTTCCGCTATCGAAGCCCACATTTCACTCGAGTTCGGAGGGAGCAGCTGCATGCCCCACCACACTTCCCCCTGCAGCAAAAGCCAGCCTCCGCAGCAGCAAAGACATCATCCGCTTGCCCATCTATCTCTAAGAAACACACACTTTCTTCAGACCCCGTTCGGCCGTTCGGCAAAAGGCCCACCCGACAAACACGACTGCCCGCAGCGCCAGCAGCAAACTTGGCTGGAGCACGTCCTTACCGGATACAACTGGAGGGGGCCCCCGCACTGCTCCTGCTGCAACAGCAGCGCCTGCTGCTGCAGCAATGCCTGCTGCTGCATCCCTGGGGAACTCCAAGGCAACGCATCTGAAAGACAAAAGAGCTCGGCGTGGCGATCGTAGCTTCCGCCACTCCGACGCTGCCACAGAAGAAGCCTCCTGCTCGTGCGCAGCACCAGGTAAGAGGCCGAGACAGCCAGAGGATTCTGATGCCTGCCATGGCTGTTGAAGCAGAGAAGATCTTCTCCGTCAAGGGTATTCATGGTTTCAAAGAGCGCTGGCACTACCAGAGGGGCGTTGGACGTGCCGGGGTTGGTCGTGTTGCTGCTACTGCTGCTGACACTGTTATGCTGCAACAGCTGCTCGAGCAAGGGGCTTTTTGTTGCCGCTGCTGCAACGGCTAGCATCTCCTCGGGGGACCTTAAGGCAGGGCCCCCTAAAAGCGGCACGGCAGGGGCCCCCGCGACGGGGTGGGCCCTGCGCCAGTCACGGAGGGGTTCCCTGAGGCAGCACAGCATAGCAGCACATGCAGCAAGCAGAGAAGAGCCCTAAAGACAGCGGGTGGGCAAAGGCGTTAGTGCATAGAAACGGATGCTGCAGGACAGGGCAGAGAGAGAGCGATGCAGCCTGGCTCGCGGGGTGTGCTGCGACAAAAAGCAGCAGGCACCAGGCACGACGGCATCGCCAGAGCAGCACCCCTCAAGCAACAGGAGAGACGCCAGGCGACTAGGGAGCGACAGTCGCCGCGACTAGCAGCCACGCAACTTACTGAATATCCCAGAGCCGGAGGCAGCCGCAAGGGGCAAGAACGGCGCAGCACACAGAGCCCAACAAAGGGACAGGCACAGCAGGTGCAGCGGGAGGTTGTGTGTTTGCCACTCCTGATGTGGCCGGTGATGCGGCGGGCTGCAGAAGCACAGAGTGCGAAATAGAAGATGAAGAAGACGTGGTAGACACGTTGACGCCTACAGCCTCCGCGCGAGGCGGTGTCTGCTGCTGCCGTTGCTGGTGTTGTTGCGCACTCCTCCCGCGTGGGGTTGTTGGGGGCGCCACGTGGATCGTAGGCATTTCTTTTGCAACGCTGCTCCGATTCGACGAGGCGGTCCTGCGGAGATGCGCATTGACGGCCAAGTCGCCCCCCACGCCCCCTAAGTTCGCCCCCAAGAGGCCTTCGTAGGCTGCGCCGAGTCTCCGTAGCCAGTCCCCTGCATCGCACGAGGGGGGGCTCTGTGCAGCGACGCAATAGTACCCTTCAGCAGCAGGATGTCTAAAGGAGGACCCCACGAAGTTTCCACACATTCCACAGCATCGCGCGCCCGCGGATCCCCCCGGCAAGGCCTCCTCGTAAGCCTCGCCTTCCAACGACGAGCCATCCGTGCTGGAAAGGAATCTCGGAGGGGCCCCTGGCAGGGGCAGCTCACAGACGGAAGCAAATGCAGACCAGGTATCCAACACGAAGGCTTTTCCACCGCCTGCGGCAGCAGAGCGCAACTCGAAAAAACTCCACTTCTCAAACCTAAAATACTTCAGCCCCAAACTACACACCTGAAAGCCGTGTTGCCTGAGCCCGCTACATGGCGACGCAGGGCAAGCAAGTCTGAGCCACCACCACTGCCCCCAGTAGATAGTGGACGGGAGAACGGAAAATGGCAGGAAACAATTGCCTCACCTAACGGAGGAAACACGGCGGCGAGACACCACACACAAGCACACACGCTGGGGCTCACCAGTGGAAAGAACGAATCGAGGGTCTGCGAGTGTCTCAACGTGAGACGCTTCGAAAGGCAGTCGTCTACAGCGAATTTCACACAACAGAGGGGCCTCGTGAAGGTGTGCAGAGCTTTCTTTGCAGCTGGAGTTGCCATAGCCGGCGTCAAAGGGCACTCTGGGCTGAAGCAAGCAACGAGCCTCAGAGTCGGAGGGGAGACAGCGACCGGGGGAACGGGTAAATGCAGAACTATATTGAGGAAAGTGACTGGCTAGAACAGAAGGCCAATCATATATACAGCCAAGCTGCAGCATTGGGGTCACCTGGCTAGGAGACAACGCCCCTCTGAGAGGCACCAAAGGCGAATCCTGTAATCTTTGTGCAGCGACACCAGCAGCTCGTCGGTTGTGGACTGCAGTGCTGCAAGCGGGGCTGAGACGAAACACACTGCTGTTACTGCGGCTGCTGCACCCCACTCAGGGAGAAGCACCAGGTGTGGTAGCAAGACAGGGGAGGGTGGGGGCAATCCGCAGCCTCCACCGCCGAGTGCGACTGAGGCAGCTGCTGTAGCCGAGGCTGAGCTGCCTGTTGCTTGTCCCCCCGCAGCAGCAGCAAGCCCTGCTGCTGCAGCAGACGTCACCAGATCGTCATCCTGGGGGCTATCTCTGCTGCTGGTGTCACCCTCGCTGCTCGTAGAGCTGCTGCGTCTGGTGCTGCAGAGCTGCCTTTGACTGTTACTCAGTTGCCAGATGTACAGAGGACCCTGCTCAGTCCCAGTGACAAGCGCCGAAGAGAAGGATGAAACTGCCAAAACAGATATAGTCGCAGAAACGTGCAAGTCTGGCCACACCACTGAGGCGAGCCAACTTGGATTCAGCATCGTGCAGGGGGTGCAGAAGCATGAGAAGCAGCTGCTGCTGCCCCCCTGCTGCTGCTCCTGCTTCTTCTATGATCCCAGTCAACAGTGGAAGCGGTTTTGCTGCTGTCGTTCTTGCCGCTGGAGCCAGTATTTCCACGGTGTTGCTGCTGTTGCGCTAATGTGCGTTTTCAGCCGCGGAGCAGGGAATGAAGGCCTGGCCTCCAATCCCCCAAGAAGACGTTCGAAGACCTCGCAGCTGCACTTCTCCGCTGTATTTATGCATGCGCGTTTGACGACGGATACGACTGCGGGCGTCCCGTTGTGTTGGTCGTGTTGCGATCTCGAACTCACGGCCGCAAGTGTGGCTGCTGCTGCTGCTGCAGCTCGACAAGATCACCTGCACTCGTTAAATGAGTCTCTTCTGAATGATTTGCACTTTTAGTGAGACTGTATCTGCGCTTCCGGAGCTCCCCTCCGCGGGACGATAGAGAACCCGCTAAGGGCCCCCTACCAACAGCACGAGTCCCTGCTGCTGCCAGCGTAACCAGTGCTAGACGCAGCAAGGGCGTGAAAGAACTTGTTGGAACCCTTGTCTTCGTACTCGCTGTAGTTAAAATTCAGCAACTCTTCACTCTTATGGATTATTGAGGCCTGTGTTGCTGGCATTTGTGCTGCTGCTGCTGCTCGCCGGTGCCGCCGCCGCCAACCCCCTGTGGCTGTCTTGGTACTGGGGGGCCCTTGGGCTTTTGAATATCTACTTGCCTCCTTTGTTCTCTTTCTTTTGTTGGCAGTTTTGCTTTGCTGCAAGTTTTCCCACGTCTTCCTGCCTCTGCTGCTACTGCTTGTGCTGCCGTTGGTGCACACTACCCAATCCTCAGCTATGCATTCCAAGCAACGCGTTCCTATTTTCGCTGCTGCAGCAGCAACGCTGGTGGTGCTGCTGCAGCCAGCAGTAGAAGCTTTCGCTTTGGGAGGCCTCCGTCCCTCCCTTTTAACATCCCCCCTCACTTCTACCCCGTTGTTGCCTCAGGGTGCCACCCAGTCCTCAGTCCTCTCTGGAGCAGCTGCTGCAGGGGCCCCCGTAGCCCTTCATGCGGTTTCCCCACCGGCAGCAGCAGCAGCGGCGAATCCGCCAGAGGTAGCAGAGGAGGAGGTGAGGTAGCCGTGTTCCTATAGTGCTGTCTTGTGCAACACCCCCCACCTGCGGTTAGGCACCTTGACGTCGTTGCTTGTGCGTGTGCAGTGCTGCTTCTATTGTTGACCCCATAATCCCAAGCTATCGCCAGTCTTGCTTCTGTAATGCTTTGCCTTTTTGCGTTCTCCCCACACTACTTATTGACCACCCTAGCCTCGCGGCCTTCACCCCCATACTTGTTGCGCCATATCCGTGGCCCTTGCTGGCAGGATGTCTTGTGCTGCAGTCTGGAGACTCCATCACTGTTACGAAGAAGGAGCTGCTGCAGCGAATTTGTGCAGAGACAGGTCTACCCCGGACCCAGGTAGAGCGCGTTGTGGGTCTCCTGACTGAGTATATCAATGAGAACCTCGCTAAGGGCAAGAAGGTGTTTGTCTCTCGCCTGGGCACATTCAGTACCCGCAGAAGAGGCCCTCGCACAGCCAGGAACCCCAAAACAGGGGACGCCATCGAGGCCCCCGCCGCGACCTTCCCTTCCTTCTCCTTTGCTAAGAGTATTCGAGAGGCAGTGAGAGACACCATCCCCCTAGATACAGAAGAGGAAAATGAGGCTGATGGGAAGCCGCTGCAGCACTTCCCCCAACATGCCCAACAGCAGCATCAACAAAAGAAACAGGACTCTAAGTTGTTCGGGTGGCTACCGTAAAAACATACTTTTACGGCTTCCTTCCTTCCCATTGTGGGGGGCCACCATCGCGAGGGCCCCGCGAGACACAACGAGTTCGATGTGTATCGCCGCTTATTGGGCCTGAATTGTTGTGTCAAGGATTTTCTTGGCAGCCTCTGAGGTTTTAGGGCTTAGGGCGTAGGTTGTTCAAAGTACCAAAGCTGCCGACGGCCCCAACAAGGCGACAGCTGCCTAATAAACAATGCGCTGGGTAGCATACACAGAGTGTAATAGGGTGTACCGTTTAGGCCCGCGGGGCTCCACAAGAAAGTCTATGTCAACAAGTCACATACTTCGTCTGATGCCCGTGAGAGCTGCACTTCCGCGTCGACGCCACTGCCCTGTTGGATAAGCTGAGAAGTCAAATTCTGCGTATTAATGCTAGGTGCTAGGCTTTAAACGAGGCTACATTTGGAAGGTGCTTGATGCAGCTCGGAGCGACGGAGTGCGCTTGTGGTGTTGACCAGTACCGGCGCACCGATGGTGACCCTGCCTCCAAAGACGTAGATGCTTGGGTTTGGGGCTTTGAATGCACACATTATAGGGAATTGTGCATAGTATCTCTACAGTTAAGCCGATCTTATCAGTAGCTTGAGAGCGCTGTAGATGCTGATGCTGCTTTGTTGCCCTCCGAGTGCTGGCCTGCGGGGAGGGCCCTCTGGCCGCCTGCATCCTGTGCTGCAATGTAAATGCAGTGCTTCTTGCGATGTGTCTTAACTGCTAGATTATGATGGCGTTATGCTATATCTGACGTAGGCGCAGCTTTTAATGGCTCACACCCTGCAACTTCTTGGCAATGAACTCCTTGCCCGGTCCATGTGATCTAAAATCGCCCGGCGCTGCTTTTTGGTTCGTCGACACCGATTTAACTTTGGTGGCGCTGCATTGTATGCTTCTTGCTATTATATTTGCTTCCCTTTTTTGGTTGGATCGAGATTACTCTTGATACCCTTGGACTTCTCACTGAGGCTTCGAAGCGTCCCGGTCGTGTGGTCGATCGGGACCGCGTTTCCTTGTGCTCTATTTTTCCTCTGTGCATCACGCAAACAGTCGATTCAGGCTGTACTGGCCCTGAGGCATGCATATACTCTCTCCCCTGTACCTACAATGCAGCAGCAGCAATTTCTGGTGCTACTGGTGCAGCTCACCCTACTTGTAAAAGTCGCACTACGGCTGCCTCAGTTCGTCTTTGGTTATGCAACCGCTAGGACCATTGACCCCTTCTCAAGTCCAAATTACCACGCTCCTCGTACACCAGACATTATTACCACGTGGTCGAAGCAATCCGGCAGTGTTCAGGGCGTGTATAAAGGTATGCTTAGTGCCCCTCTGACTTGAGTCGTGTCCACGAGCAAACAAGCGGAGATATTCCAGCAGGGGGGGTGGGATAAGGGGTATCGTGGGTGCTTTGATAGGTCTAATGTGTGACAGTGGAGCAACAAGAGTCTCCTCCGTATACTCTTAACCAGAAGACGAGAAATACAAGCTTTAAAGATAAACGGCTTCCTTCTGGCTGCTGCTCAGCCGGCCCCTAATTTTACTAGTTACGAGACTCTCTCGTCGCTGGTTCAGGCAGAGAGGGGCACGAGTTATCAGGGAGGAAGGATAGGGAATAACGACGGGGGCAGACAGGAACATTTCTTTGTTACGGAACCCACATCAGTACCTGCATTCGTGTGGTCTATGCCTCCATCTTCGCAGACTGTTACGCAGCCATCAACAGGATTAGAAGTGAGCAACTGGACGAGCCTCTCCCAGAAATCCACATAGATAAGCAGCTGGCAGCTAATGCAAGGGCCAAAGTCAAGGAACTCGTCCAGGAAGGATGCGAGCAAGGCCGTACTGCAGACGGGATAAGCGTACGTTGCCACCGTTGTATCCTCGCTTGGGCTATATGCTAGTGCTGCAACAACCGTCGTTTTACATTCAGCCTTTAGCTCATACATGCAGCCGGCCCTACGATTGGAGAGAAGCCGATTTTGGTCATACAATAGGAGCACAATTTAGGCATGTGCAACAGAAAAGGTGTGCATAGCGATCTAGTTCGTGAGAGGACCTCATTCCAGCGTTACTGGTATGAATGTCCCACAGTGCGTGTGCGTCGGTCTAGGCTGCTTTTTCTTCAGGAGGGAGCTCTCGTCTTAAGATTTGCAACTCCGCCAACCGAGTGCATTGAGCCTCTGCAGCAGGTGGTGAACTCGTGCCTGACGCAATGGGGAGGGTGCGAGCTAGGCATCGCCTTTCATAGTTGCTTTCCTCTCTCCATGAATTAGGTCACCCTTTTCCTCGCGCACATCAGAGCACGCCCTCCTTCTCGCATTTTTTCCTGATGCCCTCTCCCTATCACTGCCCCTGTCTCTCTTTCGTAGTTTTCTGCTCTGACGCTTCCAGCAGCCACCGAGGGATAGAAGCTAATGCGCATTTCATGTTGCTCTTGCTTCTTTTGCTGCTTCTCCCGACGTTTTTGCAGCACCCCTCCGTCTGAGTACGAGAAGAGTAGCTCGTCTTGGAATACGGCCACTACCCAAGCATGCGCCATCCTGTTGTGGCCTGGCACCACTCATATCGGCTGTGGGATGTCCAGCAGATGCCCTTTGGTGAACTTCATGGTCTGCTACTCTAACCCGCCGCCTCAGGAGGGCGAACTGCCGTTCACGTGAGTGAGCTTGTATACCCTTCGCTTCAACGGTCGGTACGGCTCATGCCTCCTTCGTCGCGCGCCACACGACTCTCTTGTTTGTTCTTTTGTCTCTTTGATTATTTGATTTCTGATTCGCAGAAGAATTGGAAAACGAGTATGGGCAGCCTTTTTCTGCATCGATTCTGCTGTTTGTTGCAGTGGTGCCCAGTTTAGTTCCCTTGTATCACGGATGGCCAAGAATGTGGACCTCAGAAAACAAAGCACAGAAGGCGATGTACCCATGGCTCTCCCGCTTTGTCTCATTCTTCTTACCTCAGCTGTCACGGCTCTTGCCTCTTGGCCTTCGCCTTGAACCCAAAAATGGGGAAAGCGGCTTGAGTGAGCAGTGCTTGAGGCATGTTCAAGGCAAGTTCCGTGCACTTGTCTACTTCAAATGGCATGAACATGTTCCCCTTTTTAAACAAAAAGGGTTGGCTATATTGTTTCCCGATTTGAAGACAAATGGCCCTTTCGTTTCAAGGAGAGGAGTCAATGGCTGCTTTAGGTCATATATATATCCCCCAGTTCTGGGCTGGCACACCAATAGTCCCCTATTAACATTCCCCAGAGAACGGCCAAATAGGATTTTAGCCTTGAAGTTGTCTGTAAACGCGCCTGCTATATGGTAGGTTGCCATTTTGTTTCAACTCGATTTGAGACTATCCGCTCACAGGGCTGATGACGCCGGAGAGTGCGAGGACTGGTAACCCCGGACTGTTTCTTATACATAATTTAAATAATGACGTAAATTCCTGTGAGGCATAGCAGAACCTATTGGGTCCTGTGGCAGTACCCAGCACCTTGTCAAGAGATCTATGAGCTGAGAGGGAGATCCAGCGGAAGAGACGCCTGAGCAAGACACAATAGGCCGCTCATATGGCGCTCCGGAGTATACTGGGGAAGGTTGTGTGGAGTCCATGCACAGAGTCTATCTGTGTCAGATACAACGCTTCTCACCTTATATGCAAGCAAAGGGGTAGGCCCTGCCAGTAGGGGTAGCCATGCTATTAAATGAAACGGCATTCATGGAGCATCGTTGAAGTAACCACTACAGACTCTACAGAGAGTATCCGGGAGAACATTCCCAAGATTTTTCAGGTCCGAAGCACAACCAGAAAGGGGCCGTTTACTGTATGAGAGGTGGGCGTGTTGCAGCACTCCAACCATTCCGAGCCGTTCTTTGGACATCAGCTGTAGGTGGAAATTTCGACAGGCGCTAGTTCATGCGAATGTTTGGAGGCTGCTAGGAAGTTGAATAACTGGCATGTTAGAGCATGTGGGGAACAGGTTCAGATCAATAGATCCATCTGAGGTCACTGCCTCCTCCCTGAGTTACAATATCAAAGAAATTCATCGGTAAGGGGTGCCGCCCCCTACTCTGTCAGTCCAAAAGCTCGCACCGGCAATGCATGACAGCTCTTTAGGCTGCGTTTAGCTTGTCCGAGTTGTCCCGTTAGCCCAGTGGCTCAGTGAGTCTCTGCCGTAACTTGCCTCTTCAGGCAGTGTAATGTGTGAAGCCTTTTACAAAAAAGCAAAAAAGTCATGGGAGGCCAGGTGAATCCCGTATCTTGTAGGATCTGCGTTAAAGCCTGAATAGCGCTATCCCTTGAATGCCTGTTTGTCAACAGCGTGGCCGGCCGTCGTGTCTGTTTCGCAGTTTTGTATCTAATCTATGCACCTAACCTTGAACTGAGGCAAAATTTCATGAAATGTGCACTACTTAATTGTCTACAGATCAATGCAATTGTAAACAGGGAGCCTTGTCTTCTGCTACCTGAGCGCCAAAGCATCTATCCCAATATACAGGGTCACCTGTCCTCTATCCATTGCAGATTTTAAGGTTTTTCCTTCGCGATTTAGGTCTGAAGGCTTTGTTACACTTCACCTCTCCCCTCTGAACTTCATTTAGCAATAAAGTGAGTATCCATCTAGCCGGGATTCTGCTGCTTTCCCCTGCCTCGGAGGCACGGGATTTTAGGGTTTATGGTAAAGGCTGGATTCCTATCATTTTAAAGGTTTAAAGGGCGCCAAGCTAGAACGTCTAATTTCTCTTTCTGGGTAAAGAACACTTCATTTTTTTATATCAGGTTGCCCGAGGGTGTGGTGTATGGCTGTAAAGGGTCGTAAAGGCTTAGCTTGTAGGGCTTTGTGTCTACAACTCACGGCTTGAGTTGCGTACCTACCATGGGGGGCTCATCAAGACTCAATGTCGGCTGCAGCCGCTGCCCTCTAGCAGCTTTGATTGTTGCCGGGGTTCTAGTTGCAGGAGCAGAGCAGCAGCAGCAACCAAGAATTGCAGGTAAGCGCGAAGCATCTGTTTTGTTGTTATGGCTGCTGCTGCTTAAATTGCTCGATTCTTGCGCCCGAAGCTGGCCTTTTGTGAACCTCTTACTAGCAAGCGTATTGCCTCTGCGGTTGCAGGCCCAGCCGAGGCTTTCCTGGGTGTTCTGCATGGGGGTCCCTCCTCGCTTCGGACTTCCCTACAGCAGCAGCAGCAACAGACTGTCTCTGACGGGCCGCTGCAGCTTCCCTTCCTGCAGTCCCTATTCAGCAGCAGCAAGACTCCCCTAGGTCGTCTTTCGGATGTTATCAATGGCGGGGCCCCCGGACAAAAGAATGCCCCTCTCCCGATGCTTACCGGGCTCTCCGCCGGTGTCTCTGCGCAAAAGGACGAGCAGCATCTCGATATACAGCAACAGAAACGGGATATGGAATATGTAAGGCCTGAACAGCATCAAATGCTAGAGCAGTTGCTGTTGCAGCCAGCCCAGGAGGAGCCATATGCGGAGCCGCAGGCAGTGGCAGCAACACCGGTGGCACCAGCGTCTGTAGAAACGGAGCCTGAAGAAACAGGAGAGGCTCTTAATGAAAAGCCATTGCATCAGGTAGAAAAGGTGGTTACAGAGCAGCAGGATCTGCAGCAAACGCCACAAGAGCAAGGACACGATCTGCAGAAGCACAATGCGCTTCTTCAAGTGTCCCCAGAGGCGCCCTCAGAGCAGGTAAAGCAGTCACAGGAGCAGCAAGAGCAGCATCAGCAGCAGGATCCGCAAGGGCTGCAGCAGCAGCAGCCGCCGCATGACCACCAGTCGCAGCACCAGGTGCAGGAGCATCCTTCTCAGAAAGTGCAGCACGAAGGAGAGCAGCACTACCAACAACAAAACAAGCAGGATCAGATGCAGGAAGGTCAGCAGCACGCACAGCAACAGCAAACGCAACAACTGGCACCAATGCAGCACGAGCTGCCGCCGGCGCAGCAGGATCTAAGACTGGAGCCAGTCCCTCAGCATAGAGAAGCGCAGCTTCAGCAGCAAGCAAAGCAGCTGCAGGAGGAGCAGCAGTTACTGCTGCAGCAAATGCAGCACCAGCTAGCGTTGCAGCAGATGCAACAGCCGCAGGACATGCTGCAGCAGCAATACGTCCAGCAGGTACAGCCACAGGACATACCGCATGTGCAGCGTGGGTATTACCCCCAAGAGCTGGTAGTCCAGCAACAGCCACTGCAGCAACTGAAGTCTCCAGAGACTTACTCTGGAAGCACATCGGAAGCGTTGTCTTCCTACCTCGAGGGAGCCCCTCTGCAGCACGCACCCTTGCATGCCCCCCTTGGCGGCCATCCACAGCAGCTGCCACAGCAACTGGATGCTATCTCGGCAGCAGCGGAATGGCATGCTCAGCAGCAATATGTGTTGCAGCAGCCACAAAGCATTTCAGCACCGCTGCTACAGGAGCATCTGGTGCACCAGCACCTCGGGAGGCTTGAGAACGATGGAATGTCGGTGCTCCCAACGTTCCCTCCTTCCCCCCCAGAAAGTACTACCGCGAATGTGGATACATCATACACAGCGCCACAAAACCCTTCAAACCTAGTATTAAAGCCCCTTGAAAGCGTGCAGAGTGTTGCAAAGCAATTGGGCACTTTGGTAGGTATCCAAGACAGCTATCCAGGATCCGGTGGAGATCAGATGAAGAGCACGGAGTCTGCTTCGCCCCTCGGGCTGTTCGGACTTGCAACGCAGACGCCCGCCATGATTAGCAATGCAATGAATCTTGCAACAGCAACGGGAAACATTGCAGATGTGGGAAATAATATTATGAATTCGCTGCCGATGGATCAGATCGTGGCGGCAGCAAGATACGCCCAGGAAGGAGCCATCAAATCTCAATCTATTGACATTGAAAATCCCAGTACGTAGCTACAGGTCCTTATTACATCATAAGCCATGCGATAAAGCCGTCAAGATGTTAAACTACAAGTCTTGTGTGGCCTGTATCTCGATGTGAACTCTCCGCAGAAATGCAGCCAGGTGTCCGTTGCGCCAGCGAGGGAATGACCTGCTGCGTACCCGAAGGGGCGGCCCCTCGAGACTGGAAGCAGAAACCACCGGTTCTAAACGACTCTCCAGAAAGCCAAAGGCATTGCAAGGCTCACTTTGTCCCCATGCAAAATGCCCTCTGTGCTACAACCACCTATGAAGTGAGTAGAGACTGCCGCAGTGGGAGTCTGAGTGAAGAGCTTTCCTCTGGTCGTGATGTGACGCTGAGCTCGCAGTTGAGCCTTCAGAAGGACTGGCAGCTGATTAGTGCTGCTGTAGGCTTTTCATGCTGCTCAACAGGCATTAGGGAGTATCTTGAATCGCGCAGGATAAACGGCTTTTAGCATGGGTGCCTTGGGTAAATGTCTGCAGGGCAAAGACAACTGCGGATTGAGCAAGACGGAGACGCAGGAGTACCAGGTGTACAGACATACAATGACTATGCGAAATAAAGGGCAGAAGGCGATCTGTGAATGCCGCCGTCACAAGCCCTCAGCAGCTGCAGCCAAAGCAGCAGGCGATGGAGAGGCAGCAGCGGGGGTAACAGCCCCCATTGAGGGGTTCGCCACTTGGGAACACATAAAGAAACAGAAAAAGCAAAAGAAGGAAATGGAGGACAACAGCGCTATGCTCGCACAAGGTCTCGGAGCCACTCTGAAGGTGGCTCAGCTCCTTAGGGAGAGGGCACCCGAAGCGCAGGTGCTACTGCAACAACTGCAGGGGGGGCAGCCAGCAGCAGCAGCAGCAACGGCTGCAGCAGGGGCCGCACAGCGTGCCGCTACCCAACATGTAGTCCTTCCTACACCACAAGCCTTTCCCACGTCACTGCCCCCATATGGCGCTGCTTCGCTACCTGCCTCCGCAGCTGGTTTCTCGCCAATGCTGATGCCTCTAGCGGCACAGGGGTCTCCTGCAGCGCTAGAATCAAGTTTTCCTATGCAGCTCAGTACTGGTGACATGGTAGCACCTACTGCCGTACACGGAGCTTCCACAACCCAAGACATTGTGCTTGGCGCATCTGCTGCGGAAATGCCACCTGAGGTCCCTCTGAAGGAGCTGCAGCAAAATCAGGACCTTGCGCAGCAGCAGCTCCTGCAGCAGCAACTGGTCAGTCAACAGTTGCTCCAGCAGCAACTACAACAGCAGCAAATGCTGCAGCACCAGCAAATGCAGCAGCAGCACCAAATGCAGCAGCAGCACCAAATGCAGCAGCCGCAAATGCAACAGCCGCAAATGCAACAGCCGCAAATGCAACACCCGCAAATGCAACACCCGCAAATGCAACAGCCGCAAATGCAACAGCTGCAACTTCAACAGCCGCAAATGCAACAGCTGCAACTTCAACAGCCACAAATGCAACAGGCGCACCTGCAGCAGCAGCAACTACAACACCAGCAGCTACAGCAGCAGCAAGTGCAACAGCACCACCTGAACAACCAACAAATGCAACAACAGCACAGGATACATGGAGTAGACAGCTCCACGGGAATCCACCAACTATCCGTCCCCCAGCAGCAGCACGACTTCCTCCAACAGTCTGACCAGCTGCAGCAGCAGCTGCCACCGCCGGTTGCCTATCAGCAGCACATGCTACCGCAGACCCTACCACAGCAGCAAGCGTTGCAGCATCAGCTGCTTACAACCGACCACCTGCAGTACCCGCCGCAGTATCACCTGTCTGTTGAGCAGCAGCTCGCTCTGCAGCAACAGCTGGCGGCGCTTCAGCAGCAGCAGCAGCAGAACGTAGCGTTACAGCAGTATGGCTCACTGCAACAGCAAGTCATGCAACAGACTCCGCAGCAGCAGGAAGCCGTTCCTCAGCAGCAGCAGATACTGCCGCTCCTGGGTAACATTGGCAACATTACGCCAGCACAAGCCACCGAAGTGGCCACCCGGGCTGCTGCGGCAGTGGGGGCCTTCGTACAAGGCAACAACACTAACGGCAGCAGCACCAGCAACAACAGTGCCACTCCCACCAGCAGCAGCAACAAAAGGGGGACCGACTGGGTCGACAGACTAGCAGACTCGCTGTTGCAGCAAGGCAACAGCACGCCTGCTGGTGCTGCAGTCAACAAGATGCTAGACGACTTTTTTGCCGTAGCTGGAAGGTCCTAAACAACAACTGCACTTTGAAAGAAGCAGCCGTAACAAGAAGTGCGTCAGCAGCAGCAGCGACAACAGATGGATCCGTTTCATAGGGTCAAACGAGCTGCTGCAAGGCTTTGCACTTGAGGCATAGCTGGTATACAAACTATTCTGCTGCAACAGCCAGCCGCACAATTCGCAGAGCGTGGCAGCCTTCACAAGAGCTTCAAAATCCATTGTCGGTAACGGATTGAAGGTGAGCCGCTGCGATCTGACTCCCTCCGGAAGGGGCCGAGGGATGCTGCCGTTCCTAACCATCAACCCCAACCTGCAAGACATCTCTGTACCCCTGGTTTATTGCTTGTTGGGCTCCGTGTACTGAGGCATGTCTACGTTTGAAGGCCAACAGAAAGTGGGTTACTACGTTAAGGTGAAGCTAGCTGGCAAGCTTCACCTTAATGACACAGGCTGACCATCTACTCAGCTGGCTGTCTGGTCAGCGGTGAAATGCCGAAAGGTATGGTGCAGTTTAAGCTAGCAAGAGCTAGCTGGCCCTGCAACGGCCTTCCGAGCTGCTTGGCAAGCTGGTTGGCAAGCTACGTAGCTGACTAGCTGGCAGCTGGCCGGAATGAATCCGCTGTTGTATCTGTTGAGCGGACTGATGAACTATCTTTTTCCGTTTGTTCCACGTTGAAGGCGTCAGGAACATAATGTCTAGAGTCTAAAAGAGCACTATCCTATGCAACGCAAAGCCGAAACCCTCAGGGTATACGCTGCCTTCCCTATGCAAAAGCCTGATTCATGCGGAAGTCCTTATATGGTCCGCATTAGCCCAACCTTGGGTTACCCTTCGTCTGTGGAGCCTGTAATACCCGTTACTGTAGGTGCGTTCCTAGACAACAGTGAGCTGTGCAGAATTTCTCAGATGCCCCTAATACTGAGGAGCAGTATCCTGGCATGCCCGATGTTAAGTATCCGCCCGCTAGCCGCCCCTCCCCACCCTCCTCAGCCCCTTGGCAGCTTTTGGATGAGACTATCGAGGCGGCACGCTGCAGCGATGGCGCGGAAACAAGCTGCAGCTAAGGCCCTCTGCACGCGTGTACGACGAACCAGCAGGATGTCAGTAGGTATGTATGTTGTGCCGAGCAGCGCCTGCAAATATGTAAAGAACGTGGAGCGCCATTTACCTAAATGTGCGCGATTCTCTATTCTAACGCTGCCGAAGGTCCCAAAGATTCGCCTCCACTAAGCGGCTGCCGGCGTGTTCTGCCCACGGATTCCTTAAGAAACCCGCCCATTTTACACATGGACCTCATATGTAGTGAACTAAGCGCTATTCTAGGAGGACACTTTCAGCCAGTCGAATATCACCGATAAGAATTTGCACAGAGTTGTCGCATATTTGGTCTGGTTTTTCGAATCGACATTTTTTTCTGCCGAGGAGAGTTGATTAGGGCGGTACGATGAGGATCACTGCTATCTGCCTGTGCGTTATAGGGGGATGTGTGCACTTGGGTGCGAATAAATGTTGAGAGCGCCTACAGAGGGTACAGTAGCGTCCGTGTGCCCTAGCTGGTAGTCTCTCTTTGTCCCTCCCTCGTCGTGCCGAAATCGTGTCGGATTTGGGGACGCGAAGGACAATGAGAGGGAGCTCTTTTTGAACAGCGCTCGAAGGCTTTATATTAATCATTATACTGGGGTCTTTGCAGGAAATGTCTCACGAAGAAACTATAACACAGGGCATCAATCAACATGTCAGAACTGTGCTAGGAAAGATAAAAAGTTCCCGCGTCCTAGACATTTGAGAGCCCCCAGACTTGTCTCTCCTGTTCTCACGTATAAGTCCAGGGCAGAGTTGAGGTTTCCAGTCCTCGAACTTTTTGTACGGCTGTGCCTGGTGGGTGTGTGACCCTCACTGCCCGCCCTCCCTGTGGCTTGTTTGAGACCTACAGCAAGCCCCGAGCACGGGCTTATTTGTAGGGTACAGCCAGCGGTAATATCTCGAGATTCGAAGAAGGAATAAAGACGTGAAGAAGGGCAATGAGCGGAAGGTCCCAGCAGTGGGTTACGCCTCGTATGTAGAGTGGCTGTGACTGCCGGCCCCCAGCACGTAAGTCGCGAATGCAGCTGCTGTTTCTGCGCCTTGTTGGCCCATGCCACCTCGCCTTCCCTAAACATTTCGTCACTATTAAAAGCCCATAGCACGTAGGCGCAATAATATCCGCGGTGTTTCCACAGCAGCAGCAACAGCGGCGGCGGCAGCAGCAGCAGCACCCCACAAGCTATGCTGGCTGGAGACCTCCGTGGCTCGTGTTTGCTCAGCCTTTTACCTATTCTTCTTTGGTCGACTCCATTCCGTCTCTCAAGCCACTCCAAAAAGGGCCCTTTCGGCACTAGGCACCTGCCTTCACGCTTGTCGGCTGCCCTAACGCTGGCGGGCTCCCTGTGCTGCCTCACTGCCGGCGACTATATGGCAGCGGCGACAGCGGCCAAACAACTCGTTTATCCCACATCCAGGTGTGTGATTTTCTTCCCCTTACATGTACACGTACCGCTGCGGCAGCCAATGGACTAGCGTCCGGTTGTTCTGCCCACATGCTACAGTTGTACTCTCCTTCGTATAGGGCAGTGTCTCGCCATTCAATTTGTCTAGCGGCGCTCTTCCCCGCGGCACTGACGCGCCACTGCCGTGGCAGTAGGAGCTCCGTCAGGGGATCCACTGAGTGCTTTTGCTCGTGTTCTTAAAGAGGCCCCATGTGCTTTGTGTCGGCTGTTTCAGAGTGTCTTGTATTCGAAGAACTGCGCCTTCTTTCTTGACCGTCTCGCGCAGCCCCAGCAGGATCCCCCTTACCAGCAACAACAACGGCTGCAGCAGCTCTTCGGCGCCCGCTATATGTTCCAGGATGTCGCATATAAGCGCCTGCGGCAACGGCAGCAACATGGACGGCAGCCATTGCCGATACACCGTGGGGGCTGACTGGAAGCCTCCTGCAAAAGATGGAAAGCTTCTTACGGGCCTGCACGTTAACAACTCAATGACGGGTGGCAAGACGGAGTTCATCCCGCAGGTCCATAAATCCCTAAGACGCAGCTTGTCCCTTGTGCTGCACAATTAATGCACTTCGTCCGGTAGACCCTATCTGTAAACGCCGTTTGCGCAGCTGCGCCTCCTCTTCCCACCCACGATACATGACTCTGCTTGTCTCCCACTTCCGCGTGTCGCTCGCGGCCGCATTCTGTAGCCACCGAGGGCCCCTCAGTCTCGCTGCAGCCGTGGACTGCAGCAGTAAAAGTATGGATTTGCGGCGCTTGCAGGTGGGAAATCGGGTGTCTTGGTACGCTTGTGGCCCCACAGTGTACGATGCAGCACACATGGGCCATGCGCGGACATACCTTTCATTCGACATTATTCGACGGATCCTCAGCGACTACTTTGGCTATGACGTTTGCCTCGTGATGAATATCACCGACATTGACGATAAAATCATCGCCAGGAGTCAGGAACAGGTGGGTTTGTCGCGTCCTTTATCTGGAGTTTTTGGCCTTAACAGTTGCAGATCCTAATTTTGAAGAAGGGAGGAGGGGCAGACGGCGCTACCTGCGGCAGGCCTTGTATGATGGTGTTGAGGAGGCTGATAATGAGGTCATTCAGGGCGTGAATTTTCTCGAATTGGCACGGCACTGGGAGAAAGAGTTCTTTAAAGACATGCAGGATCTTAATGTCTTGTAAGCAGCTTGATATGCAGACGTTCCCCTTAGCGAGGCAGAAGGACAGGAAGAGGAAGCGAAAAATCCCTCAAGCCTATGCTATGAAGCCTGCAGTGTGTTTGCCACTCCCTCTTTTGCTATTATGTCGAGTTTTATGCGGAGCCTGGCTTGTTTTTTGTGTCTACATTGGGGGGCTGCTATATTTGGCCGTCTTCATGCGTACCTACTGCTTTTTTTCGCTGCTTTGGGTGTCTAGACTCCCCGTGGGGTCTCTCTCTTTATTCTGCTTGTGCCTCTCGTATATTTGCGGATTTTGAATGCATCGTCGCCAAGGCGTTCGTGCCGCTAATGGTGAGTTTTGCTGATCGATGTCTGCTTTTCTGTATGTGTGTGTCTTTGGCTGCTCAGACTGCCTACAGTGGTAACGCGCGTTTCTGAATACGTCCCGGAGGTGCTGCGTCTGATAGAGGAGATTGAGGCGAATGGCTTTGCGTATGAGAGCCAAGGCAGCGTTTATTTTGACACCCAGCGATTCAGCAAGAGCGCAAAACATACGTATGGCCGCATGGAGCCTGGATCTGTGGCAGACCAGTCTCGGTACGTTTCGAGTTTTGTCGGGTTGGGTGTGTTGCGTGTACCACTGTGGTATCTCCTAGGTTGCGAGCGCATTTGTGCATGTATGTATGTGTGTATGTATGTATGTGAATGTATGTATGTGTATGTATGTGTGTGTGTGTATGTATTTGCGTTGAGACTTGCGTTGGGGGTGATGTTTTTAGCCGCGTTTTTGGCCGCTTTTGCTTTTGCTAACAGGGCAGGTCTTGGTTTGTGGGTGTGGCCCTCAGAGTCTTAGAAGGAGAAGGCGCTCTGGGAGTAGTCTCCTCTGAAAAGCGGCATCCCTGCGACTTCGCTTTGTGGAAGAAGGCCAAACCTGATGAGCCTTCGTGGGAATCCAAGTGGGGAGCCGGACGTCCAGGTGCGCGCAAAAATAGCGGGAAGACTTGCAGAAGAAAATGGCGAACGGGCAAACGGCTAGAGAGGCAGAGAAATCGATGGCGGAGGCTTCGGCGGCTCCGTGTGTCGCTTTTTGCTTTGCGGTTGCGCCACGCCATTGAGCTGCAGAGCGGCCTCTTCGTACTCTACAAGCGTATTCGGCAGGCGGGGAGATAGATCGGGGGAGGAGAGGGGGGGAAGGAAGGTTTCTTTGTGGCGTTGCGGGTGCTCGTCTTGCCTCTCGCGTCTCTCACGCCGCCTCGTTCGGAAAGGTGGCCGCAGAGAGGGAAACGGCTGTCTGCATGTGCGTTCGGGGGCTTTTGAGAAGGGCACTGTCTTTTATATGGCTGCTGTCATGTAGGGTGGCACATCGAGTGCTCCGCGATGGCATCCTCGTTGCTGCCCTTCCCGTTGGACGTCCACAGTGGCGGCATCGACCTGCGTTTCCCCCACCACGACAATGAATTAGCGCAGACAGAAGCCGCCAAGGACAAGCCCCAATGGTGAGAAGAGACTCCCGATGGGCACTGCAAACGCGCTCTCTGACCAGCTGCTCGCTGCATGGCTAGCTAGTCCGAAAGGCGTGTGGCAGGCGGCGTTGTGGTGGCTTGAATGGGTGCTAGCCAGCTTGCGGGCTAGAAATACTCGCTTTTCATGGTGCTCCTTGGATTGAATTGGGATGCGCTGCCCTGTTTCTTGCGTGCGATGTATGGGGATGTGCATGCGTGTGGCTGCATGCACAGAGCGCCTTCAGTGCAGGTTAGCACCTGTTGTTATCTAGATCCTGTTTCCGCTGATGCCGCCTCTGCAGGGTAAATTACTTTTTGCACTCGGGGCACCTCCACATCTATGGAGCAAAAATGTCGAAGTCTCTCAAGAACTTCGTGACGATTAAGGAGTGCCTCGAGCAATTCAAGCCCAGGCACATCCGCTTTCTGTGTCTCATGAACAGGTGTGCAAATAACCATGACCGCTGAGCTAGCCGCCCCGGCTAGCTGGCTCGCAGGGCGCAGGCAGCCGCCAGGTTTTCGTGTGCAGCTTGCCGTGAAAGACTTCATAACATGAGCTAAAGGACCGCTTCACCCTCACGCCGAGTATGGGTGAAAAGCGACGATATGTGGTGCTTTTGCATGCAACTTGTGATGCCCGAGGGCTCCTTTTATCCCTCTAACGCAGACCAGTCGCTGACAAATGCCTTTTGTGATTTATATGCGGCTTCCACGTCTTGCGGTCGTTTTTGTTGCTGTCGCTAGGTGGGACAGTCCAATGAATTACAGCCCAGACGGGGAGACCCTGCAGCAGGCGATAGATGTTGACAGGAGTTTCCTGAACTTCTTCTCTCTCTGCAAGGCGAAGCTGAGGGTCAACTTGCCTGCCAGCGACTTTGCGCAACGGTGGACTGAGGAAGACTTCGCGCTCAATACGATGCTCAGAGAAACAAAGGAGAAGGTCAGCTGTGTCGTCTATGAGCTTCCTTCCGGATTTTGAGGACTGGGGGCCAGACAAGCTGCCCACTGTTGGGGGCTTTGGGTGTGCCTCTGCATCCAGGTTTCTCCTCATGGTAGTCCACATAGAGCTCTAGTGAGGAGCTTCTGCACGACGCACGCGTTCCAAGATTGAGAATTCGATAGCTGAATTGTGATGCATGTGGTGTTCAGGTGCGAGCGGCATTCCTGGATAACTTCGACACCCCAGAGGCCCTCGTGGCTCTGCAGCATTTGGTGTCGGTAACGAACAGCTATTTGAATGGAAGTGCGGGGGTCAAGGCGCCTCTCATAAGGGAGGTGGCAACTTATGTCATGTATATCCTCAGAGTAAGCGAGCTGTCTTTTAGTTCCCCGTTCCCCCGTATTCACAAACCCTCGGTTCCTGCGGGAGATGGGGCCCTCATTGCGCAAACCCGTCATTCTCGCGCACCTGCTGCTCTTCTGCTGGTGGATGCTTGTCTATCTGGTCTTTCTGCTGCCCACTCTGCATAATTTCCTCACTGTTGTTGACTGCAGTGTGCTTGTAAAGTTGGCGGGAAGCGATTTTATGTGTGGGAGTCTATCTGGGTATGCCGTTGCTGCCGGGTTACCTGCCTGGCTCCAGCTGCATGTGTGTGTCACATGGAGGAGGCTGCGGCGAAACAAAACCCCTCAAGTGTTGTCCAGGCTGCATTCTCTCTCCCCCTCAGCTTTGCGTCGTAGATCTTTATACACTAATTTCTGTGCAGGTCTTTGGCATTGTTACTGGATCGGATGAAGGACTCGACTATGAGGCGCAGAGCGAGTCGAACGCAGCAGTGGAGGCCCTCATGCAATGCGTTGGGGAGTTCAGGGAGAAGGTGAGAGCTTGTAGGGAGCCTGTTGGCACCAGGCGACATGCATAGTCGGGAGCGTAATCCAACCATGAACGGGTAGCTTGAAGATGCAACTGCTTTGTTTATTGGGTATTTGGCATCCAGGGCTCCTCTCTATGGGGGCTGCTTCTGAGTGCAAATACAGGTGGTCTTCCAAGTGCCTCTGCCCTCTTGGACTCTTGCCCCCACAGCCTTGTGTGCCTCTCTCTCTTTCTTTAGGTAATGCGCATGTCTTCGTATTTATAAATTTGCATACAAATCCATCTGTGCCTCTTAGATCCTTAGGCCCTCTCGTGCGTCTCTGATTGTTTCCGCAGGTCCGCTGTGCCTCTACGTCTGGCTTGCGAGGCTCGAGTCCGAAGAAGGATGTGAGCGAGGGCAATAGCGGCGAGGCCTCCCTACCAGACCACGCTGCAGTGTTTAGGGAACTTTTGGGGCTTTGCGACAAGCTGAGAGACAAGGCCTTGCCGGAAATCGGTATCGTCTTGCAAGACAGACCCGATGGCACTTTCACATTCAGAGTCTCAACCAAGTGAGCTGTTTGCACAGGCAGCAGTACACATTCTTCCTCCTCTTGGAGCTAGAGGCTTGTAGGCTGTGCAGGTCAACTCGCTTTCGTGTGTGTTTCTTCACGATACGCCCCCGGCAGGGTGCTCTTGGGACTGCCAAGTGTGGCCTTCGGTCGCCAACTGCGTGCGGCGTTCCTTTGCGCTTTCGTATGTCTCACCCCGTGATCTCTGCTCAGGGAGGAAGTGGCGAAGGAGTTGCGCCTAAAGAAGGAAGAGGAACAAAAGCGAGAAGCTGCGAAGCAAGAGGAGCAGAGAAGACTCGTAAGAAGCAGCAGTCGCCGCTGCCGGCAGTGTGTGTCCTCATCTTGCCCCCTCCTGTTCCTTTTGCCCATCGCTAAATCCACGCAGCTTACTGACCTAAAAACAAAAGGCTTAAAATTTTAATCGCTAGGCCGCACTTCCGTATCTACGTCTCTCCATACTTGTGCCTTCTTCGAGTATTTCGCTGCGCTTGTTATATGAATATATATATGCACATATACATACATATATATATATATATATGCATATGTATACGCACATATGTGTGCGCGCATAAAGCGTGCGTTTTCTTGCACGCCTACAGCTGCATACCTTGATTTACATGCGCATGCGCACTAAGATGTGGAGCATTCGCACGCCGTGCTGCTTTTGTGTGGTGTGACTCCCAAGGCTGAGGCCCAAGCGAAGAAAGAGCGCGAGGGGTCGATACCCCCCTCCGAGTACTTCAGAACGCTTCATGGGGAGCAGTATGGATCGTATGATGATGAGGGACTGCCGCTGACTCTGAAAGACGGAACGGAGCTGTCAAAGAGCCAGAGAAAGAATCTCAGCAAGGTATTTTTTCGTTTTTTTCGCGGACGCTCTCCACACGTCTTTGCTGTTAGTTGGGAACTTGACAGCGTATAAATATCACATATATGCACATTCCCGCCTCCACGCCTGTTGGTATGCACGTATAGGTGCATATGCGTGTCCCGAGGAGTGTGCAGAGGGAGCCGCAGCATCTATCGTATGCTCCTCAGTCAATCCATGTAAATTCAGCACTGCCTTATTATCTTGCTCTTTTGCTGCCGGTTGCTATGTTGGTCTCAGCTGCTAGAGAAGCACAAGAAGGTCTACGAGAAGCTGCAGGAAGCTAAAAACTAAGAAATATTATTATTACTAGTGTCCCAGGTTTGACTTTAATTTGAGATGCAATTGGCAAGAGAGAACAGTGATGCCATTTCTTTCGCACGTGCATTTGCACATGCCCACATGCCCCCATATTGGGCGTTGTTCACTTGAAAGAGGAAGCGCCTTTATATCCCCCGTACTTCACAATTCCAGCATTCCCGCGGCCGTTCTCGAGGTATACGCGAAGCTTGAGGCTGCTAGGCCAACACAGTTCCTGAGACGGTGCAGCAATTGTAGCTGCGGTGTTGCAGCACCATGGACGCTTCAACACCAGTGATAACACGGGGCTTGTACATAGTCAAGCTACCGATATCGCAAGACACAAACAAGCCTTTAGGGATGAAGGTTTTTAACTGCATAGATATATCCAGGACTAGGGTTTAGGGCTCCAGAATGCACACGCCACTAGGGTATGTGACTCGGAGTTCCCTGTTTAGATAGTAAGGTGAAAGAAAATCAATATCCAACGCTTAGAAGCGCAGTAGCTTCAGAAAAGGGTTCAGATCCGTCTTGGGGAGGCAATACATCTTTCGATCTCCTCTGGCGCGACGTCTTAGTGAACGAAGTGTTGTGTGGGAAGTGACGCAGGGGAAGGCCCTTGCGCGGTCTGACTTGCCGTTTCGGATACCCTCTCAAAGCTGTTGGGGAAGTATCTTTGTTGTATTCATATTTCTGATGAATGGGCAAAACGCGAAGAAGGGCCCTTGATTCGAGTGTTCCAAGACGAGGCTGAAGAGACCGGACTGGTGAAGAGCTATCCATTGGAAGATGTACACGCGACTATCACAAGTTGTGGCAGGCGGCTCCTTAGGAGTCCGCACCGGGCGGTTGAGAGAAAGGCCTTCTCTTCACACTTTTTAGCTCAAAAGCGCACTGGGGCTGGCCAATCACTTCACATCATGTAGCCTGGATTGCGTACTTCTTCGTGGGTGTAGAATTGTTTTGATGCATCTTTGCGTGCATGTCCAGTCACCAGTCTGATTTCGCTGTGGAGTCCAAAGTGCGATGGCAATCTGGAACTTAAACCGCGAGCGGAGAGTGAAGGGCAATGAAGAAGAGGCTCCGCGGGATAGGGAGGATATTACAGAGACCACAGCAACAAACAGAGAAGGTAGTGTCGTGACACAGGTTCACACGCAGTGAAATGCGTGCATTGACGAAAAGTTACCACCTAGGAAAGCTGACAGGAGTCGGCTACACCCATCCGGACTTCCAAAGAGCTAAACTCGGAAAGGCGGCTTCCGCGGAATACAGTTAAAGCGTCTTTAAACCGATGTCCTTAGCGAGGTCTCTTATCGCGTTCTTTTCAAGTACGCGTTCCCTTGGGAAGCTGCCGGACAGGTGATTAGCACCGGTGGTTGCTACAATAATTCTATGGTAAATTATTTAGCATGACAGTTAAGGTTGCTCCTGCACGTATTTGCTTTTTTCAGTATCGTCGTTGTCTCCCCGCTGCCTTGTATCGCTTTGGTAGTAGCGCATAAACTCACTAACGAGTTATTGCGCCAAGTAGGTGCATCTGAGCACTTTTATTGTATGCTTCGTCTTCCTCGCTTGCTTGGCATGCTCTTAATGAGCTCAGACGCATGCGTTTCAATTGGACGAGCCCGCTGTTGTTGCACTAGTAGGCTGCTTTCAAGCCCTGCAGTACTAAAGCCGATACTGCTTATTCATGCCAATGAAGTGGCATGCTTGATATGCAGTAAGACGAAATTGGTCTTCTGTTGTTTCTTGGGTGCTTCCCCTAATGCAATAAGGTAAGCTACACTTCTAAATGTACTAGTTGCACTGAAACCAATATTACTTCAAATCCACTGTTTTTTTTGACTGCATAATTTATCTAATAAAAGAGCGCTGTTACACCGGCGAAAGAAGACACAATATCGTGTGCATGTACGCTAGATGCTATGTGCGGCTAGCTCTGGTTTCTCGCAGTGCGTAGAGGGTGCAGAAACTCGCACTCTAGCTGTTACTCTGTGCTCATGTCAGGAACGTTGACAGAATTGGGCAGGGGAAGTAGGATGCCCATCTAAAAGCGCTCAATAACATTCTACCAAGTTTGTATTGAGTCTGGAGCTGAGTAACTACCTGCCGAAACAGATGGAGCGTTAAATCTGTATCACCAAATATACTGTAAGCTCATTAGAGCAGTCGTTATTATTGATTTCGGACAAAAGACCGGAGTAGTGAGATACCCTTATTGCCCCCAACATGTGCTATTGGGTATTGCCAGCACGAACATCCACAAAAACTTCCCCTTCACGTTCCAGTGTTTGAATCCAAAGTATGCGTGCTCATCTCCTTGAGCCCTCTGGCGTTGTCACTGCACTGTAGCACAAAAGCAATGGGAATCGTACCAGAGTAAACGCTTTTGCTATCTAGTTTGCATATTTGGTGACTGCCTTGCTACCAAAGCCGGAAAGTACAGGAATGGAACATATGTGTTACGCGGTTCTTCTTTATTGCTACAAAACTGCTGCCAGTACGAAAGTAAGCTTCCCCTAGAGTTAAAACTCCGTTATCGCACCCAGACTCGTCATTTGTGATCAAGGCCGCCTCGCAGAGTCTTCCTCCAGGCGCCAACCCAGGCCATCCAAGCAAAACTCGGTGCATCGTAAGCTTCAAAAAATGCGGTTTTTTGTACCTACTGCGGCGCACCCCGCCAGTGGAGACGACTACTGGGAGGCATGAAGCGGAAGGCTGAACTAAATACAATAGAAAACGGACTGAATTAGGACGAACCTACGTGAGGGCTGGAGCAGCCTGAGGCGCTGCGGATGGTCGCCCGGTGCCGTGCTGTGTACGAGCACCAGATGGAGCGCTCAGCAGCACTTTCTTGGAATCCCCTACTATATAATTCAGGTTCTAAGATGAATACAATAAGTGGAAGTACGATATAAACAGCGGCTTTCGTGAGAAGGGCTAGGGTCCTCCCCGCAGGCTGACGTGGCTGTAGCTGAGGGGGCTTCTCAGTTTCAGTACACCACAGCAGCACTGTTCAGGCGTTGCAAGCGCTTGTATGCTCTGTGCTGTGTCCAGGTGCTATAAAGGACCGGTTATTTGCCTTGTTTCTGACTTGTAATTATTTCATCTCTCCAAGCGAATGAACTCGCATTGCTGAAACACCCCCCCGCGCCCCTGCTGCCACCCTCCCAGCTGTCTGCGCCTCTTAGCCGCAGGTACGCCTCAGCTCTGCCTGGGCCCTCTGCTGCTTTAGGAGGGTGCCATATCTCCATTTAAGCGGCACGTGCATTTCGCAGCCTGCGTGTTCTACACCACATGGTGCAACGTGCCTTTCATCCATAGAATTGCTTGCGCCCTGCCAGGCTCGGCCGGGGCTCTGTTGGGGCCCTTCTCGTTGCAGCTCGTGTTTAGTTTTCGCCCTCTAGGGGGCCCCCCATGGGTTTGTGCGCCTTTCCGTGTTTCGAGACGCGCCAGAAGGGGAGACTGGCGCCGTAGGGACTGCCGGAAGCAGCAATGGGCACCTGTCCAGCATTCACTCCGTACACGCGCTGCATGCATGCAGTTGCTAGGGATCCCGCGCCCGCTTTTTGGCGTTCCGAGTGCTCATGACTTGGTGTCAAAGAGGGCCCCTGAGACGTCCCGTTGGTGGTTCGTGGTGCTCGTACTTGTGCGCACATGCCTGCGTATATGTGTATGTAGACCTGTGCAGTTGTGTGTGCCCATCTATGGGCCCCCGCATGCACATACGCGTGCCTGCATGCCTTCTTGTGTTTGTGCGCGTGTTTGAGCGTATATCTATGTTTGCACATCAGCTTGAGCGCGCGCGCGCCCGTGTGTTTGTGTGTATATATGTGCGCGTTTGGGGCGTATTGTTGTCGTGTTGACGGCGTTCGGCGGCTCCTCTGTTCACGATATTGCCATTTTGAACTATGCGCCATGCAAGCTTGGGGGGCCTGAATCCGTAGAGAGGAGACAGTGGTACAACCGCTTTTTTGCTGCATGCGTGTTGCTGTGATCTCTGCCGTTACGTAGGTCGATTTGCTAGCCTGCGACAATGGGGGCGTTTCTAGCTTCTCCCAAGACGGAGAAACACTCCGAATTTGGGGGTTCGAAAGAGGAGATGACATCGGAGTACGGAGCATCGGCAATGCAGGGATGGCGGCAGACAATGGAGGATGCTCACGTGGCGATCCCGTCGCTCAAGGCTCTGGTGGAGAGCGCGCATGCTCCCCCGTCCGCAGAATGTGTCAAGGCCTTTGCGGAGCTTCAAGCCATGGATATTGAAGATATTGGCATATATGGTGTATTCGATGGCCACGGCAGCAATGCCGTCAGTCAGTGGACTGCAGCGAACCTCCTCACGGTACGCTGGATGCTTTCGTTACCGCCTGTCATGCCTTTCTGGCACTTGCCTCCCTCTCTGCGTGTCATTATTGCATCCCATCGTGCGCGCGCTTGCATGTGGCTTCTGGTGGCTTTGGTGTATGGATTTCCGTTGTCTGCATGGCGTTGTCAAGCTTTCGTTGCTTGCGGCTTACTACACTGCGGGCAGGTGTTTACAAGCGCCTGACGGGTAGTTGGGTTTGTCGGTGGTCCGCTTATCGTGCATTTGATCCGCAGCCTTTCTGCTTGCATCTCATCACGCGCGCACTTGCCGACTTGTTTGCAAGGGGCCCCCACCCTTTCACGTCTCGCGCTGTCTGTGCTTGCCTTCTCCTCTGTGTGCGCCTTTTTTAGATCTTCTCAGAGCGCCTCCTGAGTGTTCGTTCGGAGATGGAGGCCAAGGGTCTCTCGATGCCTCGTGGAAGCTGCAGAGCAGGACAGTCCTGCGACAAAGAGCTCGTGACCAAAGAAAATGCAGTGCTCTGCCAGGCAATCGAAGACGCATTTCTCGCCGTTGACGAGAGGATACAAACACCGGAGAGCAGACACGCCCTTTTAAAGATCTTCCAAGATGTAGGGACTCTGCAGAGCAACCCCTTTTGGGCAACTTGTGCTTGTTCTACTGCCTGTGGTGCTCCCCCCGTGCTGTTGGGGGATCGGATTATATGTAGACCTGCAATGTCTGTTCGGCCCGTCCGTTCATTAGCAGCACGCAGCGAAGCTTTCGAGAACGCAGCGAGCGCACGGTATACGTGAAATAGGGGTCATATATATATGCTGCATGCGTCTTCGGTACAGGGCCAGCGCGAGCAACATGGCACCGAGACGTATTTAGAGTGGTTTCTGAAGAACGGCGGCGATGCGCGCGTTATCGATATGAATGGGCAACGATACATACAGGTACCACCAGCGCCATGAGGGTTCTGTTACGTCAGGTCTGGTGGCTGTATACGTGTGCGACGCGGTGCCTCGCTCCTGGCGTTGGAATTTTTGCATGGGGGCTGGGGGAGGCAGTTGTAGCGGGTTGCTAAGTGGTTTTAGCCCCTTATATCTGTGGGTAGACAGAGTGAGGAGTACGGTAGGGAGGGGTGACGCGGTTCCGTTCTCTGTTTGTGGATTCAATTGCAGCTGTTGGTTGGGAATGAGGAAGGGGCCGAAGGCTCGGAGGGGCCTCACAGTCCGGACAGTCAGGGGCAGGAGACAGAGACTCATGAATCGTCGCCCAGCAGCAGCAACGATGACGCCAGTGGAGAGGGTCGGTTGTTGTACCTGCACAATTCGAGGGTGGCGTTGAGACAGCGACAGCACAGGGTGGCTTAGCAAAGCTCGTCGTATAGATGCCTGTTTTAAGCCTATGGTTTCTTGCGTGGGGGCGTCCCCAACAAGTCAAGGAGATGCCAACAGCATTCTTCGTCTCTATCAAGTAGTGGTTCCTAGGCAGGCCAGGCCACTTTGGGGGTCTGTTGTTTGGCTGTCTTTGTCGTGTGCCTGTTGTATCTGTGTGCGCGTATTGAGTGAGTGAGGGTTTTTCGCGTTGTGGTGCACTGGCCCTGTTCTGCACCAGTGCACGCCATCATGCATCATTTTGCATGATGAGCGCTTGTTTGTCTCATCGACCTTGGGATGTGTTAGTTGTGTACCGTGGGTGTAGGTGTGATTTTTTGGTTGGTTCGCGTCGTTAATGCCGCTGATGCAGGCACGAAGGAGGAGGACAGCGACTGCGAAAAGAAGCAGGCTGCAGACAGCGGCAAGAGCCATGCCTTAGGGCGGCTAGACAGCACTGCCAATGCTGCCACGGATGTGGACCTGGAGAAGCTGCAGAAGCAGCATGCGGAGAAGGCTGCAGAAGGCGGTGGCAGCAGCAGCAGCTCGGACCACAGCGAGTCGGACGAAGAGGACACTTGCAGCAGCAGCACAACAAGCAGAAGCAGCACGCAGGAGAAGCAGCGGCAAAGCGACAGCGCAGTTGCTGTTGGCGCGGCTTCCAAGGGCGGCAAATCGGCTGTCAAGACGGAGGCAGGCCCTTCCCCTCCTGCAGAGACGGGGCCTTGTGGGGACGAGGCAAGTCATGCTGAAGAGCAATTCGAGGGAGAGAAGAGTGCCTCTGAAGGCAGCGAGAAGGATGCGGAGGACGCCGAGTTGAGTTGTGCAGCTGATGCTCAAAGGAACGAGCATCCTCATCCTTCTTCCCCGGAAGGATCGGGTGCCACGTCCGTTGTCGTCCTCGTCGTCAAAGGACCCACTCCTGTTCTTATCGTCGCTAACGCCGGAGATTCCAGAGGCATCATCAGCCGAGGTGGCGTGGTAGGGCTCGACAGTTCGGCACGCACCGTCGTGTGTCAGTCGCCCGCCGCCGTATGTACATCGTAGGGCCCCTCTTTGTTGCTGGGCATGCGCGGCGTGCGACTCGCGCGATGCGGTTGAATTATGCAGAGTCAGAAAGGCCGCACTGCGTGGGGTGGCTAACAGGTGTCGATACACCTGCTGAAGTGCGCAGATTATTATGCATGCAGGCCTTTCCTTTGTCGCATGACCACAAGCCGATGAATCCTGGGGAACGGGCAAGGATCGCTGCCGCCGGGGGGTCCGTGACAAACGGCCGCGTAGACGGCAATCTCAATCTATCGAGGTCTCTGGGTGACCTTTATTACAAGGCGGATGCGGATATTCCGCCCGAGAAGCAGCGCATCACGGCTTTTCCTGATGTTCGGTACGTGCGAAGCTGCGAAGAGGAGGGGATGGAGGACTGGACTGGAGAACAGACTAATTTGTATTATTGTTTATCTGTCGCGCTGTGGGCGCAAGGATGTATTTAAGACAGAACCGTCTCCCTTTTCGAGCAGTCTTGCCCCCCCTCTCCCGAGGCATCTTGAAAGGTTGTGCTCTCGCACAGTGGCAGATTTGATGCTCCTAAGGAGCGCATGTGCCTCCAACATGAACACCGCGGGAGGGGTTGCGGGGTGATTGTTAAAAGCACAGACAGCGGACGGGGGGATGGTATTTGCGTTTCTCGGGCTTCTTGTGTGCCGTATCTTAGAATTACTCCAATCTGCAAGGACGACGAGTTCGTCATTATCGCATGCGACGGCATATGGGACTGTAAAACCAACCAGGTCCGCAGAAGCGCATTTAGCGTATCTTTCAAGCAGCCGCACGTTCGGGGAGGGTCGCTGCACGGTGCTGCGATCTTGCTCGGTGTCTTTCTTTTTGGCGGGGAGGGGGGAATGCTGGCGTTTCGTTGATGTAATTGCAAAGAGGGATGTTTGCCGTCGTCAGTTCTCCCCGCAGCGCTGGGATCGGGGGACCCCTCTCGTGTAAGGGCTTCCATTCTCCGCATGCTTTTTTTCCGAGTCGTCTTTCTGCGTGTGCGCCTTTAGGAGGCCGTGGATTTTGTGCGGGCACGTCTTGCTGAATCCAAGAAGCCTTCCCCGGAGGCGCTGCGCGATGCCTGCGAGGCGCTCTGTGATGACTGCCTTTCCCATGATCCAATTAAGTCTGAAGGTGAGAACAGCAATGCATGTACATTTATGATGCCCAAATTTATGTTTACATGTACATATGTATATATCTATGCATTTGTACATTTCTCGGCTTACACATCGATGCGCCTACCCATGTTGTGGAAGGTAATTACTTTGGCATGTTCGCTATGCCTTCTGTGGATAACGTACATGTGCATGGTATCTGCTTGCGATCGGCATGCAGCAGTGCCAAGCTGACAGTGGCGTAGCTCTGTGTACCCCATGATTTCACTCCAGCGTGTTTGCTTCTTGGCACCGGTGCTCGTCCACATGTCCCTTCAACGCTTTGTTGCGCTGCAGGTCATGGCTGTGATAACATGACAGTGGTAATAGTTGACTTATCCACCAAGTTGCGAGAAAAGGGCTGCTCCTCAGCAAGGGTCGTTCTGTATGGAGGGGGGGAAGACCTCTATTTGGGCCAGGACGAGGCGGAGTTTGAGGCCGAAGATGATGATTAAGACATCGTCTTCGAGCCCCTTGATTTGCCCCCCATCCCCTCACCCCTCCCCCCTCGCCCACGCGGCCCTCTCTTGTTTATGGCGTCTCTCGCGTTTGCGTCTCTCCTTTTGTTCTAGCGTCACTTGCATCTCTTCCTCTGCGTTCCTCCGCATTTATCTACCGCCGGAACCAGGCAACCTCGGGTCTTCATGCGTACTTCCTGTGGTCTGCCCAGTGCACTCGCACTTCGCAGGCCGCTGCACCCCGATTAACTGCAATGTGCCCCCATCGTCGCTTGGTCAGCATAGCGTATAATAGAGCATTGCTGGTTGTGTCTGGTGGCTGCTGGGGTTTTACACGCCATATGCATGTACGTATCTAGCCGCTCCCTGAGAACGGCTCGCTGGCCGTTCTAAGCCTGTAGTCAGGGCGATGAGTGCTCTTCCACCGGCCCCTGCTTCGTACAAAGGGCTATAAAAGGGTGATGAAGCAGGGCGCAGGAGGTAGAGGTGGGAGCTCCACACCCCCCCACCCCAGCCAGCTGCAACGCACGCACACCAAGATACAGAGGCTGAGCGCGGCTCTTGTTGGGGCAGAGAGCTCGCTGGGAGCAAGGGGCCCAATGATGTTGAGTAGAGAATGAGCCTGAGGTGGACAAACGGGCAAAGGGCAGCGCGCGAGGCGTAGGCAGACAGAAGACAGTGATGCGAACACTGTACAGAGACCCACCACTGCATTAGCAAGCAGGTGTTGCTGCGGACAAATTTTTAACGGAGACACGTCATCCAATACTTTCTGCCCTCCACAGTTGCTGTATATGCCTCTTGAAGCGCAGTTCAGAGTGCGCCTTAGTAGATGTGCACTAGGTGGCGTCGAGAAGGCTGCCAGTCGCTCCAGTCATATCCATCCCTTGCAGATGGCAGAGCTTGCAGGTGTGCCGGTTTGAACGAGGGGACGGGCGGGATGGGGGCGAAAGAAGAGATTTCTTTTCAGTGTGAAGACAAGGATGGTCCCTGGGGGAGGCCGTGCTGCAAGACACCGGCGGAGGGGTGATGCAAAAGGTGCAACTGCGCTTCATTAACTGGCTGCAGCGCTAGTGTGTGAGGGGCACCGAAACACGCCGGGGCGGTGCACTAGACAAGGTTTGGTAGACGTGAAGAGAAAATCCATACCCAGCAGCTTCTTTCGACGCCAAGAGGTGGCGTGCAGTTACTTGGGAGGCGGTAGGTAGACGGTGGCCTGGAGGAAGGCCTCTTATTTCTTTTTTGGTATGGCCAGGCTGACTGAGCTCACCATGTGTTGCTAGAGATCCAAACGCAACATATAGAATATCCATATACATGGGGCGTTATCTCTGGTGCATCGATCCTCTGGGGGTATAGCAGGAGCACTTCAGGAAGGTCAGTTGTAGTTTCCTATTCGAACCTAAAGTATACCTACTGCAACTCGCACTCGCGTGCTTGTATGTATGGCTTGCCCATGTTTGTGCGTTCGGTGTATGTACAGTCCAGACTTCCGGAGGTATTTTTGGGCAGCCAGATGTGCACCCGCTGGAGTGTTGATCCCGGTGTGGTCCAGGTGTACTTATGGCATAAGCGTTAATAATTTACGAAGCCGGCGGGTATGTAACTAGTAGCAAGACTGGCTGTAGGTGCAAGCCAAGGATTATAGGATCACACTTATGCAGCCCGAAATGCAATGGTTACTTCCCAGAGACCCCAAAAACGCTGCACTGCGATCACTTCAGGTATGTGAAGACCGCCTCAGAGGTGCGGCGTTGGCATTTCTGAAGGCAGCACGGCCCAACTCATGCAGCAATCTATCACAGCGCAATGCTGCGGGAGTCGGATACGAATGTGGGGATATGGGCAGTACCTGCTGCTGTGGCCGCTGGTCCTCTTGTGTGTTACTTTCGGAACCTGCATTGCTGCAGTCCGCGTCATCTCCATTGGAAGAGGCCCACAGAGGGACCAGCGCGGAGTCTACAGCAGGCGAGGCTGAGATAACAAAGACGACAGGAGGCACGCCTTGTTGCCCCTGGTGCTGCTTCCTTCGGCTGGCTGGTGATGCAAGCTTGTTGCTATTGGTGGCGCAGTCTGCTGCTCCGGTCTTCAGGACCTCCGGAAGCTCGTTGAGGAAACGGCGCAAAGACACGGGAGGAGCATGATGTGACTCGGACAGAGCGACCCAGCTGTAGACACATGTACACCCCAACACGCACGCACAGTCGCAAAATCCACCTGAAGTTACAAGGGCTGTGCGAAGGCCTTCGCGGCCTATGTGCTGACAGAGAGTTACACGCATGCAGCGACCTACCAGCTGCCCTCTGGGAAGTGCCTCGAAAACGGCGGTTGCAGCACCTCGATGAGCGGCTGCGAATTCTGCTGCTCCTGCTGGTCTCCTGTTTTTGCCTCAAGACGCCCAGTTGGGGAGGCGAGAGCCATCTCCATGACCTTCTTAAACACCTTAAAGGTTCTCGGTACCCTAAAGGCCGAGTTAATCCTCAGCAGTTTGCCGTCCAGCGTGTGCACCAGCAGCTCCAGGGGCTGCTGCTGAGGTGGCGGCTGTTGGAGGCGCAGTAGCTTTATTAGGGGTGAATCCAAGAAACTCAGCAGACACTGATGAACGACGTCAGGTCTCATGCATGCAGAAGCAATCCAGTTAGGATCCGAAGCAGCGGCAGCAACTCTAGCGGCCTCCGCTGCAACGCACTCCCGCATGCGAGACCCCACAGGACCTTCTTTGGCAGATCTCTCCTCGCTGCATTCAGCTCCATAGGCAGAAGCGACAGAGCTGGAGATAGAGGCGAGGTGTCCTTGCACCCGCCGAATGAGTGGCATTACGGGATTTAGGGCCTTTTTATTGTGGCTGTTGCGGCTTTTATCCACTGAAAGCCCTGTCGAGGCGCCCATATCCTCTACGAAACCCGTGTGCTCATCCGCCGTAAAGAGACAGGAGACCGGCCCCTGATGCTTCTCTTGCTTCTTGCTGCTGCTGCGTCGGCGTAGCAGCACTAACGGAGAGAAACTCAGAAGGACAACCCACTGCCTTCCCTTGCCCCACCGAGCAGCGGCAGCTGCTGCTGCGGCAGCTGCTTCTGCAGTTACTGCATTCGCGGATTCGGGGGCTTGTAGACCTCCTGAAGGGCTTTTACTCTCCTCTTCTCGCCGGCGCTTTGCCGCACTGCTACTGATGTTGTTGTGAAGGGGGGGCCTTCCACCCACCTCCGCACTGGCCTCCGTTTTATCCGTGGAAGGATCGTTTGCAGGATCCTGCGTGCTTCGATGGTCCTTCTGAATCCGAAGTAATACCTTCTTCTTCGTCGCTGGTCCCCTCGACTCTCCCTCCCGCTCCTTTCGCTGCTCCGTCGCATCATCGGGTTCGCGGGGCCTCTTGAGCTTCAGCTTGGTCTTCTGCTTCTGGAGGCCTTCTAAGGCAGAAGACTCATTGCCAAGTGCGGTGGTGGCAAGGTGCATTGCACCGTGGTGTGGCTTGGCATCATTAGCCTTCTTCCGAGGGGCTGCAGCAACAGCTCCTGCCCTGTGGGCTTCTCCCTCTACCTTCTTCTGCTTTCCTAATTTGGCTGCCATGTTCCTGCAACGGGCGGCAGTTAGAGTAAAACAAATTACGCTGCCGAACCTGGCAGTAGGAAGCGCAGCCTCAACAGCTTTCTGGATCCCACTGGGGCCCCACCCATGCCCAGAAACGTGTGCCCTACTAGGGCCCCAGGGGGGCCCCCACAAACATGTCCACCAAAGTGCTTCACTCGCCGGAGAGATTCATTGCCATAGATAACTTTCAAAACTAGTTCAATCATATTTATGGCCTATGCGAGGGTCGAACTTACGGGGGCTTCTCCTTGGGGAGTTCTCTTTAGTAACCTGCCACAGCCTTGCACATTGCGGGGGCACACAGGCCTAAATCACATTTGCTTGACCTTCTTACGCATCACACAGAATAAGTGAGGTCTCTATCTGCGTGTGTTTGCACTTTTTAGGGCACTGCCTGCGGTGGCAAGCTTTCGTCATCGTGCCTTTGGAGCATTTAGGGAGGCCAGGGGCATTAGAGGCCTGTGGTTCCACAAGGCAACTCCCTTGGAGAAAGAAATTTTAGTCTAGTCTGCATCGCAGTGTATAGGGTATACTTTCTTTGTTATCTCGACACAATAAAAGCTTCTATTTCTGCACCAGTATACCGGTTTCTGCGCAGAGCAAGACCCACAGAGAGATGAACTCGTGCTCTGGGGGCTTGCCTTTTGTTCATGCAGTGTTTACGTCTCGGGTGCCCATAAATCCAGCAGACTCATATATTTGCATATTTAGCTCTGAGATCTACATTCAAGTCTCCTCGGGGCCACTCTGTGTCTCTTCGCCTTAGCAAGCCCCTTCAAGGCATTCTTCTGAGGAGTTGATGCAGAGACAGGATGCTGCCTCTACCTGCGCTCCTGCTCTTCTAGTAATTTTTGCACAGCAAAAAGTTGTCGTGAGTATTGAGCTGTCCTTCTCTCTATGCTTCTGCATTGAGTTTGTACTGAGTCGGCCAAGGGTCATTCTCCTGGCTGCCCATTAGGCTGGAGAACCTTAAAACGGATATCTATTGGCTACGATAGTAGGAGTAGCACATATGATACATTCGCAGCTACCTTCACGTTCACTAAGGGAAGACGCCCCGTTACCATTGTGTCCATTTGCAAGCTGCTTAACAGGCCTAAAATCTTCTTGGGAAATACGCCGACGAGGCAATTGGAAGAACAGCAATGTGTAGCGAAGCAGCATCCTGTCTCTATATTGATTCTGGAGAAGAATGCTTTTCTATGGACCCACAAAGGCGAAGAAACCAGAGAGCGGGCCCGCGGAAACTGCTAAACATGAGCTGGTCATGACATTCGCCTTCTTCTGCCCATCTGCAGGCTGTTCAGTAGTCCACATAAAGCTCTCTTGGAAATGCACTGACAATGCAATTATTTAGCAGGACACCAAAAAATGTTCGTGGAATAGGACCTGCTGGCAATGAATTAGAGAGGAGCTTCTGCCTCAAATCACTTAAACTCTCCAACTTAAGGCGACGCTGCTCAGTGAAATTCCGTTGACATGCGTGTACAGAGGGCAACTTAATATGCCTGCCGCTCCCATTACAAGTTTTCGTTTTCCCCTGCTCTCTGATTTAGTGTCCCTCTGAGGGCTAGAGAGGCCGGCAGACCGCCTGCCGGCCTCTCTAGCCCCCCTATGCGTCAGCCTCTCAAGGGTCCAGCAGTAGATGACAAGTGCTCGAAAGGCTGAACACGAAAGAAAAGGGAAGAAGGCGGCGGACGTGCAGACTGGCCCATCTGTTTCGAGTGCGAAGTGCAGCGTGTGCCTCCTCCGTCGTCGTTTATGGTCTTGCATGAAAAGCTCTTTGGCAATTTGAAGCATTGGCAGCAGGTAAAGGGAAAGCAGATTGCCCATTAGCGCGCTTTAAGGAGTTCTTCAGAATTCGTGCATCCTGACTCCTTCCTACTTCGTCTCAGAGTGGATCCACTCCTGGGTGGCGGTAGTCATCTAACTGCCCTGTGTGGCATATGCAGAGCCGCAGGCTTGGGTGAGCTCTCCAGATTTGGTACTAAGCGCCGCGTTGGGCTCTCCTAAATGGACAAAAGAGTGAAGCAGCTCAATCAAAAATTGCTGTCCTTTTTCCTAAGTTGCCTATTTTAGACTCTACGGCGCAAACGAGCCTTCCCTCGCTTATCCCCAGAATATCATATGACTTTGGCATACGAACAAAGAGGGTGTGTTCTGCTATATGTGTGAGGCGCCCTCTCTAATTCAGTTCTCGGCCGCATTGACACTTCGCCTCAACAGCTGGGGCAAAGGCCCTATGACTCTTAATCTGCAGAGGATTTTCCGGGGCTTCAGTAGTGGAAGGACAGCCTTTAAGCTTTGATCCAGACTGTAGTTATTTTGCTGCATACGAAATCGGAGACTAACGGCCTGCCAAGCGGACCTATATATTACTAATGTTATAAAAGCATGGGTTAGGGAGCAACCTGCAACTGCATGTGTCTTTGCAGGACACACAGCCACTTGGAGCCTATTTTTGAAGCCCAGTATGGGAATGTCTGTTGAGTATGGTGCTTTCTGCGGGGATAGGTTGCTGTCTCTCTAAAAGAGAAATTCGTGCGTTTATAGTTGTATGGTTCTACATTCTACACTTAAGAAGCACAGCTGTCCCTCATTGGGCGCTATAAGGTCCTCGGTTTCGCTTAGCAGGGAGCAAAGTGGCTAGGATGTAGCGGGCCTGGCTATGCGCATGCATTTTCTTTTACACTAGTCATTTGTAATAGAGATCTAGTGTAAATTTGACTATTTGATTTGGCTGTTCCTAACTGCTTATTGCTGCTTAGTAGAATCTCCCTAATACAGCCAGATGGACTGGGCGTGTGTCTACCAAGTTGCTCTGTGTAACTGGGGTGAGAGCTGGGAGTGCAAAAGCGTTGCAACAAAGCGCACCCTAGCTGATTTTCGCCGTCTTCTGCCAAAACCTTATGGGGTGATGGCAATATTAGAGAAAGCCCTTGAGGGCTAGTGACTAGCTTTCGTCCACCTACATCTGGAGCAGGGCTAATCGTACGGCGCTATGCAGACCCTTAATGGAGCACTACACAGCTGAACAACCGCCCATGGCTGGAAAGACCCTGAACCACGCCATTTTCAAGAGAAATAAAGGGCAAGTAATGGAAGCTTATTCTACGATCCTGTGCAATCGGTTGTTTTTCGTCTTATACGGACTTCGGATGTGCATTCAGGCAATGCTTCGCCGTGAAGGGGCTAAACATACATTCTCCCCTGTTTTTTCTCCCTTTGCCAGCCATGCTAGAATCCCTGAGGAGCGATGAAGCTGTATTTAGCCTCAAATGTCACAGATTCAGGCATCAGGAGTCGACGCTGTGTCTAGGTGAGAGCCTTCAACTGGGCAGCATGGAGGCGAGAGCACTTCATTTTTAGGGGCTACAGTGGCTGTGAGTGTTGGGCAGTTTCGAGGTCTGGGCTAGCTGCCAGAGGCCTGTTGGGTTAGCCAACTGCAAAACAGTATGCAGTAATTACCCAGAGCCAGCCCCCTCTAGCCACTAGGAAAATAGGGCACTACCGTTACCTCCCCGCTGGGCCGATCGCTACGAGACTCGGATGTATTTACGTACTGCGAGGCTCCGACTAGTGTGGTCTCCATCCAAGTTCTCAAAATCCGTATTTGCCCTGAGCTTATGCGGATTATTGTGTAAGTAAAACTCACTTGGTATCTTTCTTTCTTCTTGAACATCCAAAACGGGGACGCCCTCAGGCGCGGCGGGCAGTCGGCCGCGGGGCCGCGAGCGGATTGTGGACCAGACCTAAAGCATTCTGCTGCCCGTTACCTGAAATGTTTGTGATTATTCAAACGATGATTCTCTTTTATTTCAAACTTTGATTGGGAAATTAGACCTGAAATCGCAGCAGGAAGAGCTGCAGCATCAATAGCAAGGCCCAGTTGCCTTGACTCCCATCAAAGAGACCGCTAAACAGACCGGGTTGACGCAACACAGCTAAAGGGCTGCCGCTGTTGTAGAGCCGCGGAGAAAATCTAAATCAGGGCTCTTATGGTCTCATCTAGGGGGTCTCCTCGAGCTCTAATCACCCTTGGATCGCTAGGGGCACAGCTGTCTGGTGTGGGTTATTGCTGTTTCCTTTTCCCTGCGAAGCCGATCCACAAGAAAATAAACTCTCGTCATCCAAGGAGACTCTGTACAAAGCTGCAGAGTCCCTGAGGCTGGCGTCATGGAGTGTGACGGGGAGGATAGGGAGGGCTTGCTGGAGGAGGACGGTGTGCCTCATGAGTGGGCAAACACAGGCCCACTATCACTTGGTGCCTTTATCGCCCCAGTGCTAGAGGCTACTGAGATCACTGCAAGAACGTTAGAGGCCATGCGTCAACTTTTTGACACGTTTAAAAAGCTGCAAGTGCATCCGACGGAAAGTGGCTGGAAGCCTATTGTAAAGGTTACTGAGGGCTTCGCCGCTTGCAAAGCCTTCCTTCAAGCGCTAGTAAGTTAAGACGCTTAGCCAAAGGCATGAATTCTTCTTTGAGAAGAATCCCCTGTGTAACCCAGCATCGTACTTCGTATGGATATTGCTTCTCGAAAAGGCCGCTCCGCAGCTGTGCCCTCACTGGACGAAACGGAGACAGATATCTCTGTACACTTGTATACCTCATTCCTTTGTCTTTGTGGTATCCGTGTGGCTTTGAAGGCACGGGCCTCTGACCTTCTGGGGATCCGACCACAGAGCCGCGCGTATAGGAACCAGTTTACAAAGAACTACAAGGCCTTGTTTCCTGATTATAGACGGCACTACCGCGTGGATGTACTAGAGGCTTCCCAGGAAGGGTAAGCTGCTCTCTTATCTCTGCGATGCATGTTAGCATTTCCTCAAGAGCTCTCTGCAGAACGTCCCGCACAGGCATCAATAATCCACTCAAGTCCTAGACCACAGGTCTTCTGTAAGTCAGTTAGGGACGAAAGACGCTAAGCATGCAAGGTCACCCCCTCACAAGGAGTCACATGATAAGGTGTACGTGTGGCTCAGGTACTCTACTATCTACGTTAACGGCGAGCGCTATGACTTCCATGCCACGGTTTTGGAAAGGGGCGCCAGCTTTAGAGAGGCATGGGGAAGGACTTTAGATGTGGTGAGAAGCCAATGAGGCTCTCGAACGATTTAAAGTGCCGTTTAAAGCGTAATTAACAGTATCAAGTATACCTGTGCCTCTTTTGTTTAGATACCCAGTTGACAGGAGTGTAAGGCCCCTGGGTTTCCAAACAGGTGCTAGAAGAATAAGCCTTTGTTCGTCGCATTTGGGGTCTAGAGCGCACACGCCAGTGCTTTCATTTTGTTGAACGTTATATCTGGTGCAGCTTAACACAATGCAGCACGTGGATTTGTTCGAAAGTCCTTTTTGGCGCTCTGAACTGGTGCCCGTACTGGTCGAACTGGATAGTAAATGGGCCTCATTCGAGGAGGAGTATATCCTTGAACTGATCCAGATAGAGCGAAAAGCCCGACGCTACGTGATGGATGTTATCTATTTAGAAAATCAGCTGCTGTACTTGGATGGAGCTGTGGCCTCCCTTGTCTCCCAGGGCAATGCCAACCAAACGGCCCATCTACACGTGTGGCAGCAGTGGCAGAGTTGCAGGAGGCAGTACGTCAAAAAGGTCTTCAGACTCAACTCAGTCGCTAACTACAGGAGAAAGGGTCACACTGGACTTGATCTAAGTGTGCTTGAGGCATCGGAGAACATCATCAAAACAAGCGGTGGGCCCACGTTCCAGACATCTGTCTACTTAGCATCCCGCCTTAGCCCCCATGAAGGAGATTCATCGTTTGTCTCTTCCTTGTTAGATAGAAGTTGAGTTAAAATTGACAATGGCCAAGCCTGATAAAACCAACGATTTTGCGTGCGTGGCATGCCCAACTTGCAGAGTCAGATCCCGGCCATGTATATTCCGCCGTGGAGCACATGGCTGCAGAATGCGTTACAAGCTTTAACGACTTTAGAGGGTAATTTTCTCCTTGACATTTTTCTTGTTCCTTTCCCTCACTAGTTTCTAGGAGTACCATTATGATCTGCATTACTGAAGCGCTGTTCGGCCTTCAGCGCGAAGATGGCAGAGTGCAAAAGAACGGAGCAGCGCAGCGGCGAGAGCAAAGAAGATGCAGCTAGCAGTTTTTTGTTTCCTGCGGCGAGTTCAGGCATATAAACGAGCTAAGACAGTCTCCAGAACGCGTGGACCCGCACCTAGGGAATAATCACGTGCTGGTTTCCCACCTCTGCCGGCTGGAGGAAACCTGGCAACTGGCGCACAAATATTTGAGGGATCCCCAGCGGCTACGGGACCTGCTCAGTCTTATTGAGTTTATAACGGCCATTGTGGCCACAGAAAAGACCATACATCTCAGAACAGCTTCGCATGGAGATTTGCCTACATCTGGATGCCCGGAGAGCTATCAAAGGACGCTTAACAGCTGCCGCACGGGGCACCAACAACAAAGTGGCAAGGAGTCATCCGAGAGCAGCAGCCTTTCCTCCTCCCACCCCAGCAGTAAGAGCATTCAACATCACGACAGCCGCTTCGCTACGAGCAATTCCACTGAAGGAGACTTTGCAGATACTCTGGAACACCGTGTCGTCAATTGCGATGTGGGGGCCTTCCTAGCGGTAAGCAACTACTGGCGAGGCGCTGCCAGCCGGCCTGACAGGATGCAATGGGGGGCAGTCGCAGGAAGGATACGCAGCATATGGAAGCACTTAGAATTCTGTAGAACTTAAAAGTGCGATTGGAAGGCCTTTCTCTGCATTGCTTCTCAAAGCTGGTACTGAGGAGCCATTGCTTATCCTGTGTGGGGTAGGGGTGGAGGGGCTTAGGAGGGGAAGCCTTGCAGCTCTTCGTGCGGTAACCAATTTGCGGTTTTCTGTGGCTTGCTCAGATACCCCGCTTCGTCTGCCTCTACTATCTGCTGGATCCCATTCACCGCGTACACTTGTTTAGACCTTTCTTGCCAAGCCTGTTTCGTGAAGATTGCGCAGACGGTGTAAATGTGGGGGATGTAGGGGACAACGATTGTTCATCTACCCCGACAACTCCAGCATCACTTCCTCGAGCAGTTCAGGAAGGCGACAGATGCACAGCTGCCGCATCTGTTTTATCGGGAGCACAGTTTGTCTGCAGACTAGAGACTCGGGTACGTAGTCCAGTGGCATTGGCCTCCCCTCAAGTTGTAGGTAGTAAGGTAGGGGATGGAGCGTCGGACGGTCCTGTGTCTTCCCCCGCCACTGAGCAGACACAACCAGAGGGGGCCGCCTTTCCGCAGCACGCAGAGGCTTCTGAGGAAACTTGGGCAAATAAGAGACAGCAGAACGCTCAAGACAGGGGGGAAGTACAGAGAGCTACGTTCCCCTCGGCACCTACGACCAGCAGCACTACTCAAGGGGAGCTGGCGCCTCTTTCCGGCACGCACTCCAATTCTTTGCTGCCTCTTTTCTTGTCGGGAGGCCTCTTGGACACTGGATCTGCCACCAGTGCTGAAGGAAATCTCCAGACCAATTCCTTAGGGGTCCCCTCAGCGCCCGCCTCCCGTTCGGGGCCTTCCTCACAGAGGCTGTCATGTCCCAGTCTTGCCGGGACAGAAAGATGTGTGTCTCGACGCTTGCGCGTATTCCCTTGTCATTCGGACTCCGACTGGTGCAGTACAGTACCCCCTCCCTTCTGTGGTGTTGAGGCCATGGGGAGCTACCGTTGCTGCAGATTGGTACGCAGCAAAGTCCCCCGTTCGTTGCGACCTATGGTGCGAGCATGGCAAAAAATCCAGCAGTGGGTGCAGACAGCCGGGATGGAAGGCAGAGCAGAGCCCTGGCTCTGCGTAGTAGCGCGTCTCTCCGACTCGGGTGCCTTCGAGCCCCTCATGCACTCTCAAATGAACTCCAAGGTGGGTCGAAACGCTGAATAACCTGTTTAGCTGCTTGAGAGAGTATGAATTTTCTCCATAAGGACTCGGAACTGGCACAAACTATAACAGTGCACAACTTCTAGTTCCATGAACAATCATGAGCATGAAGTCCTTGCAGAGGGTTTGTGGTTTTCGGATTCGTGGCCGTATTTCTCCTCTGTAGAACCGCGTGCAGTTTTTAAAGTTCTCTGCCGGAGTTTGTGCTGCCTGACTTTACAGGTGTCTGGTGGCCGGAGGTATTTGGAGGCCCTCTTCCAGTCTGTAGAATCGGTTTCCATGGCCATCCAGCGTTCATGCGCGGCAGAGTGGAATGAGTTCCTGCAAGTGCTCATTACTAGTGTCACTCACAGAATGCAGACTATGTGTCATGTTGCACAGTGCCCAGCCGTGTCGCAACTCTCAACCGATGAACTTGGAGGGTCAGCCGACACCGCTGCAAGTGACACCTTTCTTGCATCTGCAAAAAGGTAGCTTAGCTCAATCCTCACCGGATATGTATCAGGGTCCCTATGCAAAACCGCTGCTCTTTTTCGTTACAAGGAAACAATAATTACACGTAGGCGAAACGGTAGCATGCAAGTCCGGTGCTGTACGATTGACACCCGACCCAGCGAAAGTACGTTGAATCTAGTATCGGCAGACAGGACTTAAAAAGCGCACGTACCGAAAAAGCCTTGAAGTACAAATATGCTATTTGGGATATTTTCATATGTTTAGTACGTAGTACAAAAACAAGAGAGCTGTTTCTTCAGAAGAGGAGTCTGGCAGCCGTGAATGTAAAATAGAGGCCACCTCAGCTAATCCAACTCTGGGCTGAAGTGTCTCAGTCCTATCTCTTAAGTTTCCGCGGGTACTGCACTGCCACAGCAGCCTCTGCAGCGGTATCCCACGAAAGGGAACACACGAGCGCTGAGTGAGGGCCTTCACGATCGTACAGGCCGAGCCTCCTACGCAGAGGGCTTGGTCTGTCTGGCGAGAGGCACCATTCTAACAAGCCTCAAGACTGGAAGAGTGCTTCGAATCGGACTAATTTGGGCCCACAGTCACAGTCTGCCTATCCCAGAGGATACCCTAATCCAAGCAAAGCTGCAGCCAGCGGAGCCAGCATGAGGGCTTTTCTTCGCTGCTAATTTGCCATGCTATGTGTATGTAAAAAACGGCGGAGTTAGGACTGCGGCATTATATGGCTCGGAAGTGTCATGAAAGCAGGCATCACTACGGATTCCAATCGTTTCATGTCTCTTGTGTCCGCTGCCTTGGCCACAAATCCTGTGTCTGCCGATAGGTCAATGCTTGAAGAAAATGCAATATCAAAAGACTGGCACTGACCAGTCTTCCACCGCCGTCTTGAGAAGCGGAGATACAGTGCCTTCAAGGGTCACTGCACACTCCATTTCTACTCTGTCTTCAAGTCGGTTATGCCTGATATACCCCACAGTAGTCGCAGACCCACAAATAAAGGCAGCCAAATGCACCAACCGGTTTCATGTAGGAAATGGCTTCTCTAGGCCATATTTATTCTCTCAAAACTTGTACAGGACGGGCTGCAATAGGAAATAGTGTGTACACCATCTACCAGATCTGCACAGTTCAGCGACTAAGGTTTTGAAAGAACTCATGAACTAAACGCGACAAACACTACGATGTTACTGTGATGCCTAACGCGTACGAAATTCGGGTAATCCCGTGGACCAGACTTTGATGTCTTGAAAAGTCCGTTTTTTGATTGAGGTAGCATCGAATACCACATTGGAGAAGAGCGTGTAGTAAATAGGATGTCGCTCTAGTGTGATGGTGCTGTACATGCACCTGTAGACGTCCCTGCTTGCTTGGTCTAGATTATTCGGGTCCAGACTGGTGCTGTCCATCCTGTCGTAGTAGACGGGGGGCTGGTAGACAGACTTGAAGTAGCGCCAATCGGAAGTGGGATCACTACTGAGGCGAAACCAAATATGCGACTCGTAGGCTTCAGCACCAAGGCCTTTTTCAATAAACTCTGTTCCATCCAGCTTCTCATTTTCCTGAAACACCAAAAGCACAGAGGGCTACATAGCTATAGCCTTAATCGATGGTGAAGCCGCCGCTTACGTGCTTGCTGCTGGTAAGCATATTGCGGGTGTTACTGTTGACACTACTCTTAATGTTCCTGCGATATATCCTAGGCTGCTTGGGGTAACACGAATAGGGAAGCTAGTCAATACAGCAAACTCGGAGATTTTCCATGGGCATCCCGGTTTCTTCCTCTGCCACAGCCGGTTCAACCAAATTGCTTTCACCAAAATGGTGGGGGAGAGCGTAAAATGGGATTAACAGTGTTGGTATGGGATGCTACCTGGCGTTTTAAGACGTAGACAAACTGTGTTTCGGGGTACGGGTCGTCCTGTTTGTGCAAGCGAAGCAGGAGCTGAGACACGTCCAATTTAAAGGTCATGCAATCCCCCACCCTGACAATAAAGGCCGCTGGTGCGTCCATGCCGGATATCTTCAAGGAAGAGCCTCCGGGTAGGATAACAGGGTTGCTGAACTCCAGCTGAATCCCTTGTGAACCCATGGCAACGTCTTGCATCGAGGCTTCTGTGAAGCCAAAGTCGTTTTCGGGTCCTGAGGCAAAATCCAACCAGCCGGAAGACACACATGGCATCAACATAATCCACTTAAGACTTAGTTGCATGTGTATAGCTCGGCGGCAGAGAACACTGAAGGCTACGAAAGGCTGAATAAGTTGATACTTCCGTAATGCCCGAAACCTAAAACTTTCGTGCGGGACCATCATTGCTTCATAGCACCTCTCTACGCCACCCCTCATCATACATTCCATTGTTTGCCATAGCCTCTAAACCACGAGAGGACCTATTCACGCTCCAAGGCTCTTGAATTCTCCTCAGGGGCCCTCAAATGCCCTGGTGTTGTGCTCTAGCAGAGGAGCTACGACCAGTGGGACAGGCAGGAGCAGACGCTTTCCCTACCATCTATTATAGGGTCTTCTCCTAAAGCCATGAGCCTCTGGATCCAGCAGGAGGCGATGCAAAGGCCGAGGAGGCTTTTGAGTCCTCTCCATACAACATTAGGTCCTGCCATCGTTTCTCCTAGGCAGCTCTGCGCAAGCTATAGCTGAAGTTCCATCCAGAATTTGATTGGGTCAAAGATGCAGTGCTCGTTCTTCAGCCAGAGAAGAAAGGAAAGAGATAAATCGAGAGAGAGACCTGTAAGCGGGAAGGTAGGATTAAGAGCGGCTCGTTGTGTAGCTGTGCGCATAAAGGAGCGACCGCCGAAGGAGCAAAGCGTAAAGTGCAAGAAAACATCCGGAAATAAAGCAGGAAATGTCTAATATCGATTCTTTCCTTCTCAGAAAATCGGTTTTGTGATGCAGCAGCACGGCTGCCTTGTGTGCCAAGGGCGGGCGCCGCTGTACGGTCCACTGGTTCGACGACCGAACGAGAAAGCAGGGGAAGGCAAGACTAAAGTGACCAAAGCACTGAGCCCGCGTAATTCCTTTGCTTGAGTGAGATTTGCAACAATAAGGAGCAACAAATCATGGCCACAAGTTCATAGGGTCACTCGCCCCCTAGAAAAATGGAGACACCTACGAACTTCTTCCCGCAGTCTAGCCTCGGATTTGGCCGATTTTCCTGCTGTATCCTTTAAAAGACTATTATAAGCATTATTTACAAGGAAGAAGAAGCATGTATTCAAATGGGCCTCCCCTATCCCTTCAGAGAAGGCCGAGGGGTAGGGACTCGTCGCTTCAGCTTAAAGAGTCCCTTTATTCCACTTGCCCTCCTTTTATCCTCGTCGTGTCATCATACTAGATACAGAAAGTGCCTAGGCGGGGTGGGCGAGGTACAGGGTCTTCACGCACAGGGAAAGCGAGTGAGTGTCGGATGGATTGATGCCAGAATGATTGCTAGACGCCCTTAAGGGTAGCGCCCATTTGTGCTGTGTCCTTCTAACAGAGAATAAAAGCACAGGTTTATTTTAGGGCTATAACCTTAGTCGATGGCTACCTAGGTGTAGTCATGCAACGCAAGAGGCGAGGTGCCTAGTTGGTACTCCCGCCCTCTAGGCACTGCACATTTATACGGCGCAATCGAAGGGGACTGATACGGCATTATCCTTTTAGCTGATGCAAAAAGGCTCTACTTTTCCCGCTACTTGCCAAGGATTCCTCAGCGAGCCGCGGACGGGCGCTCAATCCAAGGCAACCCCTCCTGCTCTTCCACTGTTCCTTCTTCAGTAGCCTTTGAGTAGACTTGGTGCGCGGTGAAGCTACCACGAGCCCATCTTGCCACTCTACATATAAGAAGAGATTGCAGGCAGATGCTATAGAGTACCAAGCGAAGCACAATCCATAGTCTACTGGGCGATCAGAAGCAAAGTCTACCCGATAATATCTATACCTTCCACAAGTGTATAACTGGATTTTGGGGAGTACTCTTGTTTCAAATGAGCACAAAACCAGATGTGCGCGTCAGAGGGCTGTCTGTCACGTATGGTGCGCTTACATATCCTAGCGCTAGCTCGCAACTAGATCTATCTTCACCGCCTCCAGTCCCCTGAATAATTGAATAACGACTTGGGAAATATTGCCTCTCAAATGAAATCAAGCTGTAGTTAGCACGCCACAGGGCTGCGCGCAGTGCCTGAATTTTGTTCCGATGCTGTCCGCCCTCCTAGAAAGACCTGCTGCGCTGTGTTTACGACTTCTATAGCTACACCAGCTGCTCCAGTGACGGACCTGCCCCCCTCAGTGTCTGCCCCGTAAGTCTGGTTGGACCCTGACGTTTCCCATGACCCTTGCAGCTGCTGCAGCACCGCTTCGAGCTTCCTGCGCATGTAGGCAAAGCCCAGGGTACCCGGAGTAGTTCCCTGATCTACCGCGTCCTCTTGCACCCCGAGTGTCTCTGCTAGGCGCTGCAGGCACCCCAAGTCATTTATGACTATCTGCAGCCACGCGCCAGTCAACGCACCCACATGGGCCCCACCCACTGGTTTGCCCCTCGGACCAGGAGCCCCTGAAGCTTCATCGTCAGGCTTCTGCTCTGCAGGAGACTCCGAAGCCTGTTGGAGACAGCTCAGCAATAGCCGTCCGTAACAACCGGCAAAGGACTGCAGCAGTAAAGTCACCCAGGAGGAACCTTGCTGCAGCAACACAACAAACCTTACAAAGGACGAAAGCCGCGCCTACAGCAGCAAGCTGCTTCTCTCCTTGGCACGCAGCTACTTTGCTAGACCTCGGTTTTTACACGCACAACAAAAGAAGAGCATGCGCACACATGGACAAAAACCAGAGGAGACCATATCGCCTCAACAGGCGCAAGAAGTTGCGTGAGAAGACACAGGGATAATGAGGCGTTGCCTCTCGGTTTGTCTCTTCCAACTATCTTCATTCGATCCCAGTCCTAGTCCTTTGAATTGTCTCTCTGTCCCTGTACACCCCTCAGTACCCCGTGCTCCTCTTCCTTTCTCTGTGCTATTCTTACATCAGAGGGAGGCGATGAGTCTTCAAGCAGTGGCAGGAGTGTCAGCATGTACTCCCCAACAGCAGTGACGGCTGTGGAGGGGCTCGCTGCCCCTACCCCCGTCGTCTTCTCGTCGCCTTGGAAGCAGGCACTGGCATCACTGCTGCCCACAGCGTCGCTGCTCCCGCCGCTAGCAGCACCACCTCCTGCTGGAGCTGATGCCGCTCCTGCAGCAAGGGCGTCACTGTAGCAAGTCTGCAGGAACAACTCAATGGGTGTGCAGCAACAGCTCACAACCAGCTCTTGCGATGCTGCAGTGAGGGCTGCGTGGGTACCATAAGACGTCGGCAGCAACTCCTCGGGACTGGGTTCTCCCCGCGAGCCAGAAAGGTTTCCCTGTGCTGCAAGCACAGCGGCGGCAGAAGGAGCCTCCAGGAAGAAGCCAGGCCTGTGGACACAGAGGGCAAGCAGGGCGCAAACCAGTGTACGCTGTCCATCTCCAACTGTACCCGCCAGAGGGTTCGCCACCAACGACGCTGGAAGGCGGGCATCTCAGGTGCAGCCTCACTGCCTCTTCATTAAGCTCCACATATAATCGGGGAAGAAAATGGACTCTCAGGCAGAGAGGGGGAGCCTGTCACGCACCGTTCCATTAGAGCCTTTATGCAGAGACTCAGTCTGGTAGGTCTTCTAGACATAGGCGACAGATGGTCTTTCAAAAATGTGCCAACCTGAAGCAGCACCAGGTCATAAGCAGCGGCGCCAACACTTCGGTAACAGCAGAAACAGGGGTGCAGGCGATGCAGTAGCAGAAGGATTGGGGAGGCCCACACACCTCATGAAGTTTATCGACAAATGAGGTCATGAGGCAGTGCAGCTGGAGGCAGGCTGAAAAGAGGGCCGAATCCCAAGGAATGGAATCCAAAGGGGAGCCTAGAAGTCGACCCCGCTGCTGCTGTTGCAGCTGCTGTTCAGACTGAAAAAAAGGCACAAAGACTTCCTTCGCTTCCTATATGCAAGCCATTACCTCCTCACTTCAAAGACACTCGTCTCCTTTTCCTCTAGAGAGAGAGAGCGTAAAAGAGCAAGAGAAAGAAAGAGAGTACGTGCACATTTGGATGTGTGATATGGGTCCTTCTTTGACCGGAAGATTCACCGTATGGCCTCGTAGTGACACGCCGAAAGCCCGGAGCTCTTAGGGGACTATTTAAGCGCCTTTACTTTTTAAAACACCACTAAGGTACCCCAATGTCCCTCCTTAACACTTAGGAGCCGCGTTTGGGAGTGCCCGTGAGATTTTGGTGCGAGTGTGGCTCACCTTGAGCGCAACGGTGTGGTGGAAAGTGTTGATGCGGGGGCTAAGGGCATTGAGTGTCTCTACAAGTGCAGCATCTGCTGCTGCAACAATAAAGGGCGCTCCGGCTGCTCTGCCGCCTCCCCCGCATACAGGGACGAGGGACTCCAAGAGGCGGCTCACAGCTGCTTGAATCTCCTCTTCCATCTGCACTACTGCCTGAAGGGAAGCAGGAGCGTTGGTAGCAGCAAACGCACTGGTTTGCTAAAAAGATACCCTCACTCAAGGCAGCGCGGGGTAGCAGTGCATCTGTGCAGAGAGATGGACTACGGCGCTGGGTTTTTGGCTACGGTCGAGATACAGGCAGCGCCGGCCCTTGCAGCAGCGGGGACAGCTGGATTGACTCTCAGTGCGAAGACAGAGGGATGTGTGGGATACGTGCCTGAGCGGGGGCTAGACGCTTTGCTGTTGCATGGGGGTGGGATTCTGCGGCAGGTGACAGACGGCGCGAGATACCAGCCCCATAGATCGAGAGGAGGGAAGGGGGAAGGAATTCAACCGAGCTGCAAAACTGCGAACATGCCACCACAGGCAACAAGACGTTCGAACAAATTGCACAGAAAAGGAAATACGGAAGACAGAAGCAGGCACGAGCACGCTGAAACCGACAGACAGCTTTAGCAGGAGAGAGCGTTGCCGTCTCCGCTGCTGCTGCAGTTGCACTGTTCGCTAGCATGCGGAGAACCAGCAGTGGCCAAGCCACCACAAGAGGGGCAGGCGCGGAAGAGAAAGGAGACATACTTCGATCAAAGCAAGACGAGAGGGCAGGGTCGGAAGGGCAGAGAGGGGGGAAAAAGAGAACATGAAGGAAATAGTGGAGAAGTTCACCGCAAGGAAGCTGACAAATAAAGGAGAAACGCCTTCTAGGGAACCACAATAAGACAAGTAGGGAAGGTAAAGAGTTGATCGAATTAAAGCAGTGCTGCAAGGCAGTAAACAGCTCACGCTCTCCCAAAGATGAGGCTCCGTTGCTTCTGTCTCTGCGAAGGCCGGGGTTGCACTGATAAGTGTCGCTGTCACTTCGTAGGCTTCCATAAGCTGCTCAGCCAGCTGCGCCAATAACGTACACGACAAAAAACACGGCCTTGGCTAGTTGCCACAGCAGCGCATGCAATGGCGGGGGTGTTAGGTGAGGCGGGAGTGCCTGCAGTGGAGAGAGGGCCCGGTAGCAAACAGCAGAGCGAGGCTGAACGCAGCGGTGGGGGATTGAAGGTAAGGTAGGAGCTGCACACCACTCGGGAACACGAGAACGCACCTCCAAGCCATCCTGCCCTGCTGTTTCAGGCAGCAGATGCTGCTGCAGACGCTGCTGCGGTTGTTCATGCCGCAGCAGAAGGCGCTCGAGTGCCTCCAGGGGCACATCAGCGCCAGCGCCCATTGAGGCGAGAAGAAGAGACAACCATAGGCCTCGGTGCTTGGGATTCCAGGGCCCGTCCCCTTCTGCGGCAAAAGCAGAATCGAAAGCCTAGCAGGAAGAATGCGTACAAAAGAAGTATCTGGTAAAAGCCACCGTACGTAGAGCCCCAAAAGACCACCCGGCAGCCCACCAAGGGAGGGCCCCTCTCCAGCAAACCATCAGCCGTGCAGTCGTACTCCAAAACTTGGATCCTTGGCGCCGCGTGCACCCCTAGGAAAGAGCAAGGGCCCCTACACCGCCCAGTCGCGCCGAAACTGACTGGAATCCCACTATTCTCTCCCTCTGAACGGAAACTCTCCTTTCCTCGTGACGTCTCTCTGACCCTTGGTTCTTACCCGGGGTTATTTGGGCAGCGTACCTGTGTGGATATGGCTGAGATCCCCATAAGACGACAGAGGCTCCCGAAGGATGCGACTGTTGAAGGCAGAGGCACTCTTGTGGGCGCCTGGGGCCGCTGGCTTCGCACTGAGCGCGGCGTCGCTCTCCCCCTTCCACGAGGCCTGCTGCCTCCTTGCTGTTCCCACAGAGGCGGCAGCCGCCCTAATGAACCCCGCAGTCTGCGCGGAAAATGCAGCAGCAATAGCTGATGCGGCTGAATCCTTAGTAGCAAGAAAGGTGCAGTGCCAGATACCCACACAGCGGAATCGCACAGGGATAGCTCATGTAAAGGAAACGTCGAAGTCACACACACACACTCACACACACATGCATGCGCCCGCAGGCTGACCCCAGCACGCTTACTGTAGATAGAGAGCGCGCGCACTTGATTATGTAGTGCCTCGACAAGAGTAGCTAGAAGCTGGGCCCTAGACCCTTATGACACATCGGCGGCTCCTTCCTGGCTAGCGCTGCTCCTATTAGTACCTCTTTGTGTCCTACCTCCGTCACAGCCGCCCCTCCCAACCCCGCTACCCCTAGGAGTTTACAGAGGCTGACCTGTTCCACAGCCGAAGACCAGCGCTCTGCATAAGCCATCAGAGCCTCGGGTTCGGCGACGAAGCGTGCACTGGGCTGGAGAGGTTCATTCCTGGGGGCCCCCCTAGAGGCCCCCGGTCCGTCAAAGGCCTCCACACCCTTAAGAAGGCCTGCCTGTTCGTGCGGTAGGGTGGTTCCATCTTGTGCCTCGGTATCCTCAGCCAGTCCTGCAGGTGTCTGCCCCCACAAAGAGCGCCATTCCTTCTCTAAGAGGGCCTTCAGGGAGGCGGGAAGCTCCTTCAAGAGGATCTCCTGGGCCCCTAGCCGCTCAAAGGCGGCGACAGCGCAAGCAAAACCCTCAGTGCTTTTCTCCTCCACGGAGTCCTTCAAGCTGATGTAAGACAGACAAACATCGAGGGCAGCAGCACCAAAGGCGGAGGGCTTTTCACAACAAGCCGCAAACAGATGCGCCCTCCAGGAACTCTGTCACCCACATACCCCGCATACTACGATCTAGTGTGGATGCTTTTGAGTATGCAGGAATCTGCTATGTGAAGAAGCGGGAGAAGATGAAAGATGCGTTACAGGGACCCCCGGACTTCGGCAGATCTGCAAAGGAATGACTTCCTGCTGCCGCTTCGCTCGCGCGCGAGTTGCAGCTAGGGAGGGATGACAGAAGTCTGACGTCTGGCGAGCTCACAGCAGCGTTGATAGCGTCAGCACACGCTGCTCGAGCTTGTGCGCAGCCTGTAGTCGAGCTTCAAACTCGGGAAGAGAGGCGAGAAGAGAAGCCGCGCGGCGCAACGACGCAGACACTGCGGCAGCCTCCAGCACGGCCCGCTGCTGCGAGGCCTCCCTCAGGCCGTTTGGACGCAAAGATTGCAACAACAGCTCTGCCTCCTGCACTCTAAAGCAGCACAAGAGACGCAACAAGAGAGAGAGAATGTGAGGAAGACAGCGGCAGTCCGGGAGAGAGACAAGACGCAATTTCGAACAAAGTCATATTCATCCGATTTGGAAAAAGTCACAGGTTCCCAAACAAGCTGTCCGACTAATAAAGTCCGAGCCTGTCAGCGAATCCGGTGAGCTGTCTGCGTGGTCTTGCAGCGAGGCCAGGCAGCTTGCAAGTCAGCTAGCATGCAGGCTCCCGCTTGAGAAGACACACTGTTTGCGAGATCTCTCACAGCATGCTGCATAGGGAGCGCGCTGGACACCTTACCTGAGGAATAGGACCATCTAGCCAGCACAGCTTGCTAGCTAGCTGGCACTTGCTCAGCTAAGATTGGACTACGTGAGCTTCGCTAGCTGGTGTATTGGGAGGGCAAGGGAGCCTGGAGAGAGAGGCAGTCGAGAAGGGTATCTGACCTGAAATGCCACCGGTGCAGCTCTGCGACGATCCTGCTGCAGTCTTCAAAATGTTTCTTGATGGCGTGGAGGACGTATACAGCGCTAAGGCTTTCCTGAGAGCATCGGCCGCACCTTAAGAGACAGCAGCAACAGTGGCATCTCCCCTGTCCCATCGTTTTGTAGTGACGGAGCGCCAGAGCGAGAGTGTGACATCCCGAAGTAAGCTACAGCTATGCAGGGACGGAGAGGAGGGCAGAAGGCAGGGTATCAGTTGCTTACCTGCTGCGATGCTCCTCGAGCCTCTAAGCTAGAGAGGAGCTGCTCTGCCGCCTCCTGACAAGCTCGCGTGTCTGTAGCCAAATCTTCAATTGAGGTGAGGGCCTCAGGAACGGCTTTGCTAAGCAGGGACGCGCTTGCCTCCGCGGCTTCCAGGGAATGCTAAGCGCAAAAGCGACACACGAGGCGCACATACTGAATGCATAAGCACCCTGGCAGCAACAACGCACAGTCGTACAGCGGGGCTGCAAGCGACGACAGCAGGAGAAAGCGATACTCGGCACATCTAGAGCAACAACATAGACGGGTCAGAGAGCAACGAATAGGCTGACGGAGGGAAATATGGGGCAAAAGGGGGAGTTCCCTAGAGTGTGCTGCACCAGCTGCAAGCACAGATGCCTTAGCTCGTTGTGCTGTGTGTGTGGCCCCCCTTACGTCTATCTTCTGTCTGAGTACTTCCTGCAGGGCCTCCAGCTGAAGCTCAAGATTTTCGGTGGCATCCACAGGGGCCTCTGGCCGTCCCCTATTCCGCCGGATTTCCTCGTCAATGAAGGCATATGGGTTGTCGACGGCAACGCTTGTTGGGTGCCCCTCCACGGCCTTGTCTTCTCTCTTGCCCAGAAGCGAGTCCTCCCAGACAGTGTCTTTGGCCATTCTGAGGTCCTTCTCTGCTGCAACACCGCTCCCCCATATTTATACATTAGGTTTATTGCAGAAGCTGATAGTCAATCTCCAAAAAAGACGAACGCCTGCCGAATTTTCCCAACACCAGGGCCCCCCTCCCCAGAGTCCCGTGCAGGCGGGTATCCGCGGCTCGTGCCTACAAGACTCATTTCATGTTATGAACGGCCTTTTTTTCCACAGAGCTCGCCGATTTAAGACGATCCCTTAATTGCCCTCGTTCCCTCGACCTACCAACAAAGAGGGACCATGCGCACCGAGGCAGCGAGGTGCCCAGACTGCTCCTGCGGCACACAGTCTTAAGGCTTCACCGTTCGCGTGTAGAGACAGCTGAGGTGCTTGACCCTCTTGCTTCAGTAGCATAACAAGAGGCCTTCTGTAAGGCGAGTGGGAAAACGCTTTCCCCTCCCCTCTCTCCCCCTTCGCTGGGGAGGCTCGGGCTTCCAACGTCGTGCCTGTAGGCCGTGGAGACTCATTGTGCAGAAATTGCGCGCTAGCGGGCTTACTGATGCCTTTACACGCCTGTGCAAAGCTGCCCGTACATAGCTTTCGCAGCCCTTTGCCCCTCCACAGGTTTGGAAGTCCCTGCGGCACCACAGGAAACCGTTAAGCGGCTTCTTTCCCCTATGTCTTAAAGTGACGCCTTGCAGGAACAGTTTCGGTCCGATTAAGGCGCCTTTACTTGATATGCTGCTTTCTGGCTCCCTACATTCCTTTAAAGAGCTCTCCACACTGAACTCAATCCTCGCATTTGGTCCCGTGCAAGTTGTCCCACTCTCAGTTCATGAGCATCATCTTATTGCTTGGATATCCTCTCTCATCAAAGTCAAGAATTAGCGACACTCCGCTCTGCCCTGAAGTGAGTTATTCATCCTTGTGTGATGGATTTGGATGCGCTTTCTCATTGCTGTTGCTTGCCTCCGAATTTTTGCTGGTTAGGGGGAGCTTCTATCCTTTTGCGATGGGGTTCATATCGCCCCCTTCAGGTAGCATGCCTGCAGAAACTCCTCATAGAGCCCTTTTACGCGGGGGGTTGGAGGAGCACTGCGCTATTCCTAACATGGTTTTCTATTATCACGAGATTGCACACACGTGGTGCTTCGCTTCCCTCTTGTCTTGCACGCATGAAGGTCACCCATCTGAGAAAAATCCCTTTTTCCACATGTATCACTACAGGAGAACGGAACTAAAATGCAAGCATGCATGCACACATCTATGCTCTGGCACGTTGATGTATATGTATGGGAGTGAATGAAGCTGTTTTGTCGGCTAAAGCGGATAGATGCTTCACAACGATGCGTAATTGTGAGTCTGTGTAGCAGCTTTTGGCTGCTATTCTCTGTGTTCTTTCCGGCTGCTTGTAATGTTCTGGGGTCTGTCGATGTGTGAATTCAAAAAAGGAAGGGCCCTATCGGCTGCCTGCGTACACTGCTCATCTTAACGCCATCGGAAATGAAAGCTTATGCAAATTCCCAAGGAGAGACACTGTCCACATGTGGAGATGAACAGCGATTTACGGACCATAAGGCTAGTGGCAACGTTTCAAAGGAAATGATGTGGACATCTCATGGTCTGCTGCTACAAGTGCATCAAGGGTCAGTGTGGCTGCAACTAGCTTGTAGCTACTGGAGGGGGATGTGCAACGCCCCACTGAATGTCTCCGTTGCGAGGCGCTTAATTCCTGAAGCGATGCAAACTTAGTAGGAAGTTACTAATTGCCATAAAAAAGCGCTTGGTCCTCCCCTTGCTCGTGCCCTGAAACCTGTAAGATGAGGGGAAAGGGACAGCTGGGAGCGCGGGCTGCTACACCCTGTAAGCACAACGTGCATCATAGCTACTTTTCTACGTAACATGCAGCGTACACACACATTCGTTTCCTTGTATTAAGCTAAAAGCATCTTGCAGTAAGCAAGATATGCGAACATTTGAACTGGCTAGTTAAATCTTCACTAATTCTTGGTTAAATGTAGCCAGTGAAGTCGAAACTGGCTAAGTGTAGCTTGCCATCCACAGGGTGCGGCGCAAACGTCTGCTGCTGCATCACCTATACAACCCACCACTGTAGGGGTCTCATTACTGTTATCGTTGGCGCTGTTTGTGCTGTAACTGAATGCTTTTGTTCCTACGGTAAACTTTTAGCTTGAATGGCTGTACCTAAGTGTAAGCAAGAGAAGGGGGGCTCCGGGCGCGATAACAAGGAAGAGAATGAGAGAAAGTGGCAGTCTTCCTGACATTTCGAGATCCTGTGGCAGCAGTGGCTGCAAGAACCCTTATGGGTGTGCTTTTATAGCTCAGTGTGCTGATGGACACTCTTCGGCTGCTGCTGCGTGGATCCTTCAGTATTACAACTCGCTGGGTTGCAGGTGGAGTGTGTAGGGTAGTGGGTGTCTTATTCTTGCTTTTATTCTGCGTAGGACCCTCGGATGCTGTTCAGGTATTGCCTGTTGGCAGCTTGCCAGAGGATTGCTATGCCCGTGGTGATGCCCATGTGTTGGGCTCCTTTAGCTTTTCCGCCTTTAGATGTGGAGTATTTACACCTTCATGCGCCTCTTTGTGGCTTCAGCCTTCTTCGAGCAAGTGTTTGGTTGGCAAAAATGCTTTGATTCACTCATTACACCGACTGGTCAACGAGCCCTCTCGTCGCGGGCACTGAAGTGTACGGACACCCTATCACGCGAACAAGTAGGATGAGTCTGAGCAGAGCTGCGCCTCTTCTTCACATATGAGTGGTTATGACTCTCTCCGAATAGGAGCGAGTGTGTGGAAATACAGTGAAGGTCGCAGGGCCCCTATTTCTTGGCCCCTCGGTATGTACGCTTCCCGTTGTATTCGGCCGAACCTCCGCATAAGGGCAAGGAATGGGGGCCTAGCTGGGCAATTTGTTTTGTTGGGAGTGAGTTTGTCAGAGCCAGTGGTATGGCTTCTTTGAAGTGTGCTACGAGCCTCATGACGAAAGGCACCGCCTTAACAACCAGGTGGTGGCACTTCGTCGTGTAGATAGAACTGGGATACGGTTCAATAAAGCGAGGTTGCCTTCGCGTTGCTCGAGAAGGAGGGGAGTTATGCGTGGATGCGATTTGTAACGGGTCTCAATGCAGCGACGGAAGCAACGACGGCAGCACCAACCGTGGCATAAGCAAGTGGTGCTGAGGGTTTGAAACTATTACAGTGTTTTTCACACTTATAATCAAGGAAAATAGGGCGAAGTAAACCACAAAAATAAACAAAGATCAGCTGTTTAGGGCTAATTTCCGACCAGTGCGTTGAGCGCCTTGGAGGTTTCACAGGTACAGGGGAAAGTCGTGGGTGCCTCGTTGCTGTAACTCGCATTGAGAATCCACAAAACAACATCCTAGGCCCTTTGTTCTCGTGTTAAGCTTAATGAGCAGGTTCTGTCTATTAATACCCTACGGCAGAGCTTGGAACTGTAGAAGGAAGTGCACGGCACTCCTGCCTGCTGCATCAGTTCTGCAGTGCATAGGCAACGCAGTGTCCTGTTGCGGGCTTCAGGTGTCCGTGCAGCTAAGTAGCCATGCATCCAACTTTAGTTCCTTTCCTACTGCGTGCACTGCTACACCGGAAACTAACAAAATGAAAGGGGCACAGCAGCAACAGCAGTAGCAGCAGCAGAAGGCCTCAGGCTCGTGCTGCTAAGGCAAGTGTCACAACTGCATCAGAAACGAGAAACCAGCCGATTCCTGGCACTAAAGAGGCCACAATGCAGAGCCTGCTAATATTGATGCTGCAGATTACAGCTGCAGCAACAGCTGTTGTTGCAGCCGCTGCCTGCACTCCGGCCTCCCGACTAGACCCCCCCCTGCGCCAGCCCGAGACAGCCGTGCTGCGGCATCAGCGGCAGCAGTTGCCGCTCCTTGCCAAGGTGAATGCACATTCCCTGATCTGTCTCTTTTTCTACAACTGACGCAAAAGCAGCAGCTGTTAGTTTCCCAAAACAAGGGTTGTAAAAGCACGCGTGCCTACGTAAAGCCCGAGACAGCCGTGCTGCCCCCGACCAGCGCCGCTGCCGCCTAAGGTGGATGTGCACCTTGAAGATAAGCTGTGGCCGCTCCCTCCGATTGGTTCTCGTGTAGCAACGTCCTGCCTTTAGCAACTAAACCTCTAGGGTTGCTGCTGCGGCTCTGGGCGGGCAAACTGTAGGGCTTCTTCACTTGCTGCTGCCGCGCAGGCATCGCAGAAAGTGATGGCAGCGCTGCAGCTGCTTCAACACTCCACGTGATGGAGGAGGACTTCTCTCTCCTTTCCCTTCGTGGAGCAAGAGCCTTCATCTTGAGGCAGCAGGGGGTTGTTGCTGTGGAAGTGGAAGACGAAGAGCACCAGACAACTGCCGACCCTTGCTGTTGAGGCCGTCGCTACCGGTAGGGCTCGTGCCCTCCGCAGCACCAGTGCGGCACAGCCTTCGTCAGAAGAAGACTGCATAGGCTTCAACAGGTTACAAGCTTTATTCACGTTTCTAAGTCGTAGATAGAGGCCGATTGTGGTACCAGCAAGACGCCAGCACGCACGGCAGGAGCGAAGCTTCGGGGTCTTTGCAAGGCGGCGAAGCCGAGCAACACCCCTCACGCGGCATCTGGCTGCGTTCGCCAGACCTCCGAGAGCATTTTGTGCACCACGAGCAGCAAGCACTGCTCATCGGAGCCGCTACTGACGCTGTTGGCATTGTAACTGCTGCTGCTGGTGTGGTGGCAGTGGTGTTAGCACCTGCGCCGTGTTACGGGGCCAAAAGCAAGTGATGCCAGCAACTGGAAAACGACATGCTGCTCTGCGAACGCGAGGACCCCCCCAGAAACTCGAGCACTCACAGCAGTAGCAGCAGCAACAGCCGCCGCAGTGCGCTGGTGGACTGGCCAGAAACAGCCGCTGAAGAAGAGATTGCTGCTGCTGCCGCCGCAGTGATGCCGAGTCATGCCGAGTTGTCAGGACTCAATGTTGATGGGGAAACTGCCTCCCGCAAGGGTTCTCCGGCGGAGAGCCCTCGAGAGTCGTCTGTAGCGACAGCAGCATTCCCAGTTTTTGTCGATTCTGACGCGAAACAAGGCTCAACAGACCAACAAGCAGGTGTACCTTGCCAGAGGTGCAGCAGCAGCACCAGGAGCTGCTGCTGCTGCAACTGCCCGCCACTGGAAGGCTCGACGAGCACAACTCCAGGCAATGCACATCCTGCTCTGCAGCAGCTCAAAGGGCCTGCCTCTCCCGACGGAGGAGGCCACCTGGCGCTCGGAAGCCAGCAGCGCGGATCCCTCCCACAGCAGCTGCACCCACAGCAGTCTGCTGTGCAGCAAGACTCGAGAAAGCGAAAACTTCAACACGTCGTCAACCCCCCTGGGAACAAGCGGGCTCAATGCGACTGGTTTGTGCCTCCGGCAGACTCTTCGAGGCCTCTCCAAACAACCCCTGCAGCGGCGGGTGCTGCCGATAATGAGGCCGGTGCTGCAGACGAGCAGGCTGCAATCGTCTTGTCTTCGGAAGCTCAGCCAAGCAGCTCTGCAGCAGCAGCTGAGCTGCACGTCCCTCCCCCGCCTCCTGGTGTCGCTGCCGTTGCCGCTGTGGCGAATCCCTGTCTCCCCACAAGTCAATTGTTGCGGCAAGAAGGAGGCGCGCCAGCAGCAGCGACTCGGCCTTGCTGCTCTTGGGCTGTCGCTGGCTTGCACGCTGCAGCTGCAGCAGCACTTGCTGCAGGGCTAGGAGCTGCGCCTTCCTGTGCTGTTGCTTTAGACGAGGTCGACTCGGGTGCCACTACGCAGTCCCCTGTCTCGCCGAGCAACAGCTGCTGCAGCAGCTGCTGCTGCAGCACTGCCCCTTCAACCTCTTCTGGGAGCACCAGCTGCAGCAATACCAGATACTCGCTGCAACGGCAATGCGAAAGCAGCACCCTACCGGTTGCCGTGCTGCTCCTGCAACTGCAGTCGTACTTCATCGATTTGCTGCGTTATCTGCGAGACTCAGCAGCCGCAGCAGCAGCGGAAGCAGTGCCACAAGATGCCGCAGAAGCAGAGAAAGTTGCACGAGCGGCAGACACAAATTACTCTCATCACCTACAGGTCATCTTAGGGAGCTCTTGCAATGCGCTGCAACGGCAGAAGAAAAGCAGCTCCAAGCAACGTCAGCACCAACAGCAGCATGTACTGCCTGCCCTTGACTCAATAGAAGCAGGAGAGGGTTCAGGATCCTTGCGAATGCAGCTAGACGCCTCCGACGATGCGGCTGCTATAGCAACAGCACCAGGAGCAGGAGCAGCAGCAGCAGCAGCAGCAAAAAAGCAGCAAGGCTCTCCAGAAGGCACATGTGAACGCAAGCGTTCTAGCGAGGCTGCGGTGGAGCAAGTGGGTTCCTGTGTCTGCACCACTCCAGATGAGTCTCTTCTCCAGCAGCAGCAGCCAACGAAGAGGCTCAGGGACTGCAGGACGGATTTACTTGCAGCTGCAGTCACAGACCTAGCAGATCAGCAGCAGCAGCAAGAGCAGCAGCAGCAAGAGCAGCAGCAACAAGAGCAGCAGCAGCAACAAGAGCAGCAGCAACAAGAGCAGCAGCAACAAGAGCAGCAGCAACAAGAGCAGCAGCACACTGCTTGTGCTGAAGACACTCCACCAGCCAACGCTTCGAAAGAAGATGCATCTCGAGAAGAGCGACCAACACTAAGACCTGACACTGAAGTTTCAGCATCGGTTGCGCCTTCAGTCTCTACTGTCCCCCCTTGCAACGCCAGCAGCAATCGGGAGCAGGTGAGTGCCTGGCAGTATGCTGCGGCGAAATTCCGCTGTCCAGAGCTGGATCAGCTGCCTCCTGCACTTTCGCCTTACATTTGTATCTTTTCCTCGCTGTTGCTGAGCGGTTCGGCCGAGGCTGCACAGGCGGCCGCGATCGCCGTCGCGACAACGGAGAAGTTGACGCTGCTGCGGCACCAGCAGCAGGAGGAAAGCAAGGAGCAGGAAGCGCGGCTGCTGCTGGAGCTGCAGCAGGCTCACAACGAGTTTCTGGCGCTGGAGCAGCAGCAGCAGGAGGTGCAGCAGTTGAGAGAGCGGCTCGCGAAGTACGAGGCTCTTAGGGGCACGACGAGTTTTAGGGGGGGCCTGAGCGGCGGCGATAGCAAGGATCTTCAGGAGGCCAAGTCGAAGTGCAGCCACGTGTTCTCGCTGCTGACGCAGGAGGATGGTCACGCAGACGCGCCAGAAGCGGCGGCAACAGCCGCAGATCCTGCAGCGCCCCCTCGAGCCGCTTTCGATCCCAGCGGGGGGGCGACGTCTCTGGAGCACCCGCAGCAGGAGGCGAAGTTTCTTGCAGCAGATGGCGTGGAAGGCAGAGGGCCGATTTTGGGGGCCCTCAGTACCGGCGCCGCCAGTGCACAGCCTCGGGGAGCCGCCTTGGCTGTGGAAGAGGAAGAAGGCGCCGAGTCAGCGGAGACAGCCGACCACGGAGCTCCCTCCGGTCAGAGTGGTCTTCTTCCGAGTCTTTTGCGGCATGAGAGCTGGAGCCAAAGGGCCCCCCCCCAAGGAAAACAGCCGAGTGGAATGCGCGGGGGAACTGCACACGGAATTCTTGCTGCCCCAACAGACTTTTGTGTGGACCCCGCTGGTGCCCTCTTAGAGGACTCAGACGTGTCTCCCCGCTACTGCCATAAGGGGGCCCTTGCATGCGACAGTGCGATGGCGGCAGCGTGTCTGGGAGCAGCAGCAGCTCCCCGTGCTGCCCCGGGGCCCCCCGCATGCGCTTCGCAGGAGGGCCCCCTGCATGCGGCCCCGGACGGTTCTGCTGAGTGGGGTTCGCATTGGGGCTTGCGGCGGTGCAGTCGAAGGGCGCGCGCGTTGCAGCAGAGCAGGGCCCTTCGAGCAGCAGCGGCTGAAGAAGCGGCAGCGGCTGCTGCTGTTGCTGCCGCTGCCGCTGCTGCTGAAGACGATGCATTAGGGTCGGAGGGCAGCACAGATTCGGCTGCTGCATGCCGCAGCAGAGGGGCCCGCCAACAGCAGCAAAGGGCCAAGGGGTACTATGCTGGGGGGGCCTCTTCAGCAGCAGCGGGGGCCGCTGCTGCCGCTGCTGCCGCTGCTGCTGCTGCTTACTGTGCGGCGAAGAAGCGGACGGAAGGGGGGGGAGGGGGAGGATCGCATGCAGCTCTCGGCGGACTGGCCTGTCTCGGCGCCAAGCAGCGGCGAGAGCACCAGCAGCACCAGCAGCAACCGCAGCAACAGCAGCAGCAGCTCCACGCGGCCGTCCACAACAACGCAGCGGCTCTCGTAGCTCCAGCGGCAGCAGCTGCTGCTGCTGCCATCGGCGGCTCTGGCGCCTGCAGCAACGCCCCCGCAACTCTCCTGAGGTGCTCGCAGACGGAGAGGACAGGAAGATCACGGCGTCTCCCTGGACCCCATCGCTCGCGGGTGTCTTTCTTTCCAGAGGAGCATGAGGGCCTCCCCAGGAAGTGCTCCGTGGGGGCGGCTTCAGCGGCGTCTGCCGTGGCTTCCCTCGCTGCAGGTGCATCTTCTGTGGCGGAGACTCTGGTGACTGCGAATGCTGACGCGATGGGGGAGAGGACCCTTTCATCGCATCATCTTGCACCGGGAGGAGGAGCGCCGTCTGTCAGCGACTCAGATGGGGGGTTGGGCTCTGCGGAAAGCCTCCGTTTGTGCGCGGGAACTTCTGGTGGTCTCGAAGAGCTCCTGGCATCCAGCAGACGCTTACAGCAGCAGCAGCAGTGCTCTGCTCTGGAAGAGGGATGCCGTGGTGGCTCTGGCTATGACGGCCCAGGCTGTCTAGAGGGGGGGGGAGGGGGCCCTCAGGGGCCCCCGTCGGGAGGGACGTCTCCAACGGGTCCAGGTGGCTGCATGGCAACCGGGCATGGGAGCTTCGTAGGGGCCCCTACGTCGATGTCTACTTCAAGAGTGGTTACGTCTCTGCCTGGTCCTGGAGGGGGAGGCCCTTCCCGTCTGGAGTCTCTTCCGGAGGAGCTGAGCGAGGAGATGAGGCCGATGAAGGGGGTGTATTTTGACAGGACGCAGAAGAGTTGGATCGGATCTTTCTACGAGGAGAGACGTCAGATCAAGAAGCGCTTCAAAGTTGCGACTTACGGGTATCACACGGCCAAGGCTCTGGCGATTAATGTGCGGCTAGGGTTCGAGCGGAAAGCCAGGATGCGTGGCGATGACAGCAAGGAGGCACACCCAGCAGCCCATGCGGAGAGGCTCCTAGCGGGAGCCACCGAGGCTGCCTTGGCAGCTGGGGAAGCAGGAATCGACTCGAACAAGGAAGCGCAGCTGCGCCTTCTTCTTCACAGTGCCGAGAGTGGATCGACTGCGCACCTCCCACGCAGCGAGCTGCTGCAGCAGATCCTCAGGAGACAGCCCAAGGCCTACGAGGACAAGAAGCAGCAGCAGCAGCGAATAGCTACCGCCGCAGCCAGCACTGCAGCTTCAACCGTCCCTGCGATCCCGCGGACCCAGTTTGAGCTCCATAGAGGGGGGGGCAGCCTCGTAACTGCCGGGGGGCCCCTTGCGCATCAGCAGAGATGGACTGCTGATGCAGGCACAGCTGTTGCTGCTTCTGCCGTCAAAGCCGAGAGCTCCACAGCCCTCATGAGGCACGAGAAGCAAGGGCTGCTGCTGCGCCAGAAACACCGAAGCAGCAGCAGCAGCAGCGCGGTAGACGACGCAAAGAACGGAGATGCAGGAACGACTGCCGGAGCGACTCCCTGTTCAGCTGTCACTGCGGCAGACTTCGCTGTAGCCGTAGCTGCACTCCGATGTAGCCTGGGCCCTCAAGAAGACGTCCTGCTGGCGCGCAAGCCCGCTGCCGCTGCTGCGACGCAGAAGCAGCTCGACAGACGCGTTGCTGCCTCAGCAGGAGCAGCAGCAGCAGCAGCGGCGGAATCCGAGTCTGCAGACACCTCGGAAGCTGCCGCAGAGGAAGACTTGGATGAGGCTTTCAGGGCGGCTATCCGGGAGTCCAGAGATCCCACTTCGCTCTTTGCGCAGGCCCTCGACGTGTCCAACACTTCGCTTGCCTTCTTTCACTCGGCAGCTGCCGAATTGCAGCACACCAAGCAGCCGCCGAACCCCCACCTGGACTCGCCCCCTGCGGGAGGCGTCAAGGCAGCAGCTGCCACGACCATTGTCTCCAAGCAGAAGCAGCAGGCTCTCAGACGATGGCGTGGAAGTAGCACCACGACGGGATCTCCATCGGCTGCAGCGGGTCGTGTCAGCCCCGTCAACTCGCCCTCCTCCACAGCTGCAACGCCAACACGCAACGCAGTGGCTGCGGCTGGTGCTGGCACGGTGAGGCAGTACGAGAGACGGGATGAAGGGGAGCGGGCGGAGCCAAGTCCAGAGGAAGTCTCGGGAGGATCCTGGGTGCAGAGCCGCGCTGGTGCTGTCGCAGCAAAAACAGAGACAGCAGCACCAGCAGCAGCAGCTGCTGCTGCTGCTGCATCAGAAGATCCAGAGGGTGGCGTGGTTCTGTGGCAGAATCGAGGCTATGATGAGGGGGAGGAACCAGAAAGTCTTCTAGAAAAGGCGGCAAGGGGCCCCCCTCCCCCGAAAGCCCCCTGCGGCTCACGGAAGCCCCTTCCTCACGCTCCTCTTCGGTGGACAGAGGAAGGGGCCTCTCGAGATGGCAACGGCTGCAAAAGAATCCCTTTAACGCGAGCTTCAGGAGAGGAGGGGCCTTGCGGTAGAGATGCCGGCAGTAATCATAGCCGCACAGCAGCTGAAGCAGCACGGCAACAACAACAGCAGAGGCTCGCCGACCTAGCAGCGGCAACCGCAGCTATCCGCCAGGCCCATGGATTCGGCGACACGGCTCAACTTCAGCAGCAGCTCTTCGAGCAGCTGCAGCAGCTTCAGAGAGAACAACAAGAGCAGATGCAGGCACACGCGTCTGAGGGCGATGCACAGCTTATGGGCATCAGCGAAGAGACGGCCTTACCGACTGCAATTGCAGCCGCAGTGGCAGAGGAACGGGATGCGGCCCTTAGCGAACGCGGCAGCTCCGAGGACCCGCAACAGCGTGTAACTCGAGAAACTACCAAGCAGCAGCAGCAACATCACCACAACCACCACCAGTACCACAAACATCGCCATCTGCAAGATTTACGGCAGCAGCAATATGCTGCTGCTGAGACTCTCAAGAGTCTCTTGTCTGGGGCCTCCTCATCCCCGTGGCCAGCGCAGTCTCAGCGCAAAACTGACACAGCAGCAGCAGCCTTGTGTAACAGCAACAGTGAGGCACAAGGCAATGCGAGTTTGGGGTCGCGCAGAACTCAGCAGCAGCTGCCTGCTGGAGCCAGTGGTGTCTCTTCAGCGCAGGAGGAGCCTCCCAGCATGGCGTGGAGGGGCACTGACTCTTGACGAGGCACACAAACTGTTCCTTTGAGGCAAGCCTCTTATTGTTCGAAGGGCCCTGCTCGCCGTTCTCGAGCGGTGTGGTGCTCGTATATGATTTACCTGTCCCAGGAACCTTTTGAAGTGCAGCAGAAACAAAGCCGGTTGTGCAACGTGAGTGTAGAGGCGTGTGTTTGTAGACACAGACCTCAACGTCCCTTTATGCCCTTCAGAAGTATGAAGACCAATGTGTGCCTCTCTCTCCGGCGCCCCTGACAAATTTCCTCCTGAGACCGCCACACACACCGCAGCTGAACGTTCACTGCAGCAGCACTTGATAAGAGCTGCATGCATGCAAGGTGCTACCACCTCCTTTTCGTATTTTGCGCTCGGGCTGATTGGAGCCTCGAGTTATATATTTAGAACATAAGTTGGCCTTCCAGAATCCCTAGGGTAGCCCCTATGCCGCTTCAACGAAGCTCCCTCATTTCGCACGCGTCTTGGCCACTCCCTCAAATAGTGCTCAGTAGAAGGAGACAGGCCGTAGCCGCGTGGTGACAGCTCAGAGGAAGGGCCTCACCCTGGGGCCTTTATCACTAACACTTTTTGCACACGCAAGTGCGCAGCAGACACTTTTCCTTCTAGAAAGAATAGTAGACCTTTTACGGGGTAGTGCAGGGCCAACCGACAGTGTTAACAGCCCCAAACCACTTCCGTCATGCGCTTACTGCATGCGTACTCGCCACGGTCCGTGGTGGGGGGGAGCGGGAGGGGAGGGGCGAGGCACACGGGAGAAGGGGTCGAGGGGGAAAAAGGCTTAGTCACGGCTGCTGGTTGGGGGCGGAGGGTAGTAGCGGGCACTCGACGCTAGTTGTGGAATCGTGAACCGTTTTGCCGCAGAGGCTAGTTCCATAGAACCAGAGGAAAGCTGCAAGGAACGCTAGGGACAATAGTATGCGTGATGTGGTCAAGCGAGATGCCCTGAAACCCCGCAGATACACCAAGGGAGGAGGGGTGGTGCTGTTCTGGTCCAGCATTCTCAACGACGCGCACTCTGTAGCAGCCTAAAGTATGCGTCTGGTGTTGCGTCTATGGAAGGATTCTGTTTTTGCTCATCCGTGCACTCGCAAATTCCTGTCTTTCCTGCCAACCAAGAAAGTACCCCAATGTGTCCACTAATGTGCGCTAAGCGACTCGGGCTACTCCCGGAGAGTACGCAATGGAAATTCCACCCGTTGCTTCTGCAACCGCAGCTTGAGACGGGAAACTCGTAAAGCGAATGGGTCTATGTTGGGCAAGTGGCTCTCAAAAGAGAAATTTCAGCTTAAAAGCGTATGCGAGAACAGGAGGGCAGCAGTCGTGAAGTCTGCTAACGTTGAACCAGGAGATATACTGGGATGCGAAGAATTCATCCGCATAGGACAAACAGTCTGCCCCAACCTAAGCTGTACTAGCATCAAGATCCCGCGTGGTTTCTCAGATTTACCGCCGCTATGCTGGGAAGCTTACATCAGAAGGGACTCGCGAAGGCAGCACATAGTAGAAGACCGCCAAGCCTCCCTTCAACCAGGTAGCTGATGCCATAACCCCGAAACATGTCTGATCGCCGCCTGATCGTTTACATATCTCCCAGACCTCAAGGCGGTGGCCCCAAGAGAGCCATTTTACAGATAATCCTGGCCCTAAAGAGAAACTGAAAATTGATGCTGCGGCGTCTAACACGCCCTCGACCGCTGAGTAGATGTTCATACAGTGGACCGCTCGTCGTGGAGTGGTGTCCGTCGACGAAGTTGATGTTGGTGGCTGGCGGTGTCGCTGTAGCACGGCCATGGGAACGATGCACTCAAGGCCCCCGTCCATTTTTGCAGTAGCGCCATTTCTGGGTCCATATAGCATGCGACTTATGCGCGGAACCAGACATAATTAAAAATTAAGACATGAAGTGATCACGCTGGTTACGGAGTGTACCTGCTAGGCTCATCCCTCTTCCGTTGCGCTCAGCACGAGGCCCCGGTAGATACCATTGGGAATATTCATGAGCTGCTCATGGTTGCCCATCTCTACAACTTGGCTCCCCTCCGCGTTTTCGTTTTGAAGGACCATAATCTTGTCCGCTGTCCGGACAGTTGAAAGCCTGTGAGCTATTATGATGGTGCTTCTCTTTGCATCCTCAGCAACAAGTTTATCCAATGTGGCCTGTACCTGCTTCTCGCTCTCTGCATCCAAGGCCGATGTCGCCTCATCCAGAATCAAGATTTTAGGATTCCTGAGGAGAGCCCTAGCAATGGCGATACGCTGTCTCTGGCCTCCAGAGAGCTGCGCTCCCGCAGTTCCAACATTTGTGTTGTAGCCTTGAGGCAGTGCGGAGATGAATCCATGGGTATTCGCCATACGAGCTGCCTCCTCCACCTCTTCCTGTAAATAGAACCAGTGGAACAAGCACACGCATGTATGTGCATGCATACACAAGCACCAGAAGGCCGCTATAAAGTAAAGAAACGACGAACTGAGATCATCAAGAGGCACTTTCAAGCGCGCATCCATGAGTAAAATCGACCCGCCGCTTCATCCCTTCTCATGATCTCTAACTTGAAAACAGAAGGAACAGAACCGGGAGAACCTCCAGGGGGTCACCACCCCCAAAACTTCATGTGAAAAACTGGAAACTGTCACTCAATTGCCGAGCACGGGAGATGCAAAAACATACTGCACAAATATTTAGAACCGCTTGGAACCTCACAATTCAGAGCTCGTAAGTCCATGACAAGCTGCAATACACGAAGTCACTCCCACCGCACACCCCAACCTTCATTCCTACAGACAAGCCGAAAACGGAAACACAGTGGAAGCAATAGCCCACCTGCGTGGCGTTGGGTTTTGAGTAACGAATGCAATCTCCAATGCTGAGGTTGAAGAGAACTGGCTCTTGGCTGACAAGGCCAATGAGAGACCGCAGGCGAATAAGGTTGGCGTCTTTCAAGTTCGTGGAGTCGACTAGGATACGCCCCACACGGTGTGCCTCCTTAGTTTTCGCTCTGTCTGCCTGCACTCTAGTGCTGTCGTCCAAATCGTAGTAACGCAGTAGCAGCTGCACAGCCGTTGATTTGCCGCATCCAGAAGCTCCAACAAGAGCAACGCTTTCTCCCGGCTGAATCGAGAATGTAAGATTTTTGTATACGGGCTGCTCCGGCCTATTGGGGTAGCAGAAGGAGACATCCTTGTACTCCACAGATCCGGTGAAGTTCTCCAGCATATCCCCGGAGCCGTCTAGGGCATCCCGCACGTCGATCCGTGACGGTCTGTCGATGACACGGAAGACATCCACCAGAGCCTTCTGTGCGTTTTTGGCATCTGCACTATACGTGGAGGCGACGCCCAGCCCAGTGGCGGCAAAAACGATGGGGAAAACAGTGTTCAGGACGGCAGATGTGCTGATTTCCCCTTCATTGGCGAGCTTGGTTCCGTACCATAGAGCCAAAGAAAAAACGAAAAACTGCATACTCTGGGAAATCCCCCAGGATATGCCAAAGCCGAATGCGGTGCAGGCCTTCTTGCCCAGCTCGCTTGTTGCTGCTTGCTCGTACAAATGGGAGAAGTGCCCCTCAAGCCCGAATGACATCACCACGCGGATGCCAGAAACGGCCTCAGCAAAGATAGCCGAGGCAGAGTCCTCTTTCTTCTTCTTTGAGCTGCCTCCCGCTGCATTGAGCGCTGGCCTGTTGAGCGCGTAGTCAACGGCCACAGCACCAGCAGATAAAATGAAGGTCGCGAGGAGGACTAGAGCAAGGCGCCAGGAGTACCAGAACCCGATCGCAATACCAACGGCAAAGGAGAAGAATCCGTGGAAAGCACTCACAAAGTTTCCAGTTGCGGCGGTGGTCACAGAAGCCACATCAGCCGAAAGAATGGAGCACAGTATCCCCGTATTGTTTTTTGTGTCGTCAAAGAAGGCGATGTCTTGGTGCACAATGTTGGTGAAGGCCCGCTCTCGTAGTCGGTAAGAGAGACGGGCTCCAAGGTACTCTTTGCAATACTGTTTCAGAGCCTCGATGGGGAACCGCACGATAAAATAAATGAGTATGATAAGCGCCCAGAAGTCCGTCTCGTCCCTCAATTCCGCGGGATCTGGCTTGAACAGCACCGTGAGAAAGTTGCCCAGGAGAAGACCCATCAAAGGGAAGCTGGCTCCAGAGAGCGCAGAGGAGATAATCATCACCGTAAACATGAACCATTCGGGAGCCAGCATACGCACGGCGCGGCGAAGACGCGCTCTGCCTTTGGGGGGTGGAGTCAAGCCCTTATCCGTCAGTCGTGCCAAAAAACTGGTGGCATTGAGCCCCACACTTGACTCCATGAGCTCGAGAGCAGAGACACCGCCATCCACGGGCGTCGCGGGTAACAGCAAGTCATCATCTTCCGTTTCTTGATGTTCACAGGAAGGGAATCCTACCGCGGTGGTTGCGCCCTCAGCTGAATGACTCATAGAAGGGTGCTTTACAGGTGCCTGCTCCTGAAGGCCCTTACTTCCGTCTTGCGATTGGAAGAGATTATAGTATAGTCCCTGCGTATCCTTGAGAAGCTCGTCGTGAGTCCCCCTCTGCACAACTTCTGCACCATCGCCTCGGTTATCCAAAACAATGATCTCGTCCACCTTCTGAATTGTGGTCAGCCTGTGGGCGACGATTAGAGTGGTGGCGCTGGACGTGCTTATAACACCATCCAGCGCCTTTTGAACTGCCTTTTCGGACTTGTTATCCAGAGCAGAAGTAGCCTCGTCTAAGATAAGGACCGCGGGCTGCCGCAACAAGGCCCGAGCCAAGGCCACGCGCTGTTTCTGCCCTCCCGATAACTGAGCACCGCCAGTTCCGCACATTGTTTGATACCGCAAGGGCAGCTGATCTACGAACGCGGAGACATGAGCTTGTTGAGCCACGACTTCGAGATCTGCTAGGGTTTTGGCTTCAGGGCAACCCAGGCGGATGTTCTCTTCAATCTAAGAGTGGACCCCACAAACCACACATGCACACATGTACGACCTGACGCCTTCATTACACGGCCTACAACAAATCCGTCCTGCGAGGTGTGCTGCGATCGATCAGACCTACAAGAGGAAGGCTCCGAGAGCCTCGCAGCCACAACGGCCACCTCGTACACCCTGACTGACGAGGCCATCGGCATCGAAAATGATAGAGGAAGAAAGCATGCGCGCACAAAAGCCCTCTTCTCTAACATTGGGGAGCAAGGCAACCAAAGAAGGGAACAGAAATTGCGAACGAATTGACAGCCCTACTCAGACATAGCTCACAGTTGTAGAGAAGAGTCGAGGCTCTTGCATGACCACCCCGAGGCGCGACCGATACCATCGCGTATTCAGGCTCGTCAGATCCCTGCAGCTCCACAGGACAGACCAATGTGGACCCTCTGTCTTCAATCTAAAAAGGAAGGAAAGGTGGGCTGCCTTCCCCTAGAGGGAAGCAGGAAGCAAAAGCTCAAGAGGAAGGAGCCCTCTCATGCAGCTGTTGAGAAGCGAGGGTTACTTCGTTGCCACTCAGGTTGGGGGGTTGGGGGGTGGGCTGCTCGTCTGTATGTGTGCATGCAGCAGCTGTGCGTTCCCTCACCGTCCAGCAATTGAAATTTTCCCTTCGACGGGGTCATAGATACGCTGAGTGAGTTGCAGGATAGTTGATTTGCCACAGCCGGAGGGGCCAACAAACGCGACGGACTTCCCTGCTGGGATTCTTAGCGAAAAGTTTTTCAAAATGACGGCCCCTGGTCTCGACGGATAGGAGAAAGTGACGGAATCGAACACGATATCGCCGTCCAGAGCCACGTCCTTGTCTCCTGTGGGGTCTGTTGGGTCGATCGCTGAGGGCTCCTCAATGACTTCGTATATCGTCTCCGCAGATTTCACGGCCTTCATGAGCAGCGATATGTTCTCTGCTATGTTGCCTAGTGTGAAGGAAGCCATGAGGAGACAGACGGAAATCACAAATGCCGACCCACCCTCGAACTCTGGCCTCGGCCACATCGAGGGGGGCTGCTGGAAGATGGCTTCGCCACCTGGTGGGAGACTCGCGATTATGTCTTCCATGCCTCTTGCTACTTTGCCCCCGCTCAGATAGAAAACAAGCGCAAACATTGCAAAGACGGATGAGATGAGGCCTCCTATGCCCAGACCGGAGAGGAAGCCCCCCCAAATGCCGGCCTTCTCTGCCTCTCTGTTGTGGTGCGTGTATCTCTCGATAGCTACATTCTCCCCTCCAAAAGCAACAACAGTCCTCATACTGCTGAAGGTCTCCGTGGCTACAGATCCCGCCTCCTCCAGCGCTTTGTTCACCTTGGTCGAGGTTGTGCGCATTGCCCATCCAAGAACTGCTCCAGAGAAGGCCGCTGGCAAGAGACCGACTAGCGAGCACAGAGTGATGGACCAGCAGCTCATGAAGGCGATAACTATGGACCCAATAATAAGCACTACGTTCGAGGGAATTGCCACGAGCTTCATGCCAATACCATCCCGCACGGATGCCAAACAAACATCCAGGCGCGCAGACAAGGAGGCAGCATCGTTCGTGTCGTACCAACTCATAGACTGAGACAGCACAGAATCCACGTACCGGCAACGCATGCGCGCCGTTACACGATCTGCACATATCTCCATGCACATACATGCAATTGCCTGGAGCACCAAAGTTACGCCCCCAGCGATAGCCATCTCCTTCACCGTGCCGCTCACATCCATGGTGGTATGTAGGTTGTTTATTGTGGACCCAAACGACCGCATGAAGTAAGGCAACATGCTGCCTGCGGCGGCCGCAAACAGGAAACTAATGCATAGAAGGAACAGCTCAAAATTGCTGGCCTCCTTAAACGGCAGGAAGACGCTGCCCCGCTTCAAGGCATCGGCGAATGACGTCGGAGCGATTCCCCTTTTGGGGCCCCCTTTTGGGGGACTCACAAGAGCGGCTTTTTCGGATGACATATTGTCGCTCCTTCCTCTATATTTGTCGCTCCTTCCTCTATATTTGTCGCTCCTTCCTCTATATTTGCGTGTCTCTTTGTGGCTTCGTGTGGGTCTCGGATCTCGTGCCCTCCGTTACGGCTTTAGGCACCGAAGGCCTTTTCTGCCAAAAAACAGGCTAAATAGCTCGATATATAGAGCGAAAATCGATTAACAGGATGGGAAGCACGGCTTCCCAGATCCCCGAATTGATCTGCCAGCAGCCACGGGGCAGTGTTCTGCAGTAGAGAAGAGTGACCCAAGGGCCATTAACCGCTATGCGAAAAGCATAGTGGCGAGAAACACCAACGAATCACACTGTCCAGATGGGAAGCGATACAAAAGTACGTGCGAGTCGACCCAGAAAGAGATCCAGTGCTGCTCTAGCAGGCCGCCTGCCCCGCGAACTGATAGCCTGTCCCGGCTCACGAAAATGAAAAGAGCCAGACTCCCGACAAAACCGCCACCCTCTACGTGGTCGTGAGTTAAGTTCGAACAGACTTCGTGCTCAGTCGCTCCGAAAGGAAGGCGAGAGCTCCGCAGGGGCTGAGCCACGGGGGACGCTCCAGCAAGAATTGGTCGGGTGGGGCCTGATGGGACGGGCTGTGTGCTGGATGCTCCGAGGGTCCTCCTGGTTGCAGAGAAATTCGATACGTACAATTGGCGTATTTAATCGCTAGGTGTGGCTTTATATTGTTTCTTGATGCAGCAATAGTGCTTGGGGCCACAAAAAACCGTAGTGCTCCACGGCGTCCTATAGGAGCGATGCGAACATTCACAGCACGGTACCTGCAGAGGGCGCAGCTACACTTCCGTTCTTTGTATCTCACCAATTCTACCCGACTGAAATTAGTCGAGAATACTAAAAATGGCCTGTCTTTTCTTGAATTCTCCTTAGTGCCGACTCGCACTCGCTTGATACATATTTAGACAGCAGGGTTTCTGCCGCAGCGTTAGATACTTTTGTGAGCAGCTAGCTGAGAGTGCTTAAAGTGCAAAGAAGGTGTGCTACCACGCATCCTGGCATGTGTGTCTGCTCTCATACCGGAACTCTGGGAGGCGCGGGCAGGGGGAAGAGGAAGCCCTCGAGTAAAACCACTCTATCACCCTCTACCAAGTTTGCTTTCAGTCTAAGGTTCAGTGTCTCCCTAAGGAGGCGTTAAAGAAAAGGTTTCAGATCAGAAATGGCTTGATTCAGACGGTTTCCGCTATCTCACTGGCCGCGGATGCAGTAGAATGTCAAGTTTTCCTAAAACAGTGTCCTATTTTTCAACCAAATCATGTGGGAATTCACTTGTTTGGTTTTTGTCGGCAGGAGCCTGAAGAAAATAACCCTGTGCAGAAGAAAGTTGGTGGCCTCACTCCCCGCTTCTCTCATGGCTCAGGAGCATCCCCTCCCACTGGTGCCACAGCAGTGTTATCACGGATGGGGAAATGAAGTTCGCTTCTGCTTCCTGGTGCCATAGTGACCTGCCTACACATTGAGCATAATCTGACCCCTGCGACGCACTCTGAAGCCACAAGCTCCTTGGCGCATTCAAAAACATTTCATCGGCAAACTAATCCTGCTTTTCTACGAGCTGTGAAGCTCAAGGCCGACTTCTAAATATCCTTTTCCCCTAAACCATTGAGTCAGAAAAGGAAGAGTGGGGAAGGCTAGTTCATGCAATACAATCTAGGCCGTTAAGTTGTGAAATAACCACAATAAAGGCTATGCACACAACCGCTTGCGTCTTGCCGTATCCGTATTCCAGTGTAGCCTTTTTCGGCCTATCCACTCACAAAATACTAGAGCATTGGTGCTGTTCGCTGCATGAGATACCAGACAGCGAAAGTCCTTGTGCAGCTTTGTGGGTCCATGCGTTTGGGGCTAAATGGCCGAGCGTGATGGCTTTATTTAATCTCTTTCTCTCTTATGTCGTGGACCCCAGACACGTGCATACTGTTTCACATTTGTAGAGTGATATGTCTGAGCTCGAAGAGAAAACGTGGCCTCGGCAGACTCAAGGCTGCTAGAGGGTGGAGCGTTTCTTCTTCAGACCTCATGATGGCAGTGTACTCGCCACTTCTGCACAAGCTCAGCTGTTCGATCTACAGGATTCGGCAGGAGTTAAGTATCAGGGGATGGGTTTAAAAGGCAGCAGCTCTACATTCAGGGTGCTCGCCTTCGTCGCGCTTTTCGGCCTAAAGATTTGTGGCCAGTGCGGCCTTCTTGTGCCCCCGAGACAAAACCATACACACAAGTAATGTTCTAACTCTAAACTATATATCGGCAAAAGACGACACCATTAAAGCCTATTTGAGCGTGCTGCAATTGTAATCGGCAAGCCATGAAAGGGATCAGCATGACAATCCTGCTGAGGATACCGGCACTGAAAAAGTTGCAATTGCAGGCGGTCAAAGCACGCGGTTTTAACCGGCAGTGCGAATTAGCACCCTCAAGGAACAGCATAAAAATTAGCCTGTTGCTACGGCTGGCAGTAAAGCTATTTTGCCTCTAACAACAAGTCTATGGTACCCCTGTGGTGGCACAGTGCATCACGCCTCTACATGCTCCCAAAGGCCCGCCGCTGTTGTCTCTGCCGCTTCAACTGCTCCAACCGTATGCGGGTAAGACGCCTCTCGTCCTCTTCACAAAACTGCAGTACAGCCGCAGCGTCAATTAAACAGAAACTACCAAGCGTTACACTATACAAGAGGCATATGTGATATGGTTTACGGGCTGATGGGCTACGGCGTGTGGGCAGCCATTGTTGCCAAACTTTTTCCTCCTTCTTGTGTTAATGTGCTGCTGCCAGCCTCACCAGCAATCGCGTCTGGAGTCCCAGGATCTTGAGTGAATCCGAGATATCTGCACGGCCATATTTCCAACAATTAGGCCCACAGCTTTCAAACCCTCATGCCTACGCGGTAAATCGATCATCGAAGGGAGCTAGGGAGTGGGATCTGAATACCAGGTGGCTGCTGCGCACCTGCTCGTGTGTTTTGCCTGAACGACCGACAGCACAGCAAAGCACCTTCAGGCAGCCTCAATCATCAAGGAGAGTCCTAGCCATAGGCGCGGGCAGACATGAGAGGCAATCGTAGTTGCAGCTCACCAATCGGACGCGGAGAAGGTGTAGGAAAGGTTGAGAAAGGATCCCCAGCGGGGGTCTCCTTCGATTCGTCTCTTATATTCCGTGTAGAGCCAGCCCGCGGCGATACCTCCCAAGTGGCCCGGCCACGAAACGCCTCGCAGCAACATTGATATTCGCCCTCTCCCCACGCGCGAAATCAAGTAGCAGACGGCATTCACCAGAAGGTTCAGCTGGGATAGCTGCAGCGCCGTCAGCATTAGCCCTGATAATAACGACACCACCTGTCACAAAACTGCACCAGATGCGCAACCGCGGGCATATTGAGAAACGTACCCAGAAACAGGGAAGGCAGGCACGGAGGAAGTGGGGAGATGAATAGATTCAGAAGAGAGGAAGCAATAAGGTCGCGTTATCACCGCGTCCCTTGCGTCTGGATGAGACAACACGCCTTCAGTTGACGCAAAAGAGACAGCAGTAAAACCACTCACGGCAGCACTAGCAACAGCAGCAGACCTGGCAATGGAAGGATGGTCATGAAGGTGTCTCTGCTGCGGCAAACGCCTTCTACCCAGAGGAGACAGCAAGCAAGGCTGGAGGCTCCTAGAACGGGGAGGGGGCTGGAGATGACGTGCGTAGACACCCCAAGCAAGGATGATAAAAGCAGCAGCCCCCACACATCGCGCCCGCTCAATACAGACTCTAGCTGCTGCAATAGCAGCTGCAGTAGAAGGCAGTTCATCAGCAAGTGAGCCAAGCCCGCGTGACTCAGACCTGCGCCGCAGCAGCCTCTGCAACAATATCAGTAGCCCAAGCATCGAACCACCACACCTTAATAAGGCTGTACGCAGGAACCATTGGGGGGGAAAGGAAGGGGAATATATACAGGCCAAGGAACCAGGTTGTGGGGTTGCCATGCTTGATAAGAAGCAAGAAAAAAAAGTCCATTCATCTGAGATGTGTTCAGGCTGTTTGCTGCTAATGCTGTTTACGCTGCTTACTGGCAGTGAAGATCGTGTGGAGTCTGCCAGCCAGCAGGGCCTCACGGGAGGCCGCAAAATGATTCATCAACAGCCGCATCAGGTGGCTGCCCCACAGGCTGCTGCTGTTTGAGGCTGCCGCAGCAACACGCCACAAAAGAAAGATCCCCCCGCAGGAGTACAACAGCAGCTTAGACGCTTCGGCAGAACTGCTCCCCACACTCGGCCGTACGCACCCACTGTCTTGCAGCTGATGGCGCTGATGCCACTGCTGCCGCACACTCATAGGTTCCGGTTGAGGCTTCAAGGGAGAAAATTCCACCAACGGGGTCCCCAGTGGGCCCCACACCCACCAAGGATCGTCTCTGGGGAATCCCAGCGCGATGCTGCCGTTCACATGACCACTTTCTTTGATGCTGCTTCTGCTACCGAGAGACGCCCACTCTGGCCAAAGCCAGGCAAAGCCGCCTCTCTCCGCAGCAGCAGCAGCTGCCGCAGCAGCAGCTGCTGCCGCTTCTGCTTCTACCCTGCGCTGGCGTTCTACAAGCCACAAGACGGCAGCCGTGCCGCTAGCTGCACACAGAAATGCTCTTAAGGACCAACCGGCACCTCCGCCGCCTCTGCCTTCTGCAGATGAAGCAGTCTGCTCTTGCTGCTTCCGTTGCTGCACGAGACGCTGCCTGTGCTGCGAGGCAGAAGGAAAGGGCGGCCTCAGAGAGGTCTGCCAGTGAGGCGCTACAGCCAAATTCCTACAGCCGCTGCTGCCGGGAAGCCAGATCTGCTTTGGGGTCTCCCAAGGAGGCCTCTTAACAAGTGCCCTGGGGTAGACGCTTCTGGCTTCGAATCGAAGGGCACCTGCATGCGATCTTGGAGAGGGCCCCTGGGGGCCCCCTTGAGATAGATGCGCCCTGCCTGGCTTTCCATGATGATGCGCGACGAACAGTGAGGAGCCGGCAGGCATTGCGAAATGAGGCCTTTGAGGACCTTTGCCCATCGACAGGGAGAGGAAGGAGGATGGATCCGGTGGGTGTTCGTGCAGCCGTAAAGGCCCTGCAGCCACAGTAAATCCACGCCTAACGCCACCACGTGGAGCCCACAACTGAGTACCCCCAGTATGACCAACAAGCGCTGTGGGTGCTGCTGCCTTTTGCCGCGTCGCGACGAGCATCGCTACTGCTGTTGCCGCTGCTGGAATCGGCGTTACGCGCTCTATAAAACTGAAGGGGACACCGAGAATCTTGGTCTCCCCTGGGGCCAAGAGGGCCCCCGGGTGCTGAAAAGGACGCCACATGGTGAGCGTCCACTTTATTTTCTCATTTCCATTGGGTTTGCCCGATGGATGAGGCAACCTCGAGTGGTTTGCTCGGGGTACAGTCACCGCGAGGGCCCATTACCCCAGGACGAACCAGCAAAGCGGCGAGTTGCAGTCTCTACGTCTTCCACAGCAACTAAGTGACAAAAAATATTGGAAAGGGTGTTCTCTTGAACGTTAGTTAAGCCACACTGGCAATGATTGCAGCGGGGCTATTTCACGGACCCCAAAAGCCCACAACTGGGAGGCGTAGGTCTGGGGTGACCTATCCATACGGTGCAAGGGAATTAATTTGCCTGCGTGTTACTCTTGTGGCATGTTAATTCGTTCACATGGCTTGCGTCATTAACCCATAGGGGCGTAACATAATGGCCATCGTCACTCGAAGAGCTGGCCGTGGTGGAAGGGACCAAACAGTTAGGGTGTCGGCGCTTTGAACTCCAATTGTATATTGAGGAGGAAGGCATTGCTGCACCTGAAATCGCTACTTCATCAGGCCGCTATTTGAAGTTAATCGATGAGGGAAGCGGGGGTCCTTTCCAGCAGCATGGCTGTTCTTCTCTGCGCGCCCTTGAGAATGCAGAGTAAAACTGAACTGGAAGGGGGAAATCAGTAGGAAACAATGAGTAAATAAGGCTCGCATGCTGGTCATGCGGTGCTGCTCTTGGCGTTTTTGTACTTTGTCTCCACCGACCTTTGCCTCCATACTTCTCTCCGCATGGCTCCCTTTGTGTGCACTCCCACTCTAGCGGGTAAAGCTATGCTTCAACACTTTTTAATATACTAGAAATATTTTTGGATGCGGAATCAGCAAATACATTGAATCGTTGGCTTGTCTGTTGGTTTGGTTTTTTCTTGAAGATTAGCGTCAGCTCAATACAACATGCCGCAATGATGAGTGCATGCGCACTAGGTGCTGTATACAATTAGTTGGGCTGCTTGTAGTGCTTAGAGGGTGCAGCAACATGGACCTTAGCTGTCCTCATTCCCTCATGTCAGAAGCCTCAAGGGCACGTGCAGGGGAAGGAGGGAATACATCTGCGACACACTGCATGTCTATCTACTAAAATTGTATCAATTCTGAAGCTAAGTATCTCCCAATGGATACCTGAGATACAATGTTGCACCTCGTAGCACTGCATGGTTTGATGCAGCTGTTCCCCGCCGACCGCGGATGCAGTGAGATGTTAGCTTTCCCTCCAACAGTTCCCTAGTTTCCATCAAATCATTTGATAACTAAATTATCTGACTTATTTGTGCAACAGTCTGGAGGGAATGTTCTCTTCAGATGGAAGTTGATGGCGCAGCGCCTAATCGGGTGGCAGAGCCCGGGTTGCATTCTAACATGAGCGTAGCAGCTCCACAGCTCATAGAAAAGCATCATTATTTAGCCGCTTAAATGTGTGTGAATGTGTCTATGAGTTTATGGCAGTCAAAAAGGTGTGCTGGTTGAAAGGGTGGTCGGCTACTCAAAGATTTTATGCGCCGGCGGCGAGATACCTCTCTTTGCAGCCACAGGTAAAGAGAAACAAGTGCTCTTTGCGACATTTCCGCAAAAGGACGCCCTTCAGTATTGGCTTTATTGATATGAGGCATTCTTTTGCCTGCATTGTTTAATACCATTTGAGTCTTCATACAAGTCCTGACTCATCGGTCTTTGCCGAGATCTGCTCAACAACAAGTTTCGGGAAATTTGAGAAAGCATAAGCACGGGAAAATACCAGTACATGATGCTGAGAAGTAAAACACTTCGGTTTGCAAAAGCTACGATGTACATAAACCGCTGCTATATCGAATATTTTCGTCGGGTGTAGCCCAAATTTCATATCAGTTGGTCGCAGGCTTGGCAGCCATCCAACGATTAACAGCGGACCAGTGAGGCTTCCACAAATGCTGGACTACTCGAGGTTTCAGGAACAATTCAGCACAAATTATGCTTCTCTGGCTGAGGAGAAAGAAGGCAATGAGGATTTAGAACTGATCGATGTTGGCGCTCTGAGAGCCGGCCAGCCTTAGGGAACCCGTGCTCCTAAGCAGCATCATAGAGCTCCCCAACAATGCAGCCAATTCTAATGTGTAAAGGCAAGTCATATGATTTGGAGCTGAAAGAGGCATGCAAAAGACCAATTAAGTTGAACAATTGGACACGGACGTACGCTACTTGATGAGCAAAGGTGCATTAGGGAAAGAGCAGGCCTCTAACGCAGGCCGCGGCACAGTAAAGGGGGCCACAGAGGACAGAGCCTTAGTTGAACACCATCAACGAATCACCTTTGTGCTGGTACAAGCTCACATGCTCACACATCGGTTGCGCTACTTGCCACTGGATGTGAAGTGGATATTCTTTCTAATGGTATGATCCAGAAATGCAGGCCGCTATTCACGCGGTGGAGCAGTGCCGAAGATTCAGGCTTGTTGTCAGGTGACACAACAAGGAGATTGAAAAGGCTATGGTAACTAAAATGGCGCTTTTCATCGAAGTTTTATGGTATTAGCACGGATCAAAACCTGTGTGTAGGGCCCGTGCACCATGACGCAGTACTAGATGTGCCAGGGGTGATCCAGAAGGAAGCTCCCATGGGACCACGGGTGCGTGCTGGGGCATTTCTTGTGCCTAGAGACGTTTGCGAAAAGCGCTTCTTGGTCTGTTCAGCAACGCCTATTTTATGTATGCCGTAGGGTGTAGAGTCGATGGCTCAGCAAGGTGAGGCCAGGCCGTCGTGTGAGCAGATCAACAGAGCAGTACGAGAAGACGGTTTTCAGCAGTTATTCCTCCCAGCTGGTTCTACTAAAGATCTAGTACTAGCAAACTCAATTGCCTATCCAGCCTACGAAACGCAGGAATGAGCAGCTACCAAGCAACACTTCGCAGATGTGCTAAAATGTGACTTGCCAACAGGCTGGCCTCCTGGTGATCGTCCAGCGCACCGTGAGAAGCAGACCCCCATATCAGCACCAAATTATGCTCCACTGTATTATGAGCTGCCACAACATAACAAGGCTACTTAGCTGCAAGCGGAAGGTCTGTTGAAAACGGGCACAGTTCAGGTTGACCAGCGCCTGTGAGCAGAACCCAGTGTTGGCGACAGATGGCACAGCTTCGTTAATATTCAAGCTCTGAAAAAATTGCAACGAAACAGAAGTTTACGATGCCTCATATAGGCATATTACTTGACAAACCGTCGGAATCTACAATATACTCCACATTCGAAGTACACCAACGCCTCCTTACAACCATCCGTTCACCCGGATGGCAGACGCACAAGAGAGCTTCACAATCGCACTCGCAAACAAAAGCATACCTATGTGGCGTTTGGGCTTGTTAATACCCCAGCTGAACTGTAGCATTAAGTATATTGGGGTTGTTGTGAGTCATTCAAGAAGACTGGATGACTGTTTATATTGTCAGCGACTCCGTATTCAGCCAAACCTTCCAGGCACACTAAAAGCACGTTCTGCTTGTGCTTCAGCCAGTGCGGGGCAATCAGCGGTATGTAAAGGCATAAAAGGATTCGTTACCCTTCAAGACGCTTGTGTTTCTAGAATTCTATGTTTGGGTTGCCAGAGATAAAGCATATCCGGCAACGATTAAAGCAATCAGGGCCTGGTCTCTATCTTTACGCACTTCCAAAGACTTTGAGAACTTCTATGGGCTGGCATCCAATTACCTGGCATCCATTCCTGGGTTTACACGGAACGCTGCTTTTTTGCCTGCTTTACATTCTAAAACGCAGTCTGTGATCTGGACCTATGAGGCAGGTGCCGCGCCGAGGACAGTTGTCATCCGCCTTCCAACTACTCGTTATTAGCGTTGCCAGATTATGAGCCCCATTTCGTATCGACAGCCAATGCCGGTGACATCAGTGGGTGCAACTGTCTCTCCACAGGCTACAGGCTCTCCATGGCACTTACTTATTGCTTGTTATTCTATCGCTCTGCCGACGCCGAGCAGCGGAATCCAGTGCAGGAAAGTGAACGCTGTGATGGGAGGGGCGTAAAAAATGCCAGCACTATTTATATGGGCATTTTTTAAGCGTCCGGAAGTGCCATAAGCTTTAAGTCACCTTAGGAAAAGTGTACAGACTATTGATAATCCTAGATGTGTTTGCTGGAGTGGGTGCATCCTCCTTCATAACATTACAGTACAGTACATGAAGGGCATCATCAGCGTAGCCATAGACGCGCGCTCGCAACATCCTAATGATTTACTGCTGTGCAGCACAGCCGCTGCTGCTCGTGATAATTTAAAGTTTTATTCAAATCGCTTGGATCCTATGCCTTCGAAATCCATGCATCCGCTATCTGGGCGAAACAGAAATGGTGGCAACATGGCGCACTACCATGCTGAGGATGGCATGCTACGGTATAAAAGCGTAAGCTCTGCCACTTGTACAATGAGGCTGCTTTTCTAAATGTCGCTTTGCTCAAAGCGCAGATATATTGTTCCTTATGACCAAGGTGGGAATCACATCATGTTGGAGAATGTCCTACAGATTTTTGGTGGCCTGGGTTGCGTCCCCCTGGCTGCGGGGCGCACTTCCACGCCCAGCTTATCAGAAACCACAGCCGCCCAACAGTTGTCAACCAGACAATTTGCAAATTCTCTTGGTTCGTGAAAGGATTTGAACTTGTCTGACTACGAACTATAGTGCTGACCTTTTGGAGGTGAAGGGGTAAGATCGCATCTATTTCGTTGTCGACATGTTAACAAATATACCCATTTCATCTCTTACCCCATATGTCTTACTGCCAGAAAGTCTCAGAATTGAAACACATGTCTGGAAGTCCCGCAGATCACAGATTCTCTGATAGTTTCATTGCAAAGAGAGAAAAGGATTTCTAAGCATTCTCTTCCGATAAAAGGTCCACTTCACAACCAGTGGCAACTGGCGCCAACGATCCTTGGCCTATAACATGAGCGGCTATGAGCACAAAATTGACAGGGGCGACTTCTTCACTGTGCTGCAACTTGCGTTGGAAGCCTGCTCTTTCCCTAGTGCGCCTTCTTTGCTCATCTAGTAGCACACTTCCGCTGATCCTTGTCCACTTGTTCAAGTTAATTGGTCGTTTGCATGCCTTCGCAGCTCCAAATCATATGACATGATTTCCCGCAGTAGAACTCGCTGCACTGCTGGGGAGCTCTCCAGGGGTGCTTAGGAGCACGGATTCTGTGTAGCTTTTGTTTCGTCCACCTTGGGACGTACGGCAAGGCCGGCTTTCATAGCCCCAACGTCGATCGGTTCTGAATCCTGACTGCATTTTTCCTTTTTAGCCGAAGACGCATAATTCGTGTTGAATTCCTCCCAAAGTTTCGAGTAGTCCAGCATTTATGAAAGCCTCACTGGTCGTCTGCTTAATCGCCTTTTGGTTATTTTACTCTGCGAGCAATTTAAACTTTTGGGCTTGATTTAAACCTCTGATAAGGGAGCAGTTCGTCTACATTGGGGCTTGCAACCAAAGTTTTATAGATCCGCGGGCTCTGGCTTTTTCATTTCCCTCAAAGCTTGCTCCTGAGCTGATCTTGGCAAAGGCCAATAAGTCAGGAGTTGTATGAAGACTTGAACCGAAGCAGAATATCCAGGCAGCCAAAAATGTTCGAGAGCCGTAAAACTACTATGGAGGTCTTCCTTTAGCAGATATGCAGTAAGTAGCACTCGCGTTTCTTTAGCTAAGAGCACACAGATAACTAGATGTCCAAACAGGCTAATCGATCCATTTTTTACGCGCTGTGGAGCCGCTGCCTTTACCTTAGTTTGCAAGCCGGACTCTGCCCCCCCAGCGGGCACTGCGCCACTAACTTCCATCTGCAAAGGATCTTTCTCCCAAATGTTGGCAAGGAAAATCAATTTGTTGAGTAATTAAATGACTCGAACCGAGAAAGCTGTTTTTGGGAAAGCTGACAGCCCAGTGCATGCACAATCAGTGGTTGTGTGAGGGGTAGCTGTGCTGCATCGCGCACTGCTACAAGCCTTAGCGCTTCAGCTACTGTCTCCGTAAGGAGACACTAGTGCCAGAATCGATAGGAACGATAGAAAGTCATGTTGTGTGTCCCAAATAAGCTCCCTTCTTCCCCTGCCTGCGCCTCGGGCTCTTGACACGAGGGGAGAAGGTCAGCTGGGCTGCGCGTTGATGTATGCTCCAGACACTACCCGCATGCCCCAGCCCAGTGCATATAGTATCTAGAGCTCATGCACACAACATTAGGTCTTGAGCATCAGGATCACGCTGCAGCAAGTAACATGTACCGAAAAACATACCAAGCAATTAGTTCTTTTCTACTTCTTAGAATTATTCAGTTAAGGTTGCTAAAAGCGCTTTACTGTAGCACAATCAACTACACTTCCTTGACACGTTTGCTCTGTTCCCATCGGCTTTTGCTTCTGACTCTGCCTCTTTCCCCTTTGCTAGAGAGACGTCAATTTGGTCTACACTGTTTCGGCGCTAACCTTCATGCGCATAACCCTAGATGACTGCTAGTACAACAAATGCAGCAGCAACATTTGACACCAGAGCGCGTGGAATTGCCGCATGGGCGGCAGAGCTGCGCCTTGCACTTTTTACCCCCTGGACTCAACCAAGAAGTGGTCATGAAGTAATTATTTGGATTGCTGCTCGTTCATCTTTTTTATTGCAGACTAGCGCGTGTTCAATACCAAACGAATCAATGTTCTGTGCGCTAGATGATGTGTGCCACTAGCCGTGAAGGCTCGGTGTGCTAAGACGGTACATCAGCGAGATCCCTATCTATCCCTTTCCCCTCATCTGTGAACCCTGGAAAGCGCCGCCAGGAAAAGGTCGCAGCTTTTATGGAAGGGCATTCAATAACTTTCCACTATGCTTGTACTGAAATCGGAGCCAAGTCACCCCCTTCGGGGCCTGTAGGTAGAGTGTTACGAGTCGTTACTCTCACTACCTACATCTGCTAGTACACCTTTGAGCAAAGATCCAGACACGTAGCGTCATTTTACGTCCATGAATGCCGCTGCCAGAGATAGGTTGGTCATTTATCTTTCTTGCGCCCACGAACCCGTCCGCAGTCTACTTGTATCTGGTCGAGCAACATATATGCACTTTCTACAGAACTAGTACGTTTTCACCGAAAAATCGGTAAATAACTGACTCGCTGATTTGGCAGTTCTTATCATGCGTTGCAATGAAGGATCAACTCAATACTAGGATGGGGGAAAGCTGTGCGCCCACACCCTAGGTTGGAATGCTCGACCGGGTGCCAACCCTCAGAGTGCTCGGAGAGTGGCAACATGCTGGCTAACTGACTTTTTTCTTTCAAGCAGGAACTTAATGGGGTGTTGAGTACAAGAAGGAGGGCTCTTTGAAGTTAACAAACCCTTCGCCATAAACATTTGATATGGATTTGGGGCTAAAGGCTTTCATACGGAGACCGTAGAAAGGGGCTCTACGCCATCCAAAGGAATCACACAGTATTCCAGACACTACGGTCTGTTGAGCTTGCCAAATTTACCTTCTTCTTGACGAGGTACCCCTGCCCTCGCAATAAGTCCGGATGATACAATTTGGCTTCATGACATACTGATATCGTACTGAGTCGCTAGTAGTATTATACCTTGTGACCGCCTTAGGCAGCGATTCGCTTAGCGCTATAGTTCCCTGCAGTAGAGTCTAGCTTGGCGTGCTTCTCCATATCCTGAGGTTTGCTGACTTGTCATCGCAAGCCCGGCAGCAGCAGCATCAACAGCCGCAGAAGCGGAAACAAATTACAGCGCCAAAAGACTGCCAGGTAGGCCTTAGCTATTCTGGGGGTCGCAAGAGGAAAACCGCTCGCGAGCAATTCCCATGTCTTTTATTGAGGGTTGTGCTCCTCATGTGCAGGTACCCTTAGGTGGGCCTGCAGTACTCGGCAATGGGCCTTGCGTTTTTTACAAATATCGCAATAGAATTCAAGTCTAAATAAAGAACGACGATGGTTTCACTCGTCATCTCGCGTGAGAGATAGGTATTTTAGCCAGGGAGCCCTCCTGAAGAAAGGCACCCACTCGACCCACTGCGACTCACACTCGCTTCTGCCTTAGTTGACTCAAATGCTGTCAAACACTAGCAAGAGGTAATTAAACCACCTGGAACGGATTACACAGTTTTAAGGGTGCAGGTATCATAGGCGATATCCCGCATCTACGACTTCAGGGCCCCCCTGTTGAAGTCCCCTCCGTCAGCTATAGACTGTGAAAAGCAGCGTCTCAAACAAAGCGCTGGGGGCCCTCCTAAGGGCCCCCTTCAATTTCCTTTTCCCATATGATATATCTCGTCTATATGCGACCATGGATGCAAGAATTTGATGTTTGGGATGACGGCTCCATGCCTGTGATGTCTGGCCGTCATAGGTCTTTCCCCCCAAGCCCCCTGTATCCCAGCCCTACTCCCGGCCACTCGTAGAGGCAATCTTCAGCCGTTGGCTCCGTTGATATGCCACGATATTTGCCTTGTTGGACTGTTGTCTGACACTTTAGCTAGAAACTTGGGTACGAGGGGTTGTGGACCCGCAGCAAGCCGCCGCGGGGAGCAAGGGCAAATGAGCAAGTGGCCTGACCAGTGGTGCAGCGACAAGTTGAGGCAACGAAAGCATCGGCAGCATCTAGAGGGGTTTCTAAACGGGTTTCAAAGTTACTTTCCATTCTCCTTTGAAACATTATGCAAACCACTTTAAATTGCTGTCTTCCTTCATGCACAGCATTCCGATGCAGTCTGCCTCCTTGCCTCTACATCCAGCCTCACAGCACTTCGTGCGGGGGAGGCCGAACGGTAATTGGGTTTATTTGGCGTATACCGGAAATTCCTTTCTACACGCACTTTGCTCCGCGGTACTGCGCTTACTGTGGAGGCTTCGAGACACAGGAAGGCTTGCATGCAAAGTGCAGGAGGCATCTACTGAGGTACTCTCCTGCCAGACCGCACACGATTCCCCTGCAGTTTCCGGCCACCCATGCATTGGAAACACAACATTCCTTTTCCCTACTTCCTTTTCAGATATGCCAAGAGGCTAGATGCTGACGCGACAAGAATGCAGGATGCTGTGCGTTGATTGTACAGGTGACCTCAGAGGGGGAATAAAGACATAACCTGTCTCTTTTCTCTAGTGGTGGCGAAGAAAGACTTGGCGCGCCACAGACAGTAAAAGGCTGACGCTGCGCCGCTCTTGGCCTGCCTGAGTGTCTGGCCTGAGGCTGTTGAAAAGATTCTGACTGCTTTCTACACTTCAGAGGGCGCACTACAGACAACGGGGGTACCCATCCCCAGGACCACTTTCGGCCCTTGGTGAATCCATAGCAAGAAGAGGATTCGCTTCCGCTCAAGTGCTTCTTCCAGCGGTTATTGTGCTTTGCACTATCACCGCAGTGCAGAAGTGGGTCGTTACGTATTTGTTGTCGTGTAACGCCCAAGTGAGATTCAGGAGAATGTTCAGAAGGCGTTCTTCCTCAGACCTCAAGCTGGTGCCTCTCGGGGACAGGGGAGACATCAGAGGGTCTTTCGATCCCGTTCTGGCGTACACTTTGGCCGGGGGGCTGCAAACAGAAGATTCAGACGGATCTTTCTCACAACTGCAATCTCAGGTATCTTCGGGAAGGGAAGACTCAGGGAACTTTGCGCAACGACAGACCCAGCAGCAGCAGGACGCGTTTACCGCCTTACTGCAGCAGGAGGATCAGCCCATCAGGAGATGCTCCAGCAGCTCGCAGTTGCTGCACAAACTACAGCAGCAGCTACAGCAGCACCAGCAACAACAGCAGCACCAGCAACAACAGCAGCAGCCAGGAAACCAGCAGCAAGTGCAAAATTTCTTTTATGGACAGCTTCGTCGTCGACCTAGCAGCAGTGACTCAAATGATACTGCGGCGTATGTGGCCGCTTGTGGCCAGGACACCACAATTTGCGGAGTTAGGAATGATGCAGAAATGGTACCAGGAGCAACAGCAGCACCAGGACCATTCGGCATGAGAGGGTTGGTAGACCCAGTCCTGAAGACAAGTGTAAGTGTTGCTTCTGCTGGCATGTCTTTAAAGGCTGTATCATGCGCATGTGAAATCTACGCGTGCTTTCTTGCAAGACAAAGGTCCACCTCGCTCAGACTGCCGTGCATGCCTAAGTCCTTATGAAGCTTCACGGATTGGCGCCCTTTGCCTTTGCGGATCACCTTTAAGCGGGCGTGATTCTTGTTGCTTAGAAAATGTGGTTCATGGGTGCTGTGTCTGTGTGCTGCAGGGTAGGTACAACGACGAGATATTGCTGAGATGCCGTGGCTCCCTTGAAAGCGGCGGGACAGATTCAGATGCACTGAGCTCTTGCGCCCAGCAGCACCCCATCCTCGGCACCACTTGCGGCTTCAACGCCAGTGGCATCATCTCCTCTGAAGAGGGATCGACCCTGCTGTCTCGTCGGTCAGTGTTACAGGAGCAGCACCAACAGGAGCACAATCAGCTACAACAGCCTGGCAGGCCGCAATTGTCAGAACGAAACACCGAGATGCAGCAGCGGATTCGATCTAACCTAGTTCACCAAAGCATCAATAATCAACAGGATATATCCCTGCTGCCAGCTGTCATGCCGGGGCCCCGTCTGATGCAACGGCAGGGGGAGCAGCAGCATGCAGGGCAACAGCAGCAGCTCCTGTCTTGGGCGACAACGGGACTTGCATATGACCAGTGGTACACGGCCTTACACCCCCAGGCGCAGCAGCAGCAGCAGGCGCAGCAGCAGCAGCCCCAAGATTGGCTGTTTCAAAACTCCGCGCTGGTGCAGCAGAGGCCGCTGAGATTATACCATTCGCCTCCATTAAACGAACTGCAGCACGTGGATGAAGACGCACGTAAGCTGACGAATGATCCATTGCAGCATCCTCGCACACCTGGACTGCATACAAGTGTGCAGCAGCAAGTGTTGGAGCAGGAAGAGCATGGCCTGCAGCAATACCGCCAGCAAAACTTGCAGGAAAATCAGCATCACCATCAGCTGCAGCAGCAACATGAGCCAGAACAGCTGCACCCTCTACAGCAGCACCTTCTTCCACAAAACCACTTGGAGAGGCCGCAGATGCCCGAGAGAACGGGCACATTTGAGGGTGCGCAGGCTGCAATGGCGCATGGAACACCGCAGCAGCAGCAGCATCTGTTGTTGCTGCAGCAGCAGCAACTGCTGCTGCTGCAGCAACAGCAGCAACTGTGGTCTGCTGTGCCAACGAATGAGGAGCTCTCTCGTTTTGGTATACTACAGTTGCATCTGCAGGAGCAGCAGCTGCTGTCTCCTACACTGCCGCCTTACCAGACGATGCGAGAGCATCTGCTGGGCCCGATGGGGTGCGATGATTCGCAACAGATGCCGCAGCAGCATCCCCGTCAGCAGGGCACAGATGACTCCTTCTCGTCGCCTTCGCAGGTGATACAGCCGCCAGATCAGTATCATCAACAACAGCAGAGGCAGTCCTCCCCGGCACCGGCCCTAAAGTTACCTCGGCCTTGCAAAGACGCCGCTAAACATAGGGGTCGAAGCCTCAGAGCTGGTGGCTTCAGGAGTGCGCCGGGCCCGAAGGAGATTTCCACTGCAGGTTGGTGGTAGTGGAACTAGTTCGATGAAGAGCAGTCTGCTGTACCTGCAGCTAAAAGGGGCGATTAGGGTGGCGGCGCGTGCGCCTGCAGTTAGATGGTATCCGTCGATGTGCTCTGGATCGTTTTAGCAGTCGCTGCTTGTGGAGAGTACTGAGGCTCTTCTATTGATCTGCCGCCGTTGCCATTGCTGGTGCTTGCGTTGGTGTGGGACTGCTCAGACGGGGCAGCGACAGAACGCAGGGGAGAAGACGAGTGGCTGCCTGGTGCTCCATGCTGGCCAGAGCGTCAAAGCAGATTGAACGAGTCACCTGCCCCTCAGGCAAGCGGCTTCGTGGAGGCCTGCACAGAGAGCAAGGGATTGGAGGGGGAGCCCGTATTGTTACCGTCCGGTGGGAAGCCATCCGCGACTTACTCGGCCCCCTCTTCCCCTGCCATGCCACCCGCAGGGAAGGCTCTGCCTCATTTGTCTTCGAAGCAGGAGCAGCAAGCGTCCATCGGCTCAGGAAGTGGCAACGATAAGAGCCAGAAGTGTGCAGCGCGTGCTTCGTCAGGCCCAGTGCTGAGGCAAGTGCCGGAGTTGACTCGAGGGGCTAAATGCGTCAGGGGTGCCCCCCGTGCAACAGTGCAGCAGCTGTATGGCCAGACATATGATCTCGAAGCCCTCGCCTTGCAGCTGGATCAAACTCATATAGACGACATAGACCCTGGCGACTTCGACAGGAGTTATCATCAAGGCAAACGATTTGCTGTGGGGGACCTTGGCAGGAAACTCCTTCTAATTGTCGTTCGAGAAAAACTCGAGGTGCGCTAATGTTCTAGGGATATATACGGCTTATCACACATATATGAGCAGGGGCGTGAGTTTTCGGGTGTATTTTAGTCCTTCGCCCTGAATCTGAAATTCCTCCACAATTTTGGACAGGAATTTGAGACGCTCTCTCATATTTGTAACCCAGTGTGCTGATACTACGAAAGTCGACTTTCTTTTACGTATGCTGGCGTCTATGAGTGCGATAATCTAGCTGCACCCATACTGTTGTACGTAAAAAGATTTTATGCACATATATATATATATATATGTACATACACCATACAGCCGCGGTCGTCTTCTCCTCATTCACCGCAGGTGCACACATCCGTTTTACAGTCATCTGAAGCCTCATCTTTCCCAGAAGTGCATTAGCCTGTATGCGATTGCGTTCTCGAATGCGTGTCAATGGTGTTGACGGGAGAAGGGGGTTTTCTGTATTCTGTGCTTTTGCCTCAGGCTGGAGCATGCGGCCAGCTCAAGTTTTTAACTCTTACTGACCTGTTTCGCCTCGCTCACGAATTAGGCCTCTGGGAGTTCGCTCTGAAGGTGGCTATGGCCTACAAGGCGGGTTCCCTCCGCATTCCAAAGGGGGCGCCTAGTAGCCTTAGTCCAGCTATTCCCGTGCTCCATGGAGAAAGCTTCTGTCAAAGCCCCACTAGCAGCAATAGCTCGAGCTCCAGCAGCAGTAAGAGCGGTGCTGGTGCCAACCAAAACGAGGACCGCGAAGCTGACATTGAGGCTCCTCGGGGCAGCAAGCGGCGCCTGCAGCCTTTGGCCTTAGAAAGTGACAGCAGTAGCAGCAATAGAAGGTCACGATCCCAGCAGTCACGGGAGCTGGAAGAGTCTCTCTTCACCGAGGGGAGTAGCAATTCTCTCCTCAGGAACCTAATAGGCCCGCAGGAGGAAAAGCAAGCCGCCGACAAGATGGTACAGGGCAGGCTGCTACGAAATCTGTCCCGTTCTCCCGGCTCAAGAGGGCCAAATTCTACTCGAAAGCTGCAGAACGGATTTGCAGGTACCCCTCTTTGAGCTGTGCAAATGGGGTCAGATATGTGGTGCTGCTTGAACAACTGTGGCAGCACCTGCAGCAGCATCGCTGGTGTGCACTACTCGGATGTACATTGCCAGGTGCCTCTATCATTCGTGGAGGGATGACTTGGATGCAACAGCAGGGTGAACGAGCAAGAGTCTGTCTGTGGTTCTGTGTGCTTTTATTCGGGGATTCCATCCTTGCCCAGAGGAGCCACGCAGAGAATCCAGTGACTCCCTTTTTTATCCTCTACCCGCGAATACCCTTTCGGGCAGCGATGTCATGATGCGTCATGGTAGTCTGTTTTCCTTGTGTGCCTCTAAGTATTTTCGGTCCTGTTCATTCACCGCTGTATCCACGACTGGAGATCTTCAGGTACTTAGAGTCTATTGCCGCATCGAATATACTACTCACTTGCGTGTATTTCTTGAAACTTCGCATTTCTCACTACCGCGGCTTGACGTTCGAATATTTGCTGAAATAAACGTTCATGCATGCGGTGAGGGCGTCCTGTAGCTTTCTCACGCCCACTTTGAATCCTTTCATCGGCATCGTGACACTCCCATACATGGGCTGCTGCCGCTTGTGCACAGCAGTGGCCTCTACAGATGTGAAAACTAGCTCAAGTAGCAGCATCAGAAGAGCGCTTGGTGATGATTTGTTGGCTGAATACGGAGAAGGCTGGATGGCTTTTCCAATGCCGACGTGTATGGGCAGCGCAGCCCAGGATGTTTGGTCCCAGTGCTTGTGGTGCTGCGTCTGTTGCTACGTACGTATAGCAGTAACTACAGCGTAACTTCCGCCTTGCCAAGGTGGCTATGATCAACAAGACAAATTTCTGCCCCTCGTGGGAGGCCTGTGGTGCCACAGTCTACAAACTTTCAACTTGCAGCCACCAGACGCGCTGCAGAAGCTGATAGCGATTCTGTTAACATTTGCGTAGGCCCTTTAACCATGGCCTGGAAAGAATCCGCAAAGAGCCTAAGTTTTACCAGTGCTTTTGAGGGGCACAAGCAGCCCTATACGTCATATGCTTTTCCATTTATTATAGGGTAAAAATACGGAGTGGTGAAACATTTGAAATGCCTTGCGTGTCTGGGCGCAGCAACTCACTCCTTGATACCAGACACTAGCAGTTGTTGCTAAAGGTTTACCGAGTTGTGGTAGTGTCTAATCTCTTGAGGAGAGGGTAATTCGCACTGTGGTAGTACACACAGCAACACTGGATATAACCACGCTGCTTACAGTGCTTGTGACCTGACAAGAGCTCTATAATGCACAGAAATATTTCTGTGCTTTATCCCCTATTGCACATCTTGTTGCCAGATCCCTTAGGATGCTCGTCCTGAAGTAACAAAGGCAGCAGCAGCTGGGGTGTACCAACAGCACAAAAACAGGGCATTAGCAGCAGCAGCAGTAGCAGCAGCAGTATGTCCGAGCAGCACAGTGGTAGCCGGATACTGGGGGCTGACCTTCCAGTCATCCCATTTCCTAGCCTCCATTTCCTTCTCTTCCTTCGCCTGCGCGACAGCCAACAAAAGCAGCCTTTTCAGCAAAAGGGTAGTGGGCACCGATGAAGTCATTTACACAGGGGCCGCACACGCAGTACAACTCAGCTACCGCTTGCATCCGCATGCACAAGGATCTGCGAGCTGTTTATAGTAAGTCACGTGATATAGGCAGCCTCACCGCTTGCCAAGCCTCCCCCGTCGGAAACTCCACGACTACCTTCGGTTTGGCAGCCCCTATTTTTTTCCTGAAGAGCAAAAAGCCTCACAACTGCCCTGTTAGCTGCCTTGCTGAGGCCTTGTCTAGCGCCTATATATATATATATATATATGTATGTCTGGAGCCAACGCGCTACACAGAAATCCGAATGGAAAACACCCCCTTTCTGCCACCCAGCCAGGCCAGATGGCAGAATGTGCGTAGAATCCAGTCGGCAGACTCACGTTTCCGTTTCCATCTCAATATCGGCACATTCTGCAAGACTCATTGTCGGAAGGTCTAAGGAGACATCGGAGCACAACGCAATCAACAGCGGCACACGCAGTCCTACGCATCCTGTGGGGAGCCGACGGCTTCTTCGAACAGTTTTGCTACGTTTTCTGGCTGAAAACGCGCAGCTAGCTGCATGCATGCGGCCACGGTGACACGCCCAGTACAGAAGCAGTAGGCAAGCGGCTTGAGTTCTAGCAGCAGCGACAGACGTAGCGGCAACAGCCGCGGGGGCGATGCAGCAGGAAGCAAGATAAAGCAGAAAAAAGGAGCCAATGGGGAAAGAGGCGGAGAGGTGGTGGTTTCTCCTGACTGTGTGCAGGCTGGAATGCACGGGAGCGCAAGAAGTTGCGGACGTCCTCTCGGCTGCGCTGAGGCAGAATCATTCGCAGAAGTATGCGTCTAAGAGCATAAGGGGAGACTACTGGGGGTATTGGGAAAGGTGTAGCGGCTGAAAAGCTGAGACAGCAGCACCTGCCTCGCTTTTCAGTGCTCGTGGACGGCTCCTGGGGTTTAGCAGCAAAGTAGGGAGCGAAAGGATCCCCGAGACGGGATACCCTGTACGGAAGAAAAAGACTTTAAGGGGCAGCGTCTTAAATTGAGCCGCCGAGAAGTGTAGGCTCAGCGATGAGGGGAAATAGAGCTTACAAAAGTTTGAATCCAGGGTTTTGTTCTCGTCTGGGTGGCCTCTGCTTCTTTAGGTGCTGGTGCTGCTGCCGCTGAAAGACACCGCAAACAAATACAGTTTCTTCTGTGAATGCGCCGAAAAGCCTTGAAGGCTTGCACCCTAAATCACGGGGTGCCAACCTCAAGTCGTGGAGCTTGAAGCTGGGAGCGACACTGCAAGGAGCTCACAGCAGCGCGAGGCAGCAGCCGTCCTGTCGTGTGAAAGCCGCATCATCAGCAAAGGCGTCTCCTGAAGCAGCAGCATGCGACGCGTCAAGACTTTTGAGGCGGTGCTGCGTGTGGCTGCAAACTCTGGCCAGGTAAAAGCCGCAAAGTCTGTTTGCGCTCGAGCGCGAGTCCACCACATCCTGTTTATCCCGAGTTGTCGAACTGTAAGATAGCCATCATCGCACCTGTTTGATGAAATCCAGCTGCTTGAAGCTCTCCTTGGCACACCTGCAGCGACAGTGTTCGCGCGCAGCACAGGCAGCGCCGACGTGTGTGCTGCAGCTGCAAGAGCCCACCCCTGCAGCAGTGCAGGGAGGCGAAAAGAACAGCAAGGCAGGGAAGCAAGCAGACAGCACCAGACCCCTCAGCGCCTTACAACTGCAAAAGAGAAAGCGACAGACGTCGCTCCTCTTCAGAATCCCACGACGCTTCTCTCGATGCCTTCTGAGAGAGCATCGCCTGTGGGGAGCAGCAAAAACGGAAACTCCAGAGCGCTAGAGTTTGCAGCAGTGCTACTGGAAAGGGAGAGGCGGCTCGGCACTTCTCCCGTCTGCAATTTTCCCAAGCGACAAGAGCACTTCAGTCTTTCGCAGACTCCCATCGCTCCCTCAGTGGCTGCTGCCTCTGCTCTGTGTCGACCGCTTCTGTCATTGCTCTTCTGCACGCACTTTGATGGCTGTGGTCAGCTGTTTTTCCTCCCGGGCTGCCTCGATCAGCTTTGTTCTGAGGAGTGGCACATCCGAAGACAAGAAACGGCCCATAGAATGCAAGCTTTACACGCTCGTTTGCCTGGTTTCACACGCAGAGCAGCAGCAGCAACACAGACACCAGATACCTGCCTGCACGTGGCAGGATCCAAGTTCTTAGTCGATGAGGCTGGCGGCTTGCTAGGGTCGGCAACTGCATCCAGAAGACATTCGAGACGATTACACTCATCTTTCCCAAGCAGCTCAGCGGACTCCAAAGACTGCAAATATTCCAACAGGTACATCTGTAGCAGCGACCAAAGACACACCACAAAAAAACTTGTCTATGCATATAGATGTACATATATTATATATGTAGACGAACTGCGCAGAGATATATACATATATATATACAAACACGTATATATATATATATGTAGACGAACTGCGCAGAGATATATACAAACACGTATATATATATATATAGACGAACCGCGCAGAGATATATATATATACAAACACGTATATATATATATGTAGACGAACTGCGCAGAGATATATACAAACACGTATATATATATGTAGACGAACTGCACAGAGATATATGCATATATATGTGGACGAATTGCGGAGAGAGCAGGGCCTGCTGCGTGTGAATTTCCGCTATGACTTTAGAAGCACGAACAGATCGGCAAAACGAGAGGCACGTGCGAGCTGTCAGTGTATCGCAGAGCCTGCTTGTGCTACACTCGAAAGCGCACCCCACGTGAGGAGCAGCCTCTGTGAGAGCGTGGTAGTCAGAGATCCTGGAGTTTTTGTCTTTGAATTTTTTCTGCTCCGAAGAGTAACGAGGGAGCTTACTTGAGACTCGCGCAGACGAGGCAGGCGGTCTGGTATCTGTTCAGGCCGTTCTAGCGCCATGATACCCATGCAGTGAGGCAGCAGGAGGAACCTGCGCGCCAAGAAGTTCATTTACGTCAATGCATGCATCGAGCTGTCAGATCAGGCATCTGAGCCGGGTGCTTCTCTGACTGCATGGAATTGCGGCGTCTCGCTGTCTCGATGATGCGAGTGAAGCTCTGTTCGGGGGTACGCGTGAGTGAGAGCTAAGACGGTTCTCTGTGGAAGCGAGCAGCCGACGGCAGCACTGGCCTCCTTGTAGAGCCGCTGAGACATCAGACTGGCGGGGAAAGCTCGAGAGTGACAGCGCGCAGCATGCAGTAGAAGAGTGCGACGAAACACTTGCCTTAGGAGGGGCGTGGAAATCTCGGCTGCCGATTCGTTCAACGATATGAGGCGCAAGTGGCCATACACCTTGTATAGTAGGAGGAAGCAACGGTACAGGTCCAAGCTCCATCTTCCCCCCGCCGCTTGTGATTCTCCGGAGGTGGGGGTGCTGCTGCTGGTGCTGATGTCTGCGACGCTGCTAAGGGAGAATCCTGTCTCCTCTTGCAGCTGCGAGAGAAGCTCCTGGGGTGGCTGAAAGGGTTCATCGCTGCCGGTAAAACAGTCACCGCCCCAGCCTAACGAAGAGTGCTCCTGCAGGAAGGCTTTAAGGCATGCGTCGAACAAACTCCCGAACGCTGAGCCGCTTCCCTCCACGTGGGAGTCTTCGAGTGCTCCCGTCCCTGCTGCTGGTGTTGCCATCCTGCAAAGAAATCCGACGCTGCCGCTGAAGGGTGTTGCTGCGTGTGCGAGTGGTTTTATGGGGCCGGAAGGCTCGAATCAGAGACGGTTTTTGCAGCAGCTGCTGCAAAACTGACGGTGCTACGGTGTTGCTAGAGGCGATAGTGCAAGGTCCGAACAGTGTGTTACTGCAGCACGACTGTTGAGGCATAGACACAAGGAAGAGGCGGACGCTGCAGTTCAAAGTGGTATTTTAACTCAGTTTTTGCTGCTGTTCACGCTGCTGCTGCTGCCGACTCGGCTGCCGGCAGCCAGATACTCTGTCTATACAGCGGGCTTCCGCGGGTAGAAAGAATAACAGAAGGGCCTAAACGGCGAAGTGTTTAAAAGCAAGCTCGAATCCTCCAGCCCTTAACAAAAGAAAGAGCTTCTGCAGACAGACAGGGGTGCTGCTTGCTGCAAGAGAGTTGCTGCTACTGCTGCAGCGGCACGCCATGGACAGCAGTAGCAGCAGCAGCAGCTGCTGCTGCTGCCATACGCGCCTCCCCCAGTAGTCGCCACAGCCGCATCAGGGGATGTCTTGGCGAGTACTTTGATTTGTGGTGTATCTCAACTTCGCGGAATATCTCAGTCTGCGCTGAATAAGCGTAGCAGCAACCGCCACGGCACAAGGGTCCTTGGACGAGCGGCAGCAGCAGCAGCTGCTGCTGCAAGTCCCTTCGCAGCAACAGTCATTCGATGACAGACACCTGATTTCTTTTCATGTTCTCCTTTCCCATAACACGTGAAAAGCCGCAACTGCAGTTGTCGCTGCTCCTGCTCTTGCTGCTATGATTGCTGCTGCAACCCGCGAGTGAGGACACGGTCGCTGCAGCAGACACACCTGCCGGATTTCTGTGGCTGTCTATACACCTCAATGAGCCCGCAGCGCGTTGCTGCCACAGAAATAGCACGAGCTGAGAGATGCCTTTGCGGCTGGCGCAGGAGTTAGCGCAGCGGTAATTCAGCGGCCACACGGAAAGCTGCAACGCCACCTGTGTGTCAACGCAACAGGCTCTCTCTCTCTCTCTCTCTCTTTGGGGTGGGCGGAACAAACTCCAATAAACGCGTCCATCCGCCCCCTCAGCGAGTTGGTGGTGCCGAAGAGTGGATGCGGCACCACTCCGCCGTCTCACAGTACACCGTAGGACCGGCAGTATACATTCAGTCCCGACTAGGAGTTGCGGCAACAGCACGATCTAGATCAGCGGCAACAGCAAGACCAACATCAACAGCAGCATTTGGCTGTGTGCTCTCCACCCGTGTGTGAGGCTGCTCTCTGTATCCAGCGAGGAGAATGGCACTGGGATCGCGTTTGACACGTCATTTTTTTGCTCGTTCCGAGCGTGTGAAGGGCGTTGATCTGCATCCCTCAGAGCCTTTGCTGGTGTGTGCACTTTACGACGGCCACTTGAAGGTGTACAATTATTCCTCCTTGCAGCTTCTTGCAGAGTTGGATGCCTCGCCGTTGCCGCTGCGGACGGCGGCATTTATTCCTCGGCGAGACTGGGTAGCTTGCGCAGGAGACGACTGCACGATCCGCTGTTTCTCACTGAACACCCAAGAGAAGCTGCACGAATTACCGAATGCGCACAAGGATTACATTCGCCACCTCGCTGTCCATCCGTCGAAAGGTCTTGCTTTGTCTAGCAGCGATGACATGACAGTGAGGCTTCTGCGTGGAAGGGGGGGATACGACACCAGGGGGGAAGGAAGGGGGGATAAGATGCACCAGCGTCTTCTCTTGTGGAGAGCGAATGAGGCTCTGTGCTTGCGAAGGGGCTGATGAGACAGGGATGGACAGGGAAGGGGGAAGGGATTGGAGGCGGAATGCTGCTTCGTCGTACCCTTGAATGCTTCCAGGCTCACCATGTATGACTCCTCAGATAAAGCTGTGGGATGTAGACGAGAACTGGAGTCGCCTCTGCTCCTTCGAAGGGCATGCGCATTATGTCATGCAAACGGCATGGAGTCCAAGAGATCTCACACTCTTTGCCTCGTGCTCTCTAGACCGGTTAGCTGAGAGCTGCTTCTTTGCATCCCCCAAATGACATGGAAATCCCCTTCTCCCGTGTTAGACAGAGAGGGGTTCCGCCACCAGCGGAGTCAGCGCACACTTCGCACGCAGCAGCAGAGTGCAGCGTACAGTTTGATGGCGAGGCAGGTGTTGTTTTTTCTTCTAGCGTAGGATTATGATGAGGAGGACAGGAGCAGGAGCAGGCTGTGAATGTGTATGTGTGTATGTGTGTGTGTGGCGGTGTTGTTTATAGATCCATTCGCGTGTGGGGGATTGGATCAGTGGTGGGAGCTGGAAAGGCTTCCTCGGGGGGGGGCGGCAGCAGCACTGCAGTGGTCACGAATGCTCATTTCTCCCTCTTAGGCCATGAGCGGGGTGTGAATGCGATTGCATACTCAACCTCGTGAGCGCGATTTCTTTCCAGAGCACCTAGCCTCAGTGCTGTAGTACCTACAGCAAACCCCGTAGCCGCGCGTCAGCGTCTGCGTCTCTCTCTACCCTGGATAGCGCTCTCGCACGCTGTGTCTTTAATGCAACTCCTCGAGCAGGCAGAGGGAGAGAAGGAGGAAACGGAAGGAAGGGCCTCAAATTCTCCCAAGATGCTGGCAGGCGTGCTAGAAAATATGCCAAATAAGGATTTTCCGGTTATTGCGTTTCTTTGCGTGATAGGGGAGAAAGGCCATACTTAGTTTCGGGAGCTGATGATGCAACAGTTCGCGTGTGGGACTATCAGACGAAGCAGTGTATTCAGGTGCTTTGCAATTCGTTTTGCTTTCTCTGAGCGTCTCGGCGCCCTCTCTTTGTTTCCCTTCGTTAGGAGTCTTCTTCCCGCATTCTCTGTGACAGAGCACGTGGCGGGGTGTTTCCAGGAACCCCCACCTCCTCGTCTGCAAGGGGTCGTTTATTTCTCTTGCTTTACTCTTCATCTCTCGCTCTCTCCACTCTCTCACTAGTACTCTGTCTCTTTACTCTCTGTATCCCTCTGTTTCTCTCTGTTTCTCTACTCTCTGTCTCTGTATCTCTCTTTACTCCTTATCTCTCTCCCCCTCCCTCTCTCTCTTTACTCTCTCTCTCTCTCTATATATATGTATATCTCTTTACTCTCTGTATCTCTCTCTCTCTTTGCTCTGTGTATCTCTCTGTTTCTCTACTCTCTGTATCTCTCTCTTTCTCTACTCTCTGTCTCTGTATCTCTCTTTACTCTTTATCTCTCTCCCCTTCCCTCTCTCTCTTTATATATATATATATATGTATATACGTATATCTCTTTACTCTCTGTATCTCTCTCTCTCTTTGCTCTCTGTATCCCTCTCTCTCCTTGCCCTCTGTATCTCTCTCTGTCTCCCCACTGGGGAGCACAGTTTCGATATTTTGGAGCTGCATGTGCATGCGTTCTGTGGCGGTAGGTGTTGCGGGGACACAGCAAAAATGTGTGTGCAGTGCTGTACCCTTGCGGGGGGCCGCATGCGTTGCCTGTGATGTTTTCTGGTGGAGAAGACGGGAAGCTCTGTGTCTGGCATTCCTTGACGTACAAGGAAGAAGCAGGCATGGATCTTGCTCTTGATCGCATTTGGACTCTCTCTGCAAGACCTCCTGGAGGAGCAGCAGAGGGTGGTCTAGGAGGTCTTGTTGTTGCTGTTGGCAGCGATGCAGGCACCTTGGTGCTCAAGGTATGTGCGACTCAGCGAATGCATGCCAGACAGAGACACACACACACATACACGTACACATACACATACACGTACACGTACACGTACACGTACACATACACATACACGTACACATACACGTACACATACACCTAGTGAGAGTCGGGGCACTGTATTTCTGCCCTTGTTTGTCTCGAATAAAAACGTCTCCCCCGTGCATGCGCGCCCGCTCATCCAGCCCCTCGTGAAGGCGCTTTTTAACGTTCTTTTCTCCACGATTCCTCCGATGCTCCTCCTTCTTTTGGAGCTGTTAAACTGCGAAATGCGCGCATACACTTTGCCGTGCTGCCGCCGTTGCGGGTAGCCGCGCGAACTACGCGTATGCATGCAGAGCAGCCCCCTTTCGCTGTATATACACACAGCACGGGCGACGGCAGCCCTAAACATCCATATTCAGGGGGTGCATATGCACATGCACATGCACATGCACATGCACATGCACATGCACATGCGCTGCAGATGGGCAAGGACGGAGCCGTGGTCTCCTCGCACGGGGGCAAGGCAGTCGTGGCGCGAGGATTTGAGCTGCTGCAGCTCAATTTAAAGCTTTTAGATGAACCTTTTGCTGACGGAGAGAAGGTGCAGTGCCCGGCAAAAGAGATTGGAAACTCAGGTTAGGATTCTCCCTTTACGGCGTTTCCCTCGAATTTCGATCAACATACTGACTCCGAGACTCAAGGCTTCCTTCCAAAGAGAGACACAACACAGCCCCACACAAAATTGCGAGCGCTCGCTCGCTCGCTCACTCCCTCTTCGGGAACATCGTTTCTTTCTATAAGCGACTCTTTCGATATCAATGCCTTCCTTGCCCCAAGGATTCATGCATACCGGAGGCGCCATGTGCAATCTTTCTGCAGACATCTTTCCACAAAGTCTCTCGCATCACCCAAACGGCAGATTTCTCGCAGTCATAGGCGACGGGGAATACGTCATTTACACGGCGCAGGTACTGGCTCGAGGCTGCTCTGGTGTATCGATGCTGCTTCGATACAGGCTTGATGCTGCTCTGGTGTATTGATGCTGCTTCGATACAGGCTTGATGCTGCTTTGCTGTATTGATGTTGCTTCGATACAGGCTTGATGCTGCTTTGGTGTATTGCTGCTGCTTTGGTGTATTGATGCTGCTTCGATACAGGCTTGATGCTGCTCTGGTGTATTGATGCTGCTTCGATACAGGCTTGATGCTGCTTTGCTGTATCGATGCTGCTTTGATACAGGCTTGCTGCTGCTCTGTTGTATTGCTGCTGCTTTGGTGTATTGATGCTGCTTCGATACAGGCTTGATGCTGCTTTGCTGTATCGATGCTGCTTCGATACAGGCGTGCTGCTGCTTTGCTGTATCGATGCTGCTTCGATACAGGCTTGCTGCTACTTTGGTGTATTGATGCTGCTTCGATACAGGCTTGCTGCTGCTTTGGTGTTGTTGTTTCTGCTGCTGCATTAAGAGGCTTTCCGCGGTGCATTTGGGGGCCTCTTCGATATGCCCTTCTCAAGCCCTCAGAGAGTCGCCAATTACTGAGCTTAGCTGCCTGCTGCAAGCATTTTTTCGCATGCATGATGCTCCGACAGGATGCATTTGCACGACTGCACGATGCTTGTCGTTAGATCCGTATGCAACGGGTGCAACTTCCTGCATGTTTGTCCTTATGGGTGTCTGCATCTATATGTATGTACATGTATGATGCATCTGTTTTCAAAACTTGCCGGCCATGCATGTATGTTTCTGCATGTATGTTTCTGCATGTATGTTTCTGCATGTATTTTTCTGCATGTATGTTTCTGCATGTATTTTTCTGCATGTATTTTTCTGCATGTATTTTTTCCTCCGTATTTTTCTGCATGTATTTTTCTGCATGTATGCTTCTGCATGTATTTTTCTGCATGTCTTTTTCTGCATGCATCTTTTTGCGTGTATTTTTCTGCATCATCCAGAGGTGTACATTTCATGTTTTGTTCTGTGCATGCATGTGTCCAGGCGTTGCGAAGCAAAGCGTTTGGGCCTTGTGAGGCTTTCTGTTGGTCGTTGGAGAATCATTATGCCGTCCTCGAAAAGGGGAACAGGGTCAAGATCTATTGCAACTTTGAAGAGGTCAGTTGTGATGATCGCAAGCACCCCGCCAGACACGGGTGGAAGGCGAGTCGCTCGAAGGGACCGGCGTTTATCCGCAAAAATATTTTTTTTTTAGCGGGGAGGCGCTGGCCTCCATGCATGCAAATGCTGATTAGAAATGCCAGCTTCTGAGTGCAACAGGGCATATAGAGCGCTTGCTCCGTTTTCAGATTTGTGCTTCAGGCATACAACTTCACACCGCCGTTTGCAGTTGAGGAGCTGTTTGGGGGCTTCCTGTTAGGGCTGCGCAGTGACGACTCAATTTCCTTCTACGACTGGACTAGCTACAGGTAAATTGACAGTGCGTTGTTGAACTCTTTTGCATGTCGAATGAAGCCAAAGGCGTATGTGTGGGGCACATGTATCTCCGAGGGAAGGGAGGCCTAAGCGCTCGTCTGTGTGCAATCTGCGCTTACTACCCCATGCGGACTGAAGATCGTCAGGTATGCTTGCAGCACTTGAATTGCCGTCCTATGCATTCGAACTCGGGAGAATGCGCTTGCTATCTTCTCAGGCTTATACGGAAGATCGAGGTGTTTCCTACTGCCGTGTATTGGGCACCTAACGGGATGCACGTAGCCATAGTTGCGCGCGACTCTCTTGCGGGAAGCGCAACGGCCAGCTCTGCAGGTCAGCTGTAAATTCAAGCAAAAGAATAATTCTTGACACATGGTACAGAAGACAGTGCACCAGAAGAGGGGCATGTCCTCCTTCTTCGCGCTGCTACTCTCCAGCCACCCTCCGTCTTCTTGCCATCAAATCGCTTCTTCCGCTTCCCTATCTCATGCGCTCTCTCTACGGCCCCTTGCAACAAGACCTCAAGCTCCTCCATGAGTCTTTTTTAGAATACTTTCGTCTTGACACTTGGAGCCCTTTGATGCAGACACGCGTGTCACGCGCCTTGTCAGTCGTATCTTTCTGTCGGTCTGCTTTTATGCGCGGGGGGAGAAGTCCAAAGAATTCAGGCTTTTCGTGCTTTGTTGCAGCTTCGGGGCACATGCGCATGCACATGCACATGCAGCAGATACAGCTGCATGTGCATGTGCATGTGCATCTTCTACTCACGCTGTGTCGCTGCCTCTGGACTGCCGCAATTGCTGCCGTCCGTGTCGGGTTGCGTTTGTGACTGCTGCAGGGTTGGACCGTCTGTATATTCTGCGCCATGACAAGTTTGCAGTGATGGCAGCAAACACCGCACAAGCCCTTGAGGAGGAAGGCGGCATTCCAATTGCTTTCGAGCTTGTTCATCAGGTAACACCTTATCCGCGTGTTCAAATCGAGAACTGTGCAGCGGGAGATCAAGTCATCACCGGGGAGAGGGGCCATGAGGGAAGTAGATATCGATTCGAATATGTGTGTGGGCATGTATATATATACATATATATATATATATACATGCATATATATATATACATACATGTATGTACATACCTACACATATACATCTATGTCCAAGTAGGTAAGCGACAGCTTACCTACTTGGAAATCTAGCCTTTAACGCGTCTCTTCCCGGTTCTCAAGCTATGAGGGCTGAATTAATGAAGCTTTTGCATGCGTTGCTCTTCCTTTTTTATTTTTCAGGCGAACGAAAGCGTCAGCAGCGGCCTTTGGCTCTCAGACTGCTTTTTGTATATCACGCGCAACTGCCGTCTGCGCTGTTACTGCGGGTGCCGCATCCAAACTTTGCACACGCTGGAAGCTCGCGAGTTGCGAATTCTTGCCGTCATTCCCGAGCAAAATAGGATTTTCCTTATCAGCCCAAGCCACGCCCTCTACGTCTACTCTCTGAACCAAGCCTCCATTCAGTATCAGGCAAGTCAACGCATCATCCGCAAGAGACGCAGCAACGCAAACTCCAATTGCATTCTCAAGGAGGGGGCGAGAAAGGAGGGAGGAGGGAAGCCTCTTTCGTGCCTAGAGAAAAAGATGGAGCGAAGAGGTCTCCTCAGCAGAGAAGCTGCTGCTGCCGCCGTTGCACGAGTTTCTAAGGACAGTCTCACACTTGCATTTCCACGTGATACGCATGTAGACAGCGCTCTACAATTTAGGATTAAGTGTGGGGAAGAAGGGATATGGCTTGCATGCATGATCAGGTGGCAGTAGCCAGAGGCGACTTGGAGAGTGCCAAGGCAATATTTCCTCAGCTTCCCGTTGAAGCATATGACGAAGCGGCTAGAGCGCTGCAAGCTCACGGGTAGGGAGAAGAGTCTTGTTCTATTTTCCATGTAGCTGGCAAAGTGTAGCTACCCCTTTTTCTCCCCTGCCAGCTCCCCCGTGCGTTTACGTTGGATCTCTCTTTCTCGCGTGGTGGAGTGGACGAAAGAAATCGACAGAAACGAATTTCTTCATCCCCAGCTCAGTTCGCACAAGGCTTTCATGCTTTCCCATGCAGCACGCATCGTCTCGTATGTATCAATTGCTATCCTCCGCTTCTAACGCCCTGCTGCCATGTGTATGTATGTATGTGTGTGCTATGTGTGTATGTATGTATGTATGTGTGTGCTATGTGTGTATGTATTTGTACTGTATATGTGTACTGTATGTATATATGTGTATGTGTGTGTATGTATGCATGTGTGTGGATGTGTGTTTTGCTACTCGTTCCTTAGAAGGTCGTCTTGTGCGTGTTTTTTGTTGCTTGACTGCTGCAACGCGGTGGCATGCATCGAGCTTCGGTTTTTCAAATGTTTTTGTTGCTGCTGCTGCTGCTGCTGCTGCAGCTACGCCGAAGAGGCTTTGGAAGTTGCTCGGGATGAACAACTCCGCTTCGAGCTAGCGCTTGCTATTGGAGCCCTCTCTCTGGTGAGTGACTCCTTCCATCTGCTGTCTCCTGTTTTTTGCGGTTGACGCGTGCTGCAAGTGAAGGAAGGCTCGCCTTTACCCTGCAGCTGGCTGTGCACTTGCATGCGGTCTTTAACTTTCCACACATGCAACTCTCCCTTGCGATCCTGTGGAAACTGCTGCTGCTCTCGCAGTGTGCTGAGTTGATTCGGAGCAGCACCAGCGCTCCCGCAGTGCAGAGACAGCGATGGGCTGCCGTTGGCGATGCAGCCTTGCAGAAAGGATATTTTTCTCTCGCTGCAGCAGCCTTCTGGGTAGGCAGACGTCCATACCAAACACATCTCACTTCCCTTTGAGTTCTTCCGAGAGTATTTGCACTCGTCAGCATAAAAGAAAACCGTCCTTCCTTGCGCGGCATCACCTTCGTCGAAGCCCCTTCTCCATTCCTTCTCCTTTTTTTCCTCTCCTTTTTTTCCTATCCTTTTTTCCTCCTCTTTTTCCTCTGCTTCTCCTTCTTTCTCCTCCGTTTTTTTCTTCTCCTTCTCCTTTCTCCCCTCCTTCTCCTTCTTTCTCCTGCTTTTTTTCTTCCCCTTCTCCTCCTTTTTCTCCCTCCTTTCTCCTTCATTCTCCTCCATTTTTTCCCTCTCCTTTCTTCTTCTTTCCCCTCTCCTCCTTTCTCCCCTCCTGTCTCCTTCTTTCTCCTCTCCTTCTCCTTCCTTCTCCTTTTTCCCTCTCCTTCTTCTCGTTTCTTTCCTCCTGTCTCCTTCTTTCTCCTCCGTTTTTTCCTCTCCTTTATCCTTCTTTCTCCTCCTTTTTTTCCTCTTCTTCTCCTTCTTTCTCCTCCTTTTCTTTCCTCTCCTTTCTCCTTGTTTTTCCCTCTCCTTTCTCCTTCTTTCTCCTCCTTTTCTTTCCTCTCCTTTCTCCTTCTTTCTCCTCCTTTTCTTCCTCTCCTTCTCCTTCTTTCTCCTCCTTTTTTTCTCCCTCCTTTCTCCTTCTTTCTCCTCTCCTTCTCCTTTCTCCCCTCCTGTCTCCTTATTTCTCCTTCTTTCTCCTGTCCACCTCCTCCTTTCTCCCTTCCTTTCTCCCCCCCTCCTTTCTACCCCTTCCTTTCCCCCTTCCTTTCTCCCCTCTCCTTCTCCCCCTGCAGAACTGTGTGATGACAAAGTTCATGCTGCAGCAGCAGCAGCCGCGAGAGAGGAGTGTATACATCGTTGTCTGTGCCTTGCCTTCAGGAGTGCAAGGACTATCCTAGCCTGCTGTTGATGTACAGCAGCAGCGGCGATGTGGAGCATCTTCGCCAGCTCGGTGAAGCAGCAGCTGCAGCGCGACAGCAGCAAATCGCCTTCGTGTGCTTCCTGCTCACGCATCAGCTAGGTGATTGTGTGAAGCTGCTACTGACGGCGGGTAGAGCTCCCGAGGCTGCTCTCTTTGCTCGCACGTACTGCCCCTCCGCTATCGAAGACGTCGTGAAGGCTTGGAGAGAGGCACGAACTGACGCGGCAGAGGCGACTGCTGCTGCTGCTGCTGCTGCAACGCATACCGACACAAAGACTTCCTCCAAGACAAACAAAGAAGGCGTCGAGCAGAAACGAGTAATTCTTGCCTTTGGGAAAGTAGCACAGTTTGCTGAGCGTGCTGTGCTTTGTTTGCGGGGAAAAGATCTTGTGCTTATCCTGCGCTTGCTTTGGCGAAAGAGGCTTTCCTCCGTGTCTCCTCCAGCCCCTCTCCCTCCTCCTCTCCTCTCCCGTCCGGAACCATGAGGCTTGCGATTTTGCGACGTGTCATTGTGCATGCAGACGGCAGTGCAGCTGCCAGCTTTTCCTTTCGAACGGCCTGAAGCATTCCCAAAGTTGGAATTAGCTAAGCAAGTAAGGGGCGTCACACGCCACAGAGTTGGTTAGCTAGCTAGCTAGTCAGCCATAGCGCTTGGTGTAAGGGGGAAAATTCTATTATCGCTAATGGCGCAAGGCATAACGGCTGTTTCCACACCTCTCCGACTATACAGCATGAGCTGTAGCAGTACTTGTAGCTACACATGGAATTGTAGGTGTGGTCTTGATGCGGCACTATAAAAGGGCAGAGTTTTCTAGGCTCTTGGATCTTGCATTCGACAGACAGGCGGCTCGCTTGCTCTCGAACTGTCTATATTTATGGGCATAGTATGTTGTTTGAACGTAATAAATACGTGGCTCGCTTGCTCTCGAACTGCCTTTATTTATGGGCATAGTGTGTTGTTTGAACGTAATAAATACGTGGCTCGCTTGCTCTCGAACTGTCTATATTTATGGGCATAGTATGTTGTTTGAACATAGTAAATACGCGGCTCTCTTGCTCTCGAACTGCCTATGTTTATGGGCATAGTATGCTGTTTGAACGTAATAAATACGCGGCTCGCTTGCTCTCGAACTGTCTATATTTTATGGGCATAGTATGTTGTTTGAACGTAATAAATACGCGGCTCGCTTGCTCTCGAACTGTCTATATTTTATGGGCACAGTATGTTGTTTGAACGTAATAAATACGCGGCTCGCTTGCTCTCGAACTGCCTTTATTTATGGGCATAGTATGTTGTTTGAACGTAATAAATACGTGGCTCGCTTGCTCTCGAACTGCCTTTACTTATGGGCATAGTACGTTGGCTGAGGTAACGTTCATCTTGCAAGCGAGGCAGCTAGCTGCTTGCTTTTCTGCACTGGCGGATGCAGGCTGAATCTGTGCTATCCGAGTTCTACTGCCGTCAAGTGCCTGGATCCTCCTACTTGAAGGTACAGGATCTCCTCGAGGCAGATATCCTGCAGACTATCGAAGAAGGAGGCTCAGAGGCTGTAAGTAATGGCTTTGTTTACTGTTGTTTTTGACTGCTCTTTTGGGAGGCAACGGATGCGGATTATCAGCCTTTGCCTCATTGACTTAGAGGAGGCTCCTGTCAGACTTGCTGCTGCTGCTGCATTTGAACCCTGTGTTTTCAGCTAAGAACCATGCTGTTGGAAGATTCTATTTCTTTCGCCTCCACTGAGCCGCCACATAACCAAACCCGTGAGTTCCTTCTTCCCCACATCATGCTGCTGCTTGCGCTGCAGAGTTGCTTTGTTTCGTGCAGCTGGCGCTGCTGCAGCTGGCTCTTTGTCTACATATGTCGGCTGGTTGTTCTGCGTTCAGCACAAACAAACGGAGATACAGCGGACTCCTTGTCTTCGCAAGTCACTCCTGTAACAGGTGCAGTTCATGCCTGCTTCTGCTTCTGCTAATGACGTTGCTGCTTCTGCTTCTGCTACTGACGTTGCTGCTTCTGCTGCTGCAGCTGACGTTGCTGCTTCTGTTGCTGCTACTGACGTTTCTGCTTCTGCTTCTGCTACTGACGTTGCTGCTTCTGCTGCTTCTGCTACTGACGTTGCTGCTTCTGCTGCTGCTGCTGACGTTGCTGCTTCTGCTACTGACGTTGCTTCTGCTGCTACTGACGTTGCTGCTTCTGCTTCTGCTGCTACTGACGTTGCTGCTTCTGCTTCTGCTGCTACTGACGTTGCTGCTTCTGCTTCTGCTGCTACTGACGTTGCTGCTTCTGCTTCTGCTGCTGACGTTGCTGCTTCTGCTGCTGCTACTGTCGTTGCTGCTTCTGCTGCTGCTGCTGCCGATGGCGTTGCAAGTACTGCAACTCCAGAGTGTATACACCGGGCTTTCCTCCAGGGTTTTCTGGTGTATGTTGCAGCAGCTGTTGGGGGCCCCTCCCCTTTGAGCAGCGCAGAAGATGCAGCTACGTGTCAGTCTCCTGAGGGGTGGAAGCAGCAACAACTACAGCAGCCATCTCTGCAGCAGTTGGAACCGGATGCATCAAAGCCGCAGCAGGTCGGCGTTGCATGCATGCCCTCCGATCTGCAACATGACAATCCATCCTCTCCAGCAGGGAGTATGTCTCCTCTGTCCATGCTTGAGGCGCAGCGAACGCAACAGCAGGGGCAGCAGAACTTTTCGAATCCTTATTCGATGGCAGCCAATCCCTTTAGCCATGCAGAGCTCGTGAAGGACGGATTTTCTTTTGGCAGCAGCGGGCTGGAGGCGAGTTCTCAGCAGAAGCAGCAGGAGTTGCAACAGCAGGAGTTGCAGCAGCAGCTGCTGCAGCACCCAGAGCAGCTGCTGGCTCAGAGGCTGAAGGAACAACAGGAGCTGCTGGAGGGGGATGCCAAGCGATTGAGCATTCCTGAATACGAGGAGATGGAATCTCCTGATGAGGGAGAAGAGGAACTACACTTCGGAGCTACTGTTGCCTGAGCGACCCGGCTGCAGCCAGCCCTCTACAGTACACACACACACATACACACATACACACACACACACACACACACACACACACACACACA